CCAATGCATTGTGTTCGGCCTGGGCATTAAGTCCACCGAGGTACAGAAGTGCATCAAGTTGTGAATAAATCAAATGGATGGTATTTTAAGTTTTTTAAATAGATACATTTTATTAATATACATACTTACCCTCTTAAGTACAGCAGTAGCATCAAAGGACGGCGTGTTTTTTATTTGTTCTAAAGACTTCAAGAGACGTAAACCTTTTGGACTTGATGCCATTGTCACAAGTAAAATTCGTTAGTAAATGCAAACATAAACTCGCGCGCTTACTATTTATAAGGCGGGAGTTCGCCAAGCGTTCGTAGTAGGCGTAGTATTAATAGATGTAATAACACTAGTACGCGACGTATATTTGGTGGTGGTGGGAATATTTCTTATGGTATCACTTGGAATGGGTAAATAAACACTATTATCAAACACTAATAATTTTCTCTAAAGCAACAATATTTATTCACCTTATATTGAATAAAAAAAAAAAGAAATTTACCTACATGGCAACACTAGCTTACTTTTTACTTGGAAATAAGAAACCGGGACATCATTGAACTTAACCAGGTTTACCCACTCCGGGCCTGAAACGAATGGCATATAAGTAACTAAAAGCTTATGTAAATCTGTCATGTATCAGTTTCGTAAATCTAATGTTCAAACACCGATCTACCCAAAAGTTTAATAAACTTATGTCAAAACTATTGTGAAATATACATTGAATTAAAGCAAGATTAGGCATTTTGATTTGCAGATTAAATTAGTCAACAGAACTATCAACTTTACCTTAAATTCAAACATTCAGTGAAATGGACACTAAATTAAAAAAATCGAACTTATTAATGGTTTGACACCATTCTGTGTTAACTTGACAAGTTAAGTGACTAATGATCAGTTTGATCAGTCTTACAGAAACCGAGTCTAAGTCAACTAAATTATTTTAGTAAAAGTCCTTATAGCATTTTTGTTAACTTTTTAATCGTATCCAACATAATTAAAAAAGTATAATGTGTTGTCTTCGAACAAATACTTTGTTTGATCGAAGATTGATTGTATCAAACCCTTTTTGTTAAATATTTTAAGAATTAAGTAGCTGCTTTTTGCAAATCATGAACCCTAGCATAAATACTAGACATCTTTTGTCCTTTTCTGTTTAAGTAAGTACATTTAATTACTAAATTTGATATGATACTACTGTGTGCAATAATCATTTCCTTGCAGACAGAAAAATTAAGGTCGTTTTCTACGGTGGTGCATGCTCTGACATGAAATCTGTAAATGCTGGTGCCCGCAAGGCTGTGTGCTATCAGCCACACTGTTTCTGCTGCATATTAATGATATGTTTGGAGGTGCCTTTTATACCGGCTGCCCCGATATTTTTGGGAAAACGTCATCGAGAGTCGAAACAAACTTGTGTCTGAAATTGAAACTTCCTTAGCGGTGGATTCAGATTGGAGTCGATTGAATCTAGTCCATTTTAACCTCAAAAAGACACAGGTTTGAGTGTTTACTGCAAAAAAGATAACTTTTGTCGTATCGCCTCGGTTTAAGAGCACCTCCCTAACTGCCTCAGCCAGTATCGGAAGTCCAGTTTCGGGTTCACTTAGAGGTAAGGTCAAATTGGCCTCGAAGCTCGTTGTGCTGAAAAGATCGAGAGAGATTTTATTATTATTATTATTATATTATTCTCATCTCTATGCAGGAGCACCCCAGTACCAACTTCTCCCTACGGACCGTATCCAACGAAGAGCGACCTGAATTTTCGATAACCAAAGGATCTCCGACCGGCTATCCGCCGGTACCGGTTAATATCTATCTTTTATGGCAAAAAGTTTTAAGAAATGACCTTTATTTTATTTTTTTAGAGAAAACACTATTTATATTTTGAATAAAAAGTTATTATTATATTATTTTATTATAAAACTATAATAATAAAGCAACTTACCAATTTAAATAAGTAATTAAAAGTTCTATTTACAGTTATAGTTAAGTGTAATATTAAGTTACAAAATACTAATTTATAAGTAAAATATACTACAAAACACATGTACGAGTATAATAATGTGTACATTACGCTTAATTATACTTGGTGAACTTTGGAAATCAAAATAAGTTCGTTCACTTTTAAAAGATCTAGGGTATCTTCATCAAGTGCCTTCACACTTTTGTTCTATGTTTTTCTAAGGCTGGAAATGTAAGCCGACGATGTGTTACAACCTCCTCTATGGGCGACGACGTAATCGCACGAATGACGTCGGAGGCAGCCTGGACTGATTGGCTAGCCCCCCATGTTTGCTGAGAATTGTGGAGAGGTTTGCAGGCTCCCTGCCCCATCTGGTGATTGGTGGGCTTGTTACTCGCCGCACTCGCAGTGAGGGGCGACAGAGCATTCTACCACCTTATGCCCGGTCGACCGCAGCGGAAACACAGTCCGCCGCAGTCAAAACAGCTGTCGCACTTGATGCGAGTGTGTCCCGTGGCCAGGCATTTGAAACACCTCATTGATCTCGCCGCCAGAACTGTGACTCATACGTTTACGAAACCTGAGGATCTTACCGTCGCTACGGGACAACTGAACCACACTGCACCAAGGCCTCCCAGACCGGAATGCGCAGCTTCGCACACTTTGTAGGCCTGGCGATCTTTACACCATCCGTGGCTGCAAATATTCCCCGCAGATTCTCAGCGAATATGTCCGCCGTCTTTGCACCTTCAAACAAAATCGTGTGTGCATGTAGTGCACCTCTGTACTTTATTAATAGTTTTAATTTTCTTACCACTTGTGTGCCCCAAATCATCTCTATCGGATTCAATGTGCAACGATAGGGTGGGAGCATAGTGTATTATAGTGACAGCAAGAACACATCTGAAACACACACAGCGACAGTCGAAAGTGGCCATTGTTTGGACACCATTGTTTCAATCATCATCATCATGAACAGTCTGTAACAGTCCATTGGTAAGCATATGCCTTTTCTTAAAAAGGAGGTGTGGCCTATTAGACCACACTGGTCAGACGGGCAACCCCATAGGGTTTGTGTCCTTCTCTTTACAGTGCTGTTGTCCTGCATAGTATGCTTCCGTTAGTCGGCTCTTACGACACCCACGGGATGAATAGATTTTCAAAATGCTTTCACAGATTTGAAATTCTAATTAGATATAAGAATAATCTTAGACTACAAGTAAATAACATAAATACTTACAGCACAATTCTTCGAAGCTCTTTATAAACGATGATATCCTTTGCCCTTCATTTTCTTCTTCGCACATTTTGCGATACTCATTGAATACAATATTCAACGTATTTCTTAAACAATAACAATTCTCTAAGCTACAATCACAAAAACTTAGCAGTCATTGATAAATCTTCCTATTTGACATGACGGGTGACAATTGATATGTCTCAATAGCTTTTTTTTAGATAAAAATATCTAACCAGGTACCAACTATAGATCTCAGCAGTTTTTGCGGCAAAAAAAATACGTTATGAGACTAGCATTTTTACATGTTATTTTGATGTTATTTTGGTGCTATGCTATCTAGCTAGATAGCTTCTGATAGACCTATGAGCTAAAAATGTTTTGCACAGTTTTTAGTTAAAATGTTAAGACTCTGCAAACTGCACTGCAAAGAGAAGAAAATCTTGAAAAAAACCCTATACCAACCCATCTGGCCAGCGTGGTATAGTAAGCTAAAATCACAGGTACTTCGTTTCGTACTACTGACCCACTGACCAGGTATTTTCATTTGTAGTGAGTATTTACACGGGAATTGATACAATCACGTAACAGGTATTACATACCTTTCAGTGTCAGCCTGACCAAGAAAACGCACAAAACATATTTTTTACGACTTCACATTATAAATCTTTGAAATTCTAGGATTTCCTCTACTATAATATGCATGTATTATACATATAAACCTGCCTCTTGAATTCCTTTCTCTTTACTGGTGGAAACCGCATTAAAATCCGTTGCGTAGTTTGAAAGATCTAAGCGCTAAAGAAAAAATCGTCTTCATTTCATACTGTGTAAAGATTAATTAAAATAATCATTAATTAATTAAATTAATTAATGATTAATTAAAATAATCATTAATTAATTAAATTAATTAATTCATAGGTATGTTATATAACAGTTGTTATGTTATTGCGTTGATTCCCGTATATGTATAGAATTACGTAACTTAGTATCGTCGGTTAATTTTAAGAATCATGAAAGGTTAAACTAATTGTCTCTCTTAAATTGGTAATTAGTCACATTTATTTATTACAGTGATAAGACTGGATGGCCTCAATAGGCGTCGATTCTGTGGATGGGAGACCTCGAAATCACACGGCCGTAAGATTGTAGTGAAAACAACACATCCTCCTGGCTCTTGCATCGCCATGTTTGCGTTCCTTAGAAACCGAAGACCTAAAGAGATTTTCCATTCCGTCACAAAAAATAGACACACTTAGGTATTACATTACAATTTATTTGACGGCCTCGGTGGTACAATGGTAGCGTATGCGACTGCTGCGCTGATGTCTAAGGTTTGATTCCTATTCTATTAGTCAATCTAGTTTGCATAGTACAATCCACAGAACAGTGAATAAATGTTTATTTACTGTTCTGTGGTACAAGCTTTGCTTAGTTTGAAAGTACATAGAACTGCATTCTCTATTGTATATATCAAAATTTTCATCACTATCACTGTGATTGGCACTTCACCACTGTGTTATTATTATTAATTAAGTGACGACACCATTTGCTAGCACTCAAATGTTAAAAAATAGTTATCCGGCTTAAGTTTATAATCAAACTCGTTTTATATCAAGGAAAATAATTTACCACTTGCCTTAACAGCAAAATAATCACAGCGTAGTGTAGGTCGCTGTATCAACACGCCTAAAATTGCGTACAATATTTATTTAAGACGTTTCAGTCTGTGATTCAGAGTCGCGTTATACGGACGTACAGCTGGCTGACTGTGCCGCGGACGTAAATAAGATCGATAAAAAAATCAAAATGCCAAATCTGGAAAACGGTGATATCAAAAAGATGCAAAAAGAAATGTCAAAATTAAGCGTGGATAGTAATATGGAATGCCTGGTAAATCCAGGTATTCGAAGACGCTCCAGGGCTGTGGAGACCAGTGAACGGAGAGTGCTTGTCATTTATACTGGTGGGACCATCGGTATGGTGAAAACGGAGGACGGTAAGAATTATGTTTTATAACAGAAATCCTTTAAATAAACGTACAGTCTAATATATATTTAGCAAAATAGGTCGTTTTAAATAGCACTTCCGTGTCAAATGCAGAAGAAATCTCTTCTGAGTTCGACCAAAGACATGAAAGTTTAATAATACACTTTTGTGCATTTATATTTATTTCCTTTATTGTAATTAACGCGTATTGTATACAGAAAGCGAATATTATTATCACTCTACGAATAATATTATTCGTAGTTATCACTAGATGTATTCGTATATTGCAAGTAATTTGTAATACTTTTTAAACAGTTTGTTTAGTTACCTAATCTTCATTTTAAATAATGTTTTTTTATGGATTTTGTGATGATATGAATGATATTTTTTTTATTACAATAATGTTAAGTGTATATCTACTGTCACTGAAGTTGAGACACTGGCTTCTAATAATTTCTACACTGCCTATTAATGTTAGTTATACAGATGAAGAGTTTGTTATTTCTTTAATAATTCGACGTAGTATTAATTAAGGAATATGTAATATAACGACTATTAGCTGTTACTAAGTGCAAACAGTGACACTTAATTAAAAAAAACATTATTACGAACATATTTGTCTTTTTACGATTATCCTATTTCAAAAATAGGAGATCAGCAGGTTACTATAGAATTTTACCCCTCTATGTGACTGAGGTGCTTTACTGTCATTGGGCTCTTTAAAGATGCTTAGTTTTTGTTATACGATTGATAATACGTTACTTATTAAATTATAAATAATTGAACGATATAATCGTTCTATATTATTATTATATCTATGGTATGTCGGGCTTCTTTATTTTGAATTTAAATTCTATAACAACTATTATCAAGTAATAATATAATAACTGAAGTTTATTTGCTCCTTATCACTTCTAAAATTATATACATGTATACATTACTGCACTATGACTTAATGTAATCATATTTTTAAACAAGACACAGTCAATTACTCTAATAATATAATCATATCAGTGTGTAGTATATCTAACCTGTTTTTATTATTAAGCGATTCTAAATGTATTTGAAGAAAAAAAATCTACTCGTAAAAGTTGAAATGAATGTTGTGAGTTCCATACTCCCGGAACTTTTGCTTTCGTATTTAAAGGTTTGTGTTTAATGAAAATCGAAGCATTACTTTCTCGTTTCTTTGTAGGGAGCAATACTCGTAGTACAATAATAGTATTGCCATTAGTCTCAGAAGTAGTAGTAAACCATTGTTATGGTGACGGATTAAGAATACAGTGTCACCACCCCTATTCATCCCGTGGGTGTCGTAAGAGCCAAGGGAGAAAACTACGCAGAACAACAGCACTGCAGAGAGAAGGAAAACTTGACACAAACCCTATACCAACCCGTCTGGCCAGCGTGGTATAGTAGGCCAAAACCTCCTTTCTAAGGAGAGGCTTATGTCCAGCAGTGGCTGGACCAGTAAAGGCTGTTGATGTTGATGTTAGAGCATTAGATGTAGATATTTTGGATGTCTAATAAGTACCTAACATTTATTGCAAGAATTAGTATTTTAGTATTTATTTATATTAATATTTATATAAAAATTATCAGTTCGAATCCCGATGGGTTTGGTTGAGAGAATTGCAAGGTGATTAAAACTTAGTAGGGATAAATACTAAGGAAACCAGTAAGTAGTAAACGGATAGCTACAGAAGTGTTTTTAATAACATACTTGAGAAATAATTACGGCTGTTTAGAAATAATTATTTATTAACCTTAATTACCCTTTTCTGTTTATTTTTTTAATGATTTCCATAGGGTGAATAAAGAACACTGGCTTACTTACATGTAGGAAAAAAATAGGTATGTTTCGTTGAACCAGATGTGCAGTCAACCCAAAAGCTATGAAGCAATCCATAATTCTCAATAATAATAAGCATTTTATAAACAATTTTTAAACGAACAGTTAACTACGTATTGCGCATATATTGATATAACGCAATTTGGTGATTAGGGAATAATCAGGAATAGTCGTATATATCATGGAGAGTGCTCCGAGGTATTGTTCGGACTTATACCGGCCGCAACCTTCCGCCATCGTTCCACACGGCAAAATTTTCATCCCAACTACTTGGATAATTGGCGCTCCACCACTGTGCGCTTTTCAAGACTATTTTTATCTCGCACTACCAATCTGTGGGACAAGTTATCGGCTGCGGTATTTCCGGACCGATACGACCTTCAAACCTTCAAGAAAGGAGCATACTCTTTCCTCAAAGGCTGGCAACGCGCTTGTGACGCGGTAGTAGCTTTCCATAAAAAAAGAAAATATGCAATAGAGTTATGTAAATATTTTTTTTGAGATTATAAAGATATTTATTTAAAAATGTATTGTGTCGATGGTAATTAGATACCATACGGTATAATAATTCAGTTAGGTATACTTTTCCAAGGGGCCAAAATATTACAGTATCTTCAAAGTCTGTAATTAAAAACATTTCTGTAGCTATTCATCTACAACTTACTAGTCCTTGGGATTTATTCCTACTAGAACTTCCTTAACTTGCAATTCTCTTACCCAAACCAATCGAATTGAAAAATTTCTGAAATTTGTTAGGAAATGTACTCGTATTATAACTACTATAGTATTCGAATAATAATTACCGAAAAATCATCTACCAAACAATTGCCGTGAAATGAAATTACTTAAACACTGCCTGTTATTTTTATCTTTTTGATGTTCATGCCTTCTATTTAATAATAGGCTACGTAATAGCCTGACTACTCTAGTGCAGAAAGAGTAAAGCAATCAAGATAAAATGATACTGTGAATAGTTAATTGAAAAACTCATTAAGAGTCACATTTAAAACTTCATTTCGATACTGTAATAATATCTTCGCACATACCATTACTGGTGTAGTTATAGCAAAGGCCATTAAACATTTCTTCAGTATTAATGTCTTCAAATACCTAGCATAAGTATCAAGAATGGTTAATTACCTTGACGACCTAATGTATCTGAAATTGTAAATTTTTTGCCGCAAGTTGATTACAAACACGTTCCATATAAGAATGAATTAGTAACTCTTGTAAACCAAAGATGTGTCTCTCTAAGTCGCATTTTAAGTCTTAATTTTTCTTATGGTATTAAAGGCAAACGAGAAGACGGGTGGTCACCTGCCTTTTTTTTTTCCGTGCGGAAATCCCCTCGGATACCACCTGTCGGTGGCATGTCGGACTCGAACCGACTAAAACCGCACGCCGTCTCGGTTACTAATAGCCGGGGAACCAGGTATACCCTAGAAAGGAAGTCCCTGGTGCAAGGAAGTCCCTGGTGCGGGTTGTCACCTGCCTATGGATACAAGTAACTCAAATGACAAGTGCGTTGCCGCCTTGTAAGCGCGTAACAGCGATAGAGAGAAAAAAACGATTGTGGTCCTGCATCTCTCTCTGCTCTCTTCTCTGATTGGCTGTCACTTTACAACTTGTTAAACAGAAGTCATTGTGGGGGACTCTAACGCTGTTACGGTGCCATTTACACGCCGACATACGGCTAGTCGCTTCTATTTATATAGTATGTCTATGGTTGAGAATCCGGTAATCTCGTTCACTGGGTGCAAGCAACGAAAAAATTGCTTAATTGAGTTTTCTGTGAGGCCGTAGTTCACTCTGGTCAAGCGGGCCCATGTGTGCCGATGCGAGGCTCTCCCACGGTTAGTTTGATAATCGTTGGGCAAACAATTTTATCGCTAGGTTATCATTAGTTCAAGTTGATTTTATTACGAAATAATTCTGACACTGTCTGGTTTTATTTAAATATTGTAGATATTGATTATATCACGTAGCATCTTATAACTGGCATACATAAGGGAGTTTTAAGATCTTACTATTCTTCTTTCACACCAAATAGTTGTTTTAAGAAGTTTTTAGGTTTCGTCCATTTGGAAATGCTTCCTGAATGCCTTCTGAATTCACTAAGCCTGATGTATTTCATATTTGCTATCTTAACTGGAGTAGGTTTAATTCACCGTTTTTCTTCTAAGCGAATAGCAGAGTAATTTATTAAATATATATTAAACTTGTCACAATAGTATTCTTTGTAATGTAGAAATTATTATCATATTTATCTGTTTTTTTTTTCAAATCTTTATTTTAATATTTTTCGATGTAACCCTACGGTATTAATATTTCTGATTTTGTTATACTCTAGTTGTAAAGGTATAAATGTATTTTAATCACCGTCTTGTTACCGATGTAGGATGTATGAAATTGTAGGTAGGCATGTGTTTTTCTGAATCTAGGCAAAAATACATTTTGCCTAGATTCAGAAAAACACATGCCTACCTACAGTTTGTGATTAATGTTATTTAACCAAAATTCTTGCTGATGCCGAAAGAAGAGTGCATAAAAAAAGCAATGTCACCTTGGACACAATGTTTATACAGAACCTGCTAACGAAGATGTGACTAAAGTAGTTTATTTTGGTCATCAATCAGCACGACAATTTGGCTTGCTGCAAAATATTTGGTTAAAGTATGCTATTAGTCACATAATGTAACTTCCTTATCAGAATATGATGATTAAACCATTAACAAAGAGTAATATTTACATTAGCTCAATATATAACGAAATAGGTGTATAATAGACTGAACCTCCGTGTGGTGACGGATTAAGAATACAAATTGTCACCACCCCAATTCATCCCGTGGGTGTCGTAAGAGCCGACTAAGGGAGCAAACTAAGCAGGACAACAGCACTGCAAAGAGAAGGAAAACTTGAAACAAACCCTATACCAACCCGTCTGGCCAGCGTGGTATAGTAGGCCAAAACCTCCTTTCTAAGGAGAGGCTAGACTAGTATAGGCTGTTGATGATGATGATTGATGAGACTGAACCTAGTTACCGAAATATATCACTCGTTGTATTCATCATCTCTATATTTTTCACTAGCTTTTGCCCACGGCTCCGCCAACATATATGTCGGTTCTCGCGCTAAAAAGTAGCCTATGTTACTCGCTGGTAATGTTCTTTCCATTAGTGGAATAATTTTTTAAATCGATTTAGCGGTTTAGGCGTGAAAGCGTAACAAACAAACTCACTTTTACATTTTTAATATTAGCATGGATTTCTGTTGTAAGTCATTGCCCTATTGCGTGATGTCAATAATTCCAAGTTTAAAGCAATAAGTTTTCGTTCCGGTTTCGTACTGTTTCTATGTAGTAGTATTTATTTTGATTTACGTATGTAGGCCTATTTACAGGCGTTATAATTTTTATACTTTTTAAAGGTTTGTAATAGAGGTGTAAACGGCTTTTCCTTTGAAGGAAGCAATGCTACATCACCCATCATATGCCTGAGATTGGACCATTGTGCATTACATAGTGGTATCTCAGATGCCATTTATAAATTTGTAGCATAAATTGTTAGAATTAGTCGTTTTAAATGGTAACAACCTGTTTTTCAAATAAAACTATTTTAAGCTCATAAGACAACGAACTATTTCGACGCATTTGCAAAAGGCTAAAATAATTCGAATTTGGCAAACACCGTTACACTTACCGTAAGAATTGTCTTAATTTACAAATTATTTCCGGGATACGAATCGATAGTTTTTGTACATTCGTTTGTCGAGTAAGTTGATGTATCAAAATTTTTATGCAGCTTATCTTACTGGTTACCATGAACTTGACGAATAATAATGTTTTTTTTTGTAGTTAGTTAGCAATGAAATATTTATAATTCAAGGATATATCCAGAAAAAGAACAGTAAGATAAATCTTTTACACAATGTGTGCCGTAGTTTAATAAAATGATGTAAAAAGGTTACATAATATAGTTAAGCTGTAGGGATCTAGTAAATCATTTTGTGTTGTCGTCAGGGTAAAAAAAGAAGGCATTCAAAAAATTCCTAATTGGACCGTCAGACTATGTATTTTTTTTTAAATAAACGTCGTTATGTAAAACAGTCAACATTTATTTATTTTATACTTTATGCACAGATGTGACACAGGCGGACTTAATGCCGTAAGCATTTTCTACCAGTCGACCTTAGGGCGATGCAGAGTCAAAAAAAGTGGTAGATGCACAGAAATTAGAAATGTGATTTAAAAAAAAAAAAAAAACTACTATAAATAGAATATCATATGCACAGGGTACTTAAATAAATTGCATTAGAATATATTTTAATGAGACAGATACATACATATATAATAGGTAATATAATAGGTAAATAATACATAAGTATTTATGTTTACATAATAATATACATTTATACATACATATAATTATACATATTATATATATATACATACATACACACAATAAATTCTAGAAGAGAGAGGTATCAAGGTAGATCTGATAAGGAGTTTAAGAGATGTTTCCGCAACAGGTATTTAAAAGTTTGCCGAGTTTTTGCCATCCTGATCTCGCGAGGCAGCGCGTTCCATAACAGGACGGATTGTACCAGAAAGGTAGAATGTAGGAAGTCAGAGCGGTGAGTGGGGCAGTGAAGAAGGAGGTTGCTTGAAGATTTAAGGTTTTTATCATGGTTTGCCCCTAAATATTGAAGTTGAGTAGTTAAGTAGGAAGGAGAACTAGGAGAAAAAAGTAAAGAATATAGGGTACTTAATGCTCGTGTCTCTCTGCGTTGGCGAATTGGAAGCCACCCCAAATGGGAGCGATGCTGCGACACGTGATCATATTTGCGTAAATTGAAAACGAATCGAATGCAATTGTGGCAATATATGAATGCTAATTATTTTTTTGAGTTTTATGACGTCAGTCGCCTGAATATAAATAAAATAATATAATACTTACAGTACGCCATACTATTGTTCTCATAATGCGTTACATATTTTGTTTTTGAACCAGTGATGTGGACATTAACTGTAAATATTATGTAAAGGTTTCAGTGTTTACAAAAGCATTTTGTAGTATCATGATAATTAAATAATAATATAATTTCCGAGTGCATTATATTAACATATTCTACGTTTATTATTGCAAACAATGTTTTTACTTATTCTAGTATCTTCTAATATATGTATAAATGTCTCGTTTCAAGGTGTTTGAAACGGCTCGACCGATTTGAATGAATGTTTTTGTATATTTGTGTTTGGTATGAGAAAGTAAAGTATTTTTTTATTCTCCTACCGCAGACGAAGCTGCGCAGGTCTGCTAGTATTTACTTATTAAATATTATATAAATTTTTTTAAACCCTTTGAAATTAAATTTACATATATACTCAAAAAAAGTAAAAGATTGTGACCCACCGGTGCAGCGGTGTTGAGTACTGGGACCAAATTATATGAGGTAAGGGTTCCAGAAGTAGCCTTCTTACTGGCTGTGCTGTATCGAGGCAGATTGCCTTCTGTATCAGACCTTTTATCCAGCTGCCTAAACAAAATCTAGCCTTACGTCTATGACGACAATTATAGAGGCTCTTAGAAATGAGACCATTAGCCGATAAGAAAATCGGCATAACGATTGTGGACTCCACATCCCACATATCAAGAATCTTGTCTAAAGTCTAAGTAAGAACTTTTCTGGACACTTCATCACTTATTCACTACTATACCAACGTTATTACCAACAATAATTCCGTTGGTGATAATGGCTTTATCCCAGTATAATGTCATCACGACCATTTTCAAAAACCGGCCGGTTCGTGCACATACAAGTATAACTCCACTATTACATTACATACATTTGAGGGTCAGTTGTCCGTTTGATGACGGGTTAAGAATAGTGAGTGCCACCACCCCTATTCATCCCGTCAGTATCTTAAGAGCCGACTAAGGAAGCAAACTACGTAGGACAACAGCACTGCAAAGAGAAGGCAAACTTGAAACAAAACCTTATCCAGCATGCGTGATATAGTAAGCTGAAACCTCTTTTCTTAGGAGACACCAATGTAAAGTATTGGACTATTAAAGGCTATTGATGTAATGATGATGTGAGAGTGGGTTGCTAATGGAATATCCTGACCATTAGCTCATGTTTATGTAAGTCAAGAACAACTAGCTTTTTTATGATTGAGGGTTTCTCCGGGACGATGACATGCCCGACAAATATCTAATAATAGTGGGTGAGGCTACCGGTTCCCAAACGTCCCTCCCCCTGAATCTGGGAAGGAGGGAACCACATCGGAGCCTCCAACCAGGACGACCAACAAGCCATTGTGTGTCGGCGTGCTGCTTCATGCCACTCGCGTATCTCTTCGGGCAGAGTATAACCTACATTAATGAATACTGGTGAAAACACAAAATACAATGAAAACAATCAAAACGAAAAAGTATAGATTATTTGCTTATACATCAAAGAAGTAGGTAGGTGTAACTGTATAACTATATAAATTAACCTGATTATAATATTTTATGTAACAATTTATGTTAACGAGGTTTTTATGGAGCGATTGTAATCTGGTTTACAATAACACGATACAATAACACTTGAAGCCATTGAACCTTTTATAACGACCTTAAAAATAAAAAAGTTCTCAATTCAGTTGTATTTTTTTTTTATGTTTGTTACCTCAAAATTCAGTCATTCATGTATCGATTTCGAAAATTCTTTTTTCTTTGGGAGTGTACGAAATACTTCTTGTTTGGTACCATTCAAATTGGAGTAAAGATTAGCACACGTAACGGTGATTTTAATTCATCTTGATGTAGGCGTATTGAAGTCGGTGTAACTTCTAAAAAAGTTAATTATTTAAGTTCTACTTCTAAAAATTTATTTGGAATTGAATACCTAAACTGAGGCCTGTGGTGACTTCTACATACAATGATAAATATCAGGTCTTTACCTATGAAATTGCCGTTTTGTATGCAATAAGTGAAAGTACTTATTTTTTCAAACTTTTTTATTTCTTATTGCATACAAAACGGCAATTTCATAGGTAAAGACCTGTTTTATTTTCTAACACCATCTGACGAATGTAACTACGGAGTATTTCTTGCATCGCATGAACTGATCTGTTTTTGTCCACCGTGGCGGAGGATCCTCTATGTCGGAGGGACTAACACTCGGTCTTCCGTAGATCAGATTTATAAATTAACCCACCCCTAGGAAGGAGTTCTTATTCGCTATATTCTATGATATAACTTTTCTCGTTAGTCCAGTAACAAATAAGTGTTGAGTTAGTACCGAGAAATAGAAGATATATATATATATTTATCCTTCCAGGGTTGTCACCAGGAAAGAATATGTTCAAGCAGGCGATCCAAAAATATCCACAGCTACATGATATCGCCTACTATGATCGTATGGTGCGGGCAAATGGTTCTGACCATACTCTAAAGTCCTTTTTTGTTTTACCGAGTAAGTCAAGGTTTTTCTGTTTTATGTATCTAAATTACGAGTTTAATAATAACAGGCACCGACATTTTCGGAGATATTAGAAGTACCTAATTTAATAATTAGCCAATACAGGCAAGTCGAGATAATTCTCGACTTGCTCGTTGGTGTAGTGCTTAGTGACCGTGACTGCTAAGCCGGAGGTCGTGGGTTCGATTCCAACCCAGGACAAATGTTGTGTGATGAGCATGGTCATTTGTTGTGTGTCTAGGTGTAATTTATCTGTAATAGGTATGTATTTAAAAATATATAAGTAGATTTATCAGCAGTCTGGTTACCATAGCACAGGCTATGCCTTGTTCGGGATCTGATGGCCGTGTGTGAGATGTGTGAGGTATATTATTATTATCTTTTTAATCTATGCACTACATTAAATTTGAGCTACAATACTTTTTTTAATTTAAGGGACCTCTTTAGACTTAATCTAAATAAACAGGAGTTAAAAAAAATATTTAGAAAAGTACGATTACATACAATATTGTGAGGTATGAGCTTTAGCTGCATTTTCCATTTCTAAACATCCCAGTTCTAAAGATGTGGCGATCGACTCACATCAGACCACATGACACCGTTCGTACTCACATTAAAAAACCACAAACTCAATCTGTTTGTATTTGCTAGTAAGGTACATTTGCCAAAACCATTACATTTATTTGTTTAATCTGAAGTAATCTGAAGCTTCTGTTCCCACATTATGTATTTCAAATAATATTTGTGTTTACAGAGAGTGATGACACGACCTTCAGAATCTTGTACGATATCAAAGAATATGATCCTCTGCTGGACTCCTCAGATATGTCTGAAGCTGATTGGATCAAAATTGCTAAAGACGTGAAAGTATGTATACTTATAAATAAATGAATACTTTACTTTACTTATAAATACTGTAAGACTGACTTTTGAATTTATTCTTATTGTCTCGGTGGTGCAGTGGTAGCGTATGCGACTGCTGTGTTGAGGTATCGGGTTCGATTCCCGGGTTGGACCAAATGTTTGTAGAATTTGCAAATATTTGAGACGGAGTTTGGTTGTTTTCTATGTGTAATGTGTGTGTATTTACAAAAAAAGTATATGAGTATTCAACCAGTCATTCTCGCCTTCATAGTACAAGCTCCGCTTGGTTTGAAACTAGATGGCGTTGTGTATCAGATGTCCGAAATATTATTATTATTTTATTGCCATCTAAAATATAATGAATAAAACATTAACTGGTGTTAGCAATACTTTCGTTGGTTTTTATCAAGTAATTGAGGTTAACCGAGGGTCAACTCCCCTCTCCCATAACTCTAGGGGGGGAGGACTCTCACCTTCAGGCAGCTGACCCGCCTTCTAGTTTGACTCTATACTATAAAAAACTAACTTTAGATATATTCGTTCGAAATAGTATTTATACTCGTAGATCTTAATCATTGTACGTTGTATTTTCAGCCTCTAATATGCTAAAGTAACGGGTTAGCATAACCTTAGTTGATTACTGATCACAAACTAACCCGGAACTTAATTAGGCCACACGTGTTCATATTGTTTTAAATAATTTTGACTGCACGAATGGCGTATTAGTTTAAGCGGTCACCTCGCCGCTCCTATTACACTGATTGTTGTGGGTTCGATCCCGATTGATGGAACAACACTTTGTGTGATCCACAAAATAATGTGTCTGATTGTTCGTCGTGTCTGTTTCATGGATATTTGTAAAATCCCCCATCCACGACACAGGATATATTCCTAGTGTGTGAGTTATCTTTTTAAAATATAATTTTAAATCTTATTTTACTATTTGAAATACCTATAGTATGCATAAATTCAAGTTGTTATAAAAAACTATTATGGATAAAAATGAAAAGATCCGCATTCTTATAGTAACATCAACGAAACCGGCTTTAAAAACCTAATACAAGACGATTAAAATCTAAAATAATCTAAATAAAATTAAGATTAAACAGTGAACTGTAACTGTGCTTATATAATTAACTTAAAAAATGTGTAACTGACTTCAATGGCGTATCGAACTGAATTGTAAAAATCTGGATTCAACATTCTTACATCTTCTTAAGAAATAATTTTGAAATATTATTTTTTTCTTCAAATTTCCCGCCAAACGGGAAAATCATTCTTTATACATCGACATTAATGACGAAGTTCTGAATAAAAAAACATAAAGCCGAATTTAGAACCTTCTTTCTTTTCAAGTCCTTTAAAAGTATATCTCAATACTAATAATATTAAATTTTATAGAAATACTATAACCAGTATGACGGATTCGTGATTCTCCACGGCACCGACACTCTCTGCTACACTGCTTCCGCTCTTTCCTTCATGTTCGAGAATATTGGTAAAGCCGTCGTTCTCACTGGTTCACAGGTAGAAGCATTAAATATTATTTATTTATCATTTAATTTCACCAAAATTACATACCTTCAAGTAATATTGTATGGATATTAACATCACAGATCCCAATTTTTGAGCCAAGGAGTGATGGAGTTGATAATTTTGTAGCATCGCTAATAATAGCTGGTGGTTTTAACATTCCTGAAGTAACAATATTCTTCTACGGCAAGCTGTTTCGTGGTAACCGGTACGTTGATGATCTAGTCTATTTTATTTTATAAATAGCATATTTCGAAATAACCATAAGTAAATCATGATGATGATGATGATGATAAGTAAACAACGAAGACTTACCGAGGTCATTAACTTTCTTGTTTGGTTGTTTATAAATGACCATTTTATTTAATTTCATCAATCTGAATCAAAAATTTTACTAGTTTGTTAGAATAATGACTACAGTTATACTCAAGTTTTACAATCTAAAAGTTTCGGTAACTTGTTAGTAAATTACTAAAATCAAACGAGTTGGTTTCGAAATCATTCGATGTTTTATATGGTTATTAAAACCTCATTTAATTAATTTCAAAGATCTGACATTTCGCTTTATAACTGCGTACTTTAGTAAGTTTTGTCTACGTTGCTATCAGTGTTTCAATATATATGTCTAATTGCAGCCTCTTAGCAAGCGAATTAACCAATTTATTTATTCGCCAGAACTCGGAAGATTTCGGTTAACAATTTCTTTGCCTTCAACTCTCCCAACGCTGAGCCGATCGTCAAAATGGGTATTGAGATGGAAATAAATAAGACCGCCATTTTTAAGCCCAGCGTTATCGACAAGTTTCATCTTCATCCCCATATGTCCAAGAATGTGGGCTTGCTGAGAATATTCCCTAGTATGGGAATGGAAGCCGTGAGGTCAGCATGTCAGCACCCAATTCAAGGTAAGCAAAGTAAACTACTGCATTAAACGGGTACAAATATTCCTACATCATATATTTTAGTATAAAACGCTACACTTTGTCTAAGTACGTTGTTAGTTTCGTCACAGTTCGTGTAAATGTTTGAACGTCACATTGGGTAAGAGTTTGCTAACGATCTGTCAACACCAAAGGAAGTATTTGTTACGTTTTCAAAGCGTATAACATTTTCAATTATAACCATAACATTTAAGTATGTTTCTTATTGGCATTATACGGATTAAGAACTCTGTTAACATCAGTTATTAAAATGATCTCCGTGTTCAATATAACGACGCGTTTAGAGTGTTGGTTGGGTTGAACCTCTTCTGTAGTGCGTGGGTATGTTAACTTGATTCTACGCAATTATGCGTAAGCGCTATGGATCCCTGGAGCACAGAGTGTGGTCCGGCTCCAACAGCATCCTAAGCATGATTGCAAATAGGCTAGATTGTGCATACGTGGGCCGATGTTGCACCCTTCACATGGGATATAACAGCAGGCCATCTGTGCAGTCTATGTATTTTGTATTCTTACTAACAATTGTTACTAAGTTTACTTATTTTAATGTGAGTCTTGGTTACTTTGTGAAATAAATATATATTAATTATTATTATTTATTAAACATATGTCAGAACGCACTATTTCTACACTAATGTCAAATTATTAGAAAGAGAATTGTTTAATCACCTTGAAAATGTAATGATAATATCTTAAAACAATTTTTAATCTCTTTAAATATAGTATGTGTATTTATTGATAAGTAAATATATCAGTTAATTATAGATTATAGACTGTATTTTTTTTTTGCTATAAAATGTTGTTTTGGGTGCTCTGGAAAAATAGTTACGCCACCTTAATCACGTTTTATTTAATCTAACCAACTGTTATCTTTATCATCCCACTTACGTCTCGCCGAAATTGTTCAGTAACTGGTTACATCCTCAATTATATCTTACTTATATGTTGGTCTATAAAGTATCTAAATAGTTACTTCTGTTAAATGAGTACTGATTGACTTTTATTGTCGTTAATCATAGTTTTGAGTTGGGTTGATACGTAGCACTATGCCATTAGGGCTTTCTAATCCAGTTTGAAATTCCTGCATTGACTTATCCTGTACGGTTTATGGAGTCACCAGGTGTCACCAGGAATTGATATCTTGTCAAACAGCGTTTAATGAAAAATATTAATTTAAAAACGAATGTTGGACCGACGTTGAAGAAAGCGTCATGCGCTCAAACTCGTGGAAGGATTCGTGGCTAAGTGTTATCCGAGTAGGTTAGCACATTACAAATTTAAGCAATCCTAGGCAGGTCAGTCTATTGATAGGTGACCTTCTTAACACATTGAGACCACTTCGTGCCTAGGAGAGCACGTTAGGCCATCAATCTGTGGCAATCGTTACGGATGGCTTCTGGCATCCAGCTCCTGCCAGCCATCTTGCGCAAATCGTCACTCCACCGTTCCTGTGGGTGTCACACAATACGTTTGCCCAGACGCGGTCTCCACTCAAAAACTCGTTCTCCCCAACGATTGTCAGTTCTGCGGCTAATATCGCCAGCCCACTGCCAGTTCAGCTTGCCTCTGAAAAGTCCAACAACAGTTTATCTACAGAACTTCGACATCGTCTAGTGCTTGGGTTATGAAAGTCTCAGGCCAGTCCCTGCACGTAAATAAATCGTAGTTAAACCGTGTCATAGTAGAATGAAAGCCGTTCCCAACCTATTTTGGGAAAAGACACGGTGGATGACTGTACCTTATAACAACATGAAATTTCAATCGCTCTAATACCATTGTGTTACTGTTAGGTGTTTTATTGCCATTTTATACTCGCTCATTGTGGCAGCATACGGTGTGAAGTCAATATTATTGATATTGTGTAATTTATTTTTAATGGTGTGTGAATAACAGTTAGTTACAATAAGTTGGCATGAAAGCTTGCTAGCTACGATTTTTCCTTGCTCGGACAGCACTAAAAGGCCATCCAAGTAGTATCTATTTATCACAGACTTAATCTTTCAACTAGTCAAAAAGTATGTTAACTTTATGAGGATTAACTTCCTTATTAAAAACATTGCACTGTTACATGTGTTTTAATTATTCTTACATTTTCTAAGGTTCACAGCTTAGGCTACCGTAACTATAGTTGTTCAACGTGTGTAGTTCTTAAAGACACATGAAGAAATAAATGTTCATGGTAACCTTTTAGTGAATCGGTGCTCTACAGATTTGACGAAACTCTATCTATAAGGTCGACTTTGGAAAACAGTGCTAGTGCAGTAAAAACTAATTTAACAGAACTTTATTATATTCTTCTAGGCTATTTTTATCCCAGAAGTCAATTCTACTCATTCTCTGTAATTAACCCTTAGTTTACCGCCCTTTCAGTCCAGATAACAAAAATCGTAAACTTCGTAGACCTATCTCTACTGGAATTATTGTTTATACTGTAATCATTATTTTTCCTTCTGCCCACTTTATATGAAGCTTGAATCCTGTTTCATGACCGAGACCTCATTATAGTTAGTAAAATGTCAGTGGCTAATACGTCATTATCTACCTCTTGAGGCCCTGCCTTCCCTCCTATATAGGCAGATGCGTATGTTATTGTAATATACTTTCTATTCTTACTTAGACAATTAAGTTTTTATCTTTTTTTTGTTAATTCCCGATGCAAAAAGGGAGGTGTTATCAGTTTGACGTATCTATCTGTCCCATCTTGGCTCCTAAACGAATGGACTGATTATAATGCGGTTTTTTTAAAGCTGACATGATCGAGATGGTTCTTACACAACTCGGTTGATATGAGTATACCTACTGTTATTATACTGTAGTGACATTTTCATAACAACCTGCTTGACAGTCTAGCAACTTAGCAACCTTCACCTAATCTGTGTTATTTTGACTTAGTTTTACCTTAAAGGCACATGAAAAAGAAAACAAAAAGTCCCCATGCCGACGCAGATATCAGTGGCCAGTTGTTTCTCTGGCCTCTACTAAATTGAAAATACATGACGCAGGTTTGGTAATTGAAGCATATGGCGCGGGCAACATTCCTGCCTCTCGCCACGACATTGTGGAGGAAATTTCAAAGGCAGTGAAACGTGGAGTGATTATAGTGAACATAACTCAGTGTACTACTGGAGCTGTTGCACCGGTATACGCCACTGGTCAAGTTAGTAACTTGTTTTACACTATTTACTGTTAGAGGAGAATGAAATTTCAATTTGTAAAAAATTAAGGCTCATCTGGATGTTTGGGGCATAGTTTTTCAGAACTTAATGAGGATAAAGTGGGACATATTGTAAGGTATCAATTTTATTTAACCATTTTTTAAAAAAACTAAAAAGTTTCTTTGTGAGTAAAATTGAATGAATTACTCACACACTAAAATTTCTTACTTTAAAAAAGCTTTAGATGTAAAAAATTAAATTGAAATAAAAGCCACGAAATCTTTAGAATTCATCATCTTACATAGTCTCTTAAACAAGTTATTAAGGGAGAAAGATTTTCCATGCTGTTCATTGATCCTTCCAATAACTGAGCTTACGTCACCATTGGTCACTTAACCAATAACGATAACCTTTATTGATATTATTGTCCATCAGTGACAACAGTATCATAAAATTCAGGCAAATGAACTATGACATATACGCAAGTGTATTATTTGTATGAACTTGTCCTATATTTTTTCTATGACTTTGGAAAAACTGGGAGTAATGTTTTGTACATGAAATATGCGAAGCATAAATCAACATTTAAAAATAATTACTAGCCTCCTTCATTTATAAAACAGGTTTCCCCCAGTCTATTAATCAGCCTAAACAAGTTTAAAAAATGTTACTAATAATTTGCATTAAAAAAATACAACGAAAAACCAGGCAGCGGTGCACTATAGCAGACAAAATATAAGTTTCGGTAGCTGCTTATAGTAATTTAAGAACAATACCGACTTCGTATTAGCATTCTAACATACCACTTATCTTTTTGAAGCCATTATAAAAAAAAAGTATGCAGTTTATTTAAATCTACCTACGTCGCAAACCTTTTTAAAACTAATCTTACTTTAAATTTGCTCATTATGCAGGCTATCGCAAAAGCTGGTGTAGTATCCGGTTACGATATGACTCCTGAAGCGGCTCTCACGAAGTTATCGTATGTTCTGTCCAAAACTGATCTCACATACGATCAGAAAATTGAGGTAAGTTATCACTGAACTAAATATTACAGATTCAAATTCAACTTATCTTTAATTTACACCAATATTCTTTTCTCGATTTTATATTTGCCTGCGATAGAAACTGTCTACAAATAAGACGACCAAAGTTACCATTTTATGGTATACCAAGGTACAATTTTTTTTGAAAATCTATAATGGTTTTAGAAATAGTTTCATAAATACATGCATTGTATGGTTTACAGATGATGGGCCAGAATATCAGGGGAGAACTGACGAATATGACATCTATGTTGTTCCAGGTGAGTTATTGTCTTTTGTCAGTTATTCCTAAGCTAAATTAAATAAGAATTAGTGTTGGATTCGTGCAACCGTAGAAAGCCCTTCCCAACAGCTTTATAATACTACACTACAAAAATTGTGTTTAGTCTAGGCTTATAGCTGCAGAGCTCTAATCATGCAATACTTACATCATTTTGATTATAGTTTTTGGATAACGTCTCTATCCCATGGGCTTCTCTTATCACAGGACGGACTGGATAAACGCCTCGGCAAATTCGAGCTACTATACTGTTACTTCTATTGTCCCTTTCCGACTTGCGATATCCCTTATACCAAACTCGCTTGCCCTCTCTGTTTTTAGCCTAATTTTCTTTTGTCGCGTATGAAAACGATTACATTCCTAAGAAAGGTAGGCATGAAGCAGGCGGACCGCCATAACACTAGTAATTACTGTGGGGCTTTTGGGGTTCACAATTTCTAGATTGACTAGAAATTGGGAATTCCAAATAAAATTTGGAGAATTAAGAAGTTTTGGTGATCTAGAGACACCTCAGCAGTATTATTTGCTTTGATAACTTTGAACTTAACTTGACTTTACCTTTGGGAAATATTATTCCCTTTATCCATTTTACCTATCCATTCAACTGGTATTGACAAATTAAATTCTACATCCATTGCATGAGGAAAAGTATTACACATTAGAATATCTCATTATAAGAGTAGAATTAAAAAAATACATTAAATTAGTATTTTATACATATTCTAGGACCAAACATTGAAAGACGCTCTGGCAGCCAGCCTCAACATTCAGTCACCCAAGAAGCTGGACGAAGTTACCGACAATGTTTTCTCATCACTACTGCTTTATGGCATCAAATGTGGCGACATAGACGTTGTAAAAAAGCTATTAGGTAAATTATCATTGAGAATATACTTTTATTTATTTATACTATACTATACATTATCATCGCAGATAGATCAATACAACAATGCAAGACTTACAATAAAACAAACAAAACTATGATAAAATACTTAAAACCATGAAATTAAAACTAGAGCAAGTCAGTACGCATTATATGGCCTTTGTGAACTCATTAAGCGAACATGAAAAAATGTGAACATGATCCGACAGCTCCGACCCTGCATTGAGAGCACGCAGCGCGCGCGTAAACGGCGCCCGCTGCAGCAGATTGGTGCGCGCGGGCGGCACCGCAAGCAGGCGCGCACCAATCAATTATACTGTAGTAGTGCAAACACTGGTAGATTCTTAATATTTGATGGTTTACATACAATGCAATATTGTATGATTGCAGATATGGGTGCAGATGTGAACGCAGTTGACACAGAAGGCAAGACTCCTCTCCACGAAGCCATTTTGCACGGAAACGCCAGTATTGTCGAGTTTTTGCTCAAGAATGGCGCCAACGTGCATTACAAGACTAAGTACACTATTTTTTTGTTGTTGATGTCATTAAACAAATTGATATTTTTGACCCTGTGTCAATAAAAGACTAACATACTCGTACACATACTTAGTGGATTCTTAGTTCATTATCAAAAATATTTGTACAGTTTTTTAGCAAAAAGTACCTCCTTATAATTTCCCCATTTTCCGATTTTTAAGCTCCCTAAAAAGTTACTTAGATATGTAAAAGAAAAAGTAAGTCAAATCGGTCCAACGATTTTCAGTTAACGCGTTTACAAGTAAAACAGTAACATTTAACTTTCATCAAGATCCACTTATAGATTAAATGTCACTTATCGTTTCACTTGCTATTTCAATTCTCTTATGTAACATCAATTCTGTAACCTACATACAAATACTACCACAAATACACGTAAGTAATTTGCTGATTTGTTCTTTTTACAATAGACATGGCGAGTGTCCGCTCATCACAGCCGTGTTAAGAGATGACGTTAAGATTATTGAAGTTCTGCTCAAGTGCGGCGCTCATCTGACAAATGCCGACAATCCTTCCGTGACTGATATAGTGAACGTGGCTATCAGATCGGGCTGCTTAAGGAAGTTGGAGTCGCTGAAAATGGCCGGCGCCAGTTTCGACCTACGAGATGAACTTTATCAAACACCACTGCATAAGGTAAGAAATGAATGAGGAGCAGGGCGTGTTGGGTTACCTTATTATTGTGTTTGGGTATTTTTATGCAACAAGCACACGGTCTATTTAACAATAGGCGAAAAATATAAGCAGCAACCGGTTTGGTTATGTGTGCTTGCTTGAAAACTTTTTTTCATAAAATCATAAAAATGTTATAGGTACTATTGTATCCCCTGTTGTAGTGGCTTCTCCAAACCCAGGGGGCAGACAAACGGGTACACGACTCTGGATTCTGCTAGGTATTCTAGTAGTGTCAGTCCCGTGTCCCATCTGAGAATTGTGCTGTATCATACCCTAGCTCAATTTGCTATCCTGACCTCGAGTGACCATTTCCCTTAGTCCATAAAGATACCATCCTTTGGATTGTTACATATGAGGCCAAACCGAAATAAAATTAGGGTTAGGCAGAAGCGAAATGAAGTTATGCCGACTATGATTGGTGGTATTGAGTAGACTATCTTCTTAAAAGTATTATCATTCATTAATTAGTTTATCGATATACAGGTTCTTCAGTAGTGTTCTTTAATTTTGATATGAGTCCATACTATGATACCAATATTATTTTGTAATAATATTAGTTGATAAAATATAGTGGGTAGTTGTTAGTGGAATACAAATTAAATTTTGCTCCCAGTTTTAATTAAATATATATTTTTTTAATTTATTGTACAGCTAATACAATAATATAACATTATAACACACTAACTTCCAGTGAAGAGAGACATTCCTTGTGAGTTGCCACAATTTACTTAACACACTATTACACCTGATGATGGAGCCACTACTGAACACTGTGCAAAATCTTGAACACGTTCCATAAAAGGATGTATAAATTTAAAGCTGATCTAAAAGAAATACAACCAAATTTGCATCATACTTGGTTTTGTATACTTGATGTGCTTAAAGGCTCACAGCAAAAAGTTCAGTCAGTTATATAGAGCATGCATTATTTGAATGTGCAAAGGTGAAAAAAAAACTCTTATTTGGTGTTAAAAAAAAATGCAGATCTAGCACAAGTGGGGTATAATGTTGTAACATCTGGACTTTAAATGAAAATTTTACAGTCATGTAAAGTAATGCCAAGTTCTGGGTAAAGCTCCACACAGGCACCGCCTAATTCCTCTCAAGTTGCTACAAGTATCTATCTGGGACAAGGTGTGAATTCCTAAAACCAAATTTAAGGGTACACGAACCACATTTTCCCCAAGAGAAGGTATTATACTCGTACGTGGGGTCGATGGTGAACGATATGAAATAAACATCAGAAATGACTTGTTTAAAGAGCCCCAGACCGCTGTCTCAGAAGATTAGACGCAAATGGAGCCCACTGTTCGAAAGACTGTCTGCTTGTTTGCCCCAATATACCATAAGAATATTTTCTTTTTACCGAAGAATCTAAAACCTGCATCCTATTCCGAATATTGGCCTATTTCAATCTTACACTTACTGTAAGAAGTCCTTAAATGCTACATCCACTATCAGCTCAGTTTATTCCTTAGGAAGAGAATGACGCCCCAGCCGTAGCACGGTAGCCTTTCTCGTCAATATTAAAGATGGTATAAGAACAGGCATGGAGAATAGAACACTTGTTCTTAGTACTTGATTTTAGCTGTGTTTTAACATTACGTTCTTCAAGTCATTCTAGCTCTCTGAAATATCTCGAACTGCAATTGACTGGTTTTATTGACTGTTTAGCCGCCGAAATCATGTCCGACTGGTTAATGAAAGGTAATTCCACGATAGATGATTCCAAACAACTGCTGGTATTCCACAGAAAATTTCTGTATAAGAATCATTTTTGGCTTACGCCAATATAACCAAATCGCCGAATTTCGTACTAAACTCAAGTTGCTTCTGATTCACTTGAACTGGAATACTAATCTTATTTTTATTATTTTCGTTGCTCCTGTGTACACAACGATACAATATTACAAATGACACTATGATGTGAATGATAACTGTTCTTTAGAAACTCATCAAGGATCATTACGTATCTCTTTGATACCTATACATTCTACATTTGTATTATATGTATGTTTATCTATGAATGTGTGTAAGTGTGTATTATTTAGATATTAATACTAAATGTTTATTTTTGCTCATTATTTTGTAGCTATTGCACTTTGACATGACTTACTTAGGATAGTCCATCCTGGTTATCTATAAGAGATCGCAGACTTTGATAAGACTGCCCATTGTAGTGTTTCTTAATATATTTCTCTCCATATCTACCCTACCCCTATCTATCTATGATGTTACATGTGAAAATTTTCTTCTCAATAGATGGTCTAACTAAAGCAAGAATATCTTTTCAGTACTTTGTTTAAATCGAATTTTGTTTAGGAACTGAAACCAGGTTTTTTTATTTCAGGCTGTGATATGCAATTGCCAAGGTGCGGCTGAATACTTGATACAGCAAGGAGCTAGCGTAAACTCCAAGGACATCCTCGGGCACACTCCATTTGACTACGCCAAGAGACTCAACAGAGATAGTATTAGTTCGATAATGGATTTCTCGGGCCCGACTAGCAATGGAACTGGATAAATCCCATTAAACTTGTCGATTAGCACTTGACCAACAAGGTGTCCTGTTACCTGAGAGGAAAGAATTAGAGGAAGAAGCAATGACTATAATCAAGAGAATTGTCATCAATCCTCGTTACTGTAACAGCGTGTTTGGTTGAGCAGTAGATTTATAAAATGCAAAATTGTTTGATTCTCTTCAACCATTTATCGCACTAGTTTGTCTGTTTCTTCATATGTGGACGATATAATAAAAATAAGAGTTCGTTAGAAACGTTAGAAATGTCACATATTTGTAAAAAGTTAAATTTGTCAATAAAATGAGGTTATTGATCGTGTAACACATGCTGATATAAATGTTGCCGACCTCCTCATAATTATGACACGCAAGCAATTGCTACGAAAAAGCACCTACCTCTTTTTTATTCGTCCGTGCACACACCAAAGTTTAATTGTAATCAGCTGTTCTTGTAAGTGTAGATTTTTTGTCGTGTTTTTTAAATGTGAAATTTACAAAAATCATGACATTTTTTACTAAAAGTCAAGGTCAAAGAAAAAATAGGCTGTGAATTATCGGGAGCAGTTTAAGTACAGTGTATGGTGATGTGTTTTGTTGCATTAATGTTTTAAAACCAGTTTTTATGCAATTGAAATATTTAAAACTTTTACAATAAAATCACTGACACGAATTACACTTTTAGATAAAATCGTATATTGCATCCAAATTATTTATTGTCTATAAATTTTAACATGCTATATGTGAAAACAATTTGTTATGCCGTGATAGTATTTTATTTGAAGACTATTTAGAAATAAAATATTTATTATTTAAAACAGTTTTTTTTATACCACAAGTATAATTTGGTTTTTAACACTGATGGTGATGCAAGCGGTTTTTTTTTAAACAACTTCCACATAAATTAATATTAACTCAATATAAACTTAATATAAACTCCTGAATATTAACTCAAGACCTATCTAATAGCCAGTTTGGAGAACTACAAATATATCTACCAATATATAGCCTGAGTGGGAATTCAATCCTTAACACTAATCCTAACGTATTGGTGAGACCACCACTTCGCCATGTAAACACCATGAAACTAAATTATCATTTAAGAGGTAATTTCTTTCAGTAATAATTGATCTCTAATAAAAATACTTCTTCGACCACTTGCCTGATCATACTTAGCGATTCGGCTACCCATCATTTTGGTAATATGCTTCGATAAGTCAAGTTTTAGTCAAGTTAAAAAAAATCTCAGAAAAGTCGAAAGCAATTAAATAGTCAAAACAACTTGTTATAAAATATCAATAAATATCTGGCGTGTTAGTAAGCATAGCCAAGTTGTTCATAAGAAGAGGCACGTGGTGTTCTTGGAGGGGACAGGGACTGTAGGTGCTGCAGCTGCGGCCGTGTAACCCTGAGATCATAGCATCTTCCACTGACGAGGAGTTCACCATGGCTGACAACAGTTTGTTACTGCAAGAGCAAAAATGTTTATCAGACATAGAAAATAATATACATAGTTATGTTATTTAAGCTTTAAAAATGCAGCTTGTGTTTTAAGTAGATGAAAGAATCTCTCTTTTCAAAACTTCATAGTTTTACAGAGATCTCATAATACAGTAGACTGCACGGATGGCGTAGTGGTTTAAGCGGTCCTACTGCGTCGAGTGTTGTGGTTCAAACCACAAAAAGGACGACACTTTGTGTGATCCACAAATTGTTGTTCTGAGCGTTCTTTGTGTCCGTTTCATGTACGTTTGTAAAGTCCCCCGCGACACAGGATGTATTCCTAATGCAGGAGTTGTCTTTTTTAAAAGAGAAGAGTAGTTATGGCTTTTATAAGTAACATCTTTTGTCTCGCTCTTCCACAATCTGTGTATAATGCACTGAAGTGTGTAACAGCAAGGGGGGAAAGCGCGCGCTATTTGATTTGACCAATGAGCGAAGGCGGTGCTAGAGTTCGCCGTTACTGAGCATTTCTACTACTCGACTTTTACGAACGGTATACCAACCCGTACGGTACTAACGGTTGGTAAATATACAAGGGTTTGTTTCAAGTTTTCCTTCTCTTTGCAGTGCTGTTGTCCTGCTTAGTTTGCTCCCTTAGTCGGCTCTTACGACACCTACGGGATGAATTGGGGTGGTGACAATTTGTATTCTTAATCCGTCACCACACGGACGGTAATAAATATAATAAATCTAATAACATTTTTGATCACATATTAATTTTATCCTATTTCGCAGGGAGTGGTTTATTTGTCGAATATGTGTGTGTGTATGTTTGATGTTTCTTTGTCACATACTAGAGAGTCTTAATAGAATTAAACAAGTAAATCGTCATAATACTTGAAGTGAAATAGAATTTATTGTACTTACTTGATAATTTGACTGAGTATTGCACGAGGGTCTGCGATGTGCTTCTGTGTAGCCCAGCATGCAAGCCGGAGTGGGCATCCTCCAAAACCATCGCTGTTCATCAGCATTTGCTGCCCCAAGTCTAGCAACGTATCGGCACTGAATTCTGCGTTATCAATCACTAGAAAGATAATATATTTATTTAAAAAAATTGAAACATCAAATACTATCAAAACGGTAATCTAAATATTTTATTACGAATTACTTGGAAATAATATGCGCGAGTTGACAGTATGATTAAACATGTACATTTTCTTAAATAAATTTCTTGATAGAAGGCCTAAAACTATATTGTTTAATAATTAATTGTAACAGAACTATAAGGATCTCTCTGGTGAAACGCCTGGCCAAAACTAAAAAAAGTTGTAGAAAAAAAACTAGATGGCCGCTCTTCCATTTTCAAGGAGCAATTCTGTCATCAAAATGTCAGTTGTATAAACGGTCAACAAGAAATAAAACATTATTTTTGGGTTATAAAATAAAATTATCAGTGATCAATAGCTATGTCTATTCTAATATAGTGGCAAGGACAAGATTTACAAAACATTCGTAAGTATTTTTTGCATTTGTAATTTTTTCGAATTTCCAACGATTTGTCGTTCGGTGATCTTCGACTTTGTTACCGTAATCTGTTAAGCAAGTAAATGTTTCTCTTTAAAGTACAGTTTACTACTTTTACGTTATGCGGTTAAACTTCAATTTTGTTTTTCCATAATAAAAAAACTTCGTCTTTAATATAAAGTAATGGATAAAAAGTATACGATTGAAGAAATAAAGTGAGTATTCTGACAATACTATTGAACTCGGCAGGTCATGGAGCAAATGTACATGATTGAAATATTCGTTGACAAAGTAACAGTATTCACTAACGAAGACAGTTCTGCTGATAAGAATCTTATTATTAAAATAAAGTTTGGGCCCAAGTCGCAATTTATTATAAAAGAAGGCCAGTTAATCGTTAGTGAGGAGAAAAAAGATGATACCATAGAAGTGACCGAATCGGGACGAAAACAATTTTCGAGAGTTATAAGAGTTGGCAAATCTTTTCTTTTTCCATCATACCCTGATACTATAATCACTACTTTGTCCAAATTCCCGCTCGAAATAGAAGTTTGGAATGACGATGAAAACGAACCCGAAGATAAAACTTTTGTGGGCGTTGGACTCATGTTATGGCATACAAGTTTTTTCCATTATCTGAAGGAAACTGCAGACGCTTTTAAACTACACGAACCCTTAAGTATTAAGGAGGTGACTACTTTATACCAAGAATGTTGCTGTGGAAAAGCTGGTGAGATTACTTTCATATTACGATTAAGTGCTTTAGGAGATACAATTATCACTGAATTCCAACAGCAAATGAGTGACCCAGATAAATTTTGCTTTAGAACTAATAAAGCACCAAGCATGTTTGAATGCAAGAGGATTGAGGGAGATGATCCTAACTTCTGTATGATTGGTAGCCTTTATGAAACCACTACTCTGGAAGATCCTGATGTCATGGATAATGCACAGAAGAAAATCGAAGTATGTACAGAATTACAAAGCTGTGGGATTGCGGGCGCTGGCACTGGTAATGTATGTGAGCATAGTGAAACGGAACCTGAAAAGAAACATACTATTGAAAAAATTAGAATGGGAGACATAGTGGGCCCATGTGGAAATTCTAACTGTCCATTAGCTCATAAAGTGAGAGCGTATATAAGAAACCTTGACAGTTATAAAACAAAAGCAGGTTCTCTCCCAGCAGGTGAGAAGAAAACAGATGGCACTAAGAAGATTTGCGGTACTTGTGGCTGCAAAGACGATCGGTGGCATAGAGAAGATTGTCCCGACAAAGCAGTGCCAGATAAAACTAAATGTGCCGATTGTGGTGGGCTGGCCAAGATGGGTGAAACTTGTGAAGATAAAAAAAATAAGCATTTTAAAACTGGAGCTACACCCCCTGAAAACACTCCCCCGAACACGCCAAAACAAAATAAAACACAAGCTCAATATGTTACTAGTCTTCCAAACTTTGAAGACGCTATGTTTAGAAGAGATTATATTATCCAAGAATATTTTGATACAACATTTAATAGCGTTGAAGACATTGCTAAAATAACTGGTGCGAATAAATCTGATAGTGTGTCTGCATCTGCTTGTCAATCCACTGACCGTAAGACACCTGGTGGCCCCAGTACTAGACCCACACCAAGCAAAAGTTCAACATTCACTATGGGAAATAATAACTTTTGGGTGTTCAATAATACAGCGACCTATAGCGGTTGTACGGATATACCAGACGATAAAGACTGTAGATGTAACCCGCCAAAGCCATCTCCACCTTGTAATACCTTTGACTGCAACTGCATAGCCGAAACATTAAATAAAGCTTCAAGAAAAGCACACCGGGCATACTGTCCGCTTTACAAACATAAGAACAATTGTCCTGTGACTGTGACAGACGAAGAAGAACTTAAAAAGGAAGATGAGGAAGATGAAGCTGAACCTCTTCCGTACGGCTTGCCGCCCGTACAACTTGGTCCATGTCCTGTGATGGGTAGACCATGTACTGTACCAGATGGTTTTGCTAGAATGTACAAGACAGCGGTACAGCCTACACACCCTCCAAGCTATAGTGACGCAGGTAAAGTGTGCTGTTCTAAAGAATATCAGAGAATAAAGAAGGCATTAAAAGAGTACATGCAATACCAAAAAGATCATGATTTCCGTTGTATCAACAAATTTAACGTAGATACGGAAAGAAGGTGCTGTGACAAAGAGCAGGTACTGAAAGCTTTGATGGGTAGAGAATGCTGTGGGTCACATAAATTAGCTATTCAAGAGAAGTACAAAAAAGATGAAAAAAAGCCAAGTTAAATGAAAATTAATCTAATTCATGTGACGTCGTTTTAAAACCTAATTATACATTGATTTTTATTTTGTAACCCATTAAACATAACACCTAATTATACGTATACAACTGATTTACTGTTTTATTGTAGTTTGAGGAACTCGCATTTCTGATAATAAGTACATCTGTACTAGACTTTGTGAAATATCAAATAAAAATATCTGAATATTTAGTAGTATCTATTGAAAGAAATCATGAAATTACTACAATACAATACATAAAGTGGCGCTACCCTTCTTACGTAGCATCTCTTTTTCAAGGAAGATTACTTCATATACGAAATTCAGATTTGAAATTGATCGTAGTTTCAATCGCACTATAGTCACTGCTCGGATTCTGATTGTCATAGCATAACGTATAAAATAAAATATATATTTTTTTATTTCGTAACCAACCCTTAGATAGTTCGATAGCATTAAGAATAAATCCATGTGCGATCGAACCCACAACACTCAGCGCAGTAGAAAGCGGCGAGGTGACTGCTTAAACCACTACGCCATCCGTTAGATTTAGATAGTATACATATTACATTAGATAGTATACTTATAGTAGTACGTTGTAACCTTTGGTAGATTTTGCCGTTTTATGTTTATGCCATAGGGGGCAAGCAGACGGTTCAGATGGTGGTTAGTGACTAAAACCGCCCCTGGACACTGCAATACAAGAGTCACAAGTGCGTTGCCGCCTTTGAGCCCACTCTGCCAGAATCGGGGGTGATTTGTGCTGTTGGTAATCCGAACAAAAAAAAATGCTACGAAAATGCTTCTGTGAAAAGTTCTTAACATTCTGTTGTGTCAACAATCACCGATCACTCTTTGAGCTAATATTTTCTATCTATTTTATATAAGATTTATAAATCAAGATCACGCAACATTTATAAGTCGGTAAAAAGTCATACCCCAAATATACCAAGACAGACTTGGTGGTGTAGTATGCCACTATTGTGCTGAGGTATCGGGTTCGATTCCCGGGTCGGACCAAATGTTTGTATGATCTGCAAATATTTGTTTCGAAGTTTGGGTGTTTTCTATGTATTTATTTACAAAAAAGTTTAAAAGTATTGTATCAGTTAATGTAGCTTAACTCTGCTTACTTTGAAACTAGATGGCGTTGTAAGTCAGATGTCTGAAAAATGTTATTATTATTTATTAATTAAATCTGTGAGTGAATTAACATTTATTGGAATTTGTGCGTACAACAGTATTATTTTAAGGTCTAGTTTGAAATGACTAGTGCTAAAACACGGTGTTATAGGCTAGAGACGTCGTCGGTGGCTAAGAACCCTAACTTTATTAGATATACTCTACTTGTATCATAAATATTTGCAAGTTTTACCGCTCTCTGGTATTTCGAAGAATGTGTCTTCCCAGGTTTGCCCATGATTTTGGTTTTGGTTAGTTTCTGACACCCTCAATGTGGATGTTTTGAGAATATGACACTGTGTCCTTCATTGACCGATGTATAAAATAACACTGCGGTGGGACTTATGGTTTATCGTAAAAAAATAATAATTGCGCAACTTAAAATTAGTCCTAACTCCATATAAATGTAAACTCAAATATTTATATTATATATAATAATACAGTCTAACCAATTAGTATAAATAGATTTTAGTATCAATCTTAACATAATTATAAACTGCTGCTAAAATTTAACGAACAATCAAATTGTTTAGATATAAGTGCATACTAAATCAAGATGGGTGAGGATGAAGAAGGAGATACGAAGAAGAAAAAGAAAAACTCTTCGAAGTATAATTACACTTTTGGAGACACATATCCAGGTAAATAAACGTGAATCATAGTTATTACAATACCTTTTTATACAGTGCATCCTGTCTACTAAACGTAAAGAACATCAAAGTACATGTAGAAAATCATAGTTTAGCAACTTAATGTATTTTATAAAACATCCAAATCTCATAATCAATAACAGACAGAGTTAGCGGCAGGTCTTTTAGTAGGTTATTTTTTTTTGGATTATTGTAAATCGATTAATAACAGGATACAACAAACTTGGAGTTACTAAATTTAAAATCAGTCTCAGAAAATTGTATGAACTTGGGGCAATTAATCTAGCCGTACTCGTTAAATAAAAACAACTGACTGTGTTCTTACACGGTAATAGTGTTACATGACGGATGTTTAGTGGTACCCGGAGACAGTAAAATTATTACAACTGTAATAATAACCTGTCAGTCACCAAAAAATTATAAGTTTTTTTGCATAACCTATGAAACAGATGTCTCAAGTACACCTTAAAAGATTAAATGTAAATAGAGTTAAAACTATTATGTTCATTTTGCAAACTAATCTGATACATACAGTAGTTGTTTTAATATTTATTTTTCTTGTACAGGAGTCAACTTTGGTCATAAACAATGCATGTACCTCAAGCCTGGATTGCCCGTTCCGGCTAATATGGGTTGGCTCTGGAATGCGACAGATGTTCCAGGATTGAAGGTAACATTGGTCATAAAAACAATAAATGAGACGAGCTAAGAGCCAATACTGCCTACCAATTAATTGTCCGAAATGAAGCTGAGGAGATAGTGTTGACTATGGATGTTGTGATGTGCCCAGATTTCAGTCAAAAGTCTTGTTGACAAAAGTTTTGTTCGACAAATGAAAATATCATTTAGTTTTAAGATTCTTGATTCTCATATCACCTGTTGTGGTTTTACAGTTCCGTCGCGGATGGTCTCCAGGCATTGTTGGCAAGAGCGTAGCAAAATTGATGACGTTTAAATGCGCTCGTGGCGGGCAAGACAAAGACAAGAACAAAAAGAAAAAAAAGAAAGGTAGCAGACCAGGAGCTGATGTTGGCGGCGGAGACTCTGAACCTGATGAGCCTCTAGAGCCAAAACCAGCTCTTAAAGTTCAGAGGAAAGGCGACGTTTTTACAATACAGGTACATTCCTCATCTTGTAATAAACTAAAAAAATGGTTAATACGATAGACAATTTGTTAAATATTTTTAATGTTTGATATTAGAAAAAAACCTACTTCTCCACGAACAACAAACAGCAGAATTTATTATAAAATTACTTATTCACTTTTATGCGAACGTAGTCACGTGCAGTATTATTAGTATTATATAAAATTTAATTGTCATAACCATGCATTTCAAAACATCAACTTGGAACTTTCAGACTTGGAAGCTGTTTTAGTTGCATTATTAATTGCCAAGGATCCCCCCTTAAAACTTGTGTGATTTAACCGACTTTAAAAAGGAGGATGTTATCAAATCGGATATTTATATGTCTTTTTTTAGACTGATTTTCAAAATTTTTTTTTGTTCGAAGGGTTTATTCCGAAATGGTCCCATTTAAATTTCATATAGATCTGATGATGAGTTTCGGAGACAGACAACGGAACTCTTCAAAAAATGACAGTAAATTAACCAATATTTCTGCTAGGTTTTTAGTGCTCTTTTTTAGTATTTTTTAAGTCGGTTCAACTTTTTTTAAATGTCTGTAATATTCATGTTCATGAAATTCGTTACAATCGAATGCTTGACCGACTGTGTTGACTTTTATTTGTGTTTTAGCAAATCCCTGAATGGTTAAGATTTACGAACCAACATGTATTGTTATTTTTTTAGGGTTTAGCGTATTAGTTTTATTGACGAAATCTTTAAAGAGATAAAATGCCTATATTGAGGCTGGACCATTTATTTTAATAACTGATTTATGAATAAACACTATACGGTATTGAGAATATCTACGGTATTGTTTTCAGGTAAACCCATTGAAAGATTTAACAGATATAGCACCAAACGAAGATCCGTACGTAGATTGTGATCCAATGGTTTTTAAGATTATAAAAAAACGGAGTCCAGAGGAACAAGCAAAGGTTGAAGCTCGAAAAATGGTTAAGTTAAAAAAACAACGTGATGCTGATATCAGGAAGGCCTTGAGTGAAGCTGTAGAAGACATTTGCAAGTGTGCGTACATGGATGTGTTTTGCAATGATCTCTCTGCAATAGACAGGGTGATAGACAGTTGTCCGGCCTTCAAGGAACCCGAATGCGTTTGCCAAGAAGAATCTTTGAGCTCTTTGTCAAGTAATGCCACTTGGGATATTGAATACACTCCTCCTTTTGGATGTTTCGATTTGAGTCCCAGAAAAAGGAAGGCCTTTATTCACGTAGAGACACAATATATTCCCGCAGACGCAGGCATAGTGGAGCCACCACCAAAGCCTAAATGCAAAAGGTCATGTGCATCTTTGAGGCCTAAAAGAACAAGAAGGAGCTGTTGTGGCCGCTGCTCCTAAATTAAAATGTGTTTTTATTAAATTACTTGTACTGATTGTTTATCAGTGAAATATTTAATTAATAAATATTGGATACTATTTTACAATTTCTTACAAGGTGTATACTTTCATTTTCTTTGATCTTGTGTACCATTTGTTATAAATAACGGGCAGCTAAGTTTTAATTGAATGATTTAATGAAATTGTTTTTTTTTTAATTTAATGAAATTACTAACTCTGTCTAGGTACTTTGGTTTATCAATGGTCTTTCCATAGTGAGGTCGCCTACTTAACTGCAACTACGTTGAATGAGCTACTTTTTTATGTACGTCCCCTCTTCTGCTAAGCTTTAACTAAGATATTGTATCCAAAAAGGAAACAATAATGAAAAAAATACTTACACTTGGTGTACCGGAAAGATTCGTGATCGTGTGTGCTGTTTTATCACGATTAGTATTACCACTGTGCTGCCCAATACCATTATATCACCAAACGCCAAAGCCGCAGGGTTGATGTTTATCGTCGGGTACTCAAGTTTGTTCCATCTCTTACACTATTGCATTGATCGCACCAATTAAAAGGATTTTGAACTATGTCATCTTTATTAAGCGTTAAACGTGAAATTAGCTGGTAATCGAATTCGAAACATCTAACTATTAGAGTAAAATCCAAAACTCTGTTTTAATTTACTTTTGACGCAATTAATCGGATTATTTCTTTCTATGTATTATCTGTCATAAACTATGAATGATACATTCATAGTTTATGACTTACACAATATCTTTGGTCTCTTTGCTTATCTGTACCAATTGGATGGAGGGATAAATGTATGTACGTTTGTTACTCAATCACACCAAAACGGAATTGGATGAAATTTGGTACATAGATATATTATAGTCTGGAAGAGGCTAATATTTATAACAGAAATCGATGCTAGTAGTAAATAAATGTCGTTAGGTTGTTTTTAATTAACGATTAAAGGATTATCTAACTTACCATCACTCCAGATTCCATTATTTTCTTTCCAGGTATTTTTGAGAAAGGAATCTTGAAAGCCATAGCTACCTGAATCGACTATTACTAAAACGCTTACATAATGTACTATTACCGTTTAAAAATACATAAATTGGTCAAAATTGTTTAAGGCGATTGTTCTGAACCTAATTTTGAAATATTTTACATAAAAGTATAAACTTCAACATTTATTAAAACATATTTTTTTTTGATAAGTTTTATTTTAAACGATTTTATTTTAAAATCAACAGTTTTTTACTTCGCAATTTTTACTTCGTCCTTCTACCTTCTTCACATAAAGAGAAAAATATCGCAAATTTTGGTCATTTGGAAATTCTATGTGAATATTTAGAATGAATTTGAATTTATTTTGTTTAATTAAACTAGTCTGATTATTACTTACTGATATATCATCTTCCAGCTCATTAAAAGAAAATAATTTAATTGGCCCTTGCTGAAATGTCCTTCTTTCTTCTTCACATCCACAAATACCACTATATAATAAATAACTACGAGTATTTTTAACATTGCGAAATACATAATTCACTTTGATTGGACAGTTGTCTCTGTATTTATCGGGCTAAAGCGTGCTCATGATTGTCATATTATTATTGTCTTTATGATGTTGTCAAGACATCATATGAATCATACGGCGTGACTGTCAACACTTCCGTTTATTAATAAACTATACAGAGCTGCAGATATTAGATTAAAACATGTAAGTTATGGACAGTATCTACTAGGGCAATATCTACTAGGACTATTCGATCTCAAAACAAAAAAAAGTGTGTGTGAGCTCCAATACATGACTAGAGTTTACTTCTCAAGATCGATTCGCCTCTACACAAGTATACAAGTGTTTTTTTTTTGTATATGGTAAACGGTGCCTATGTATACACAAACATTACTAGAAAGTGTAAGGTGCGCATGATAGGTGCGCACAAAAATCGTAACGAGGTCATTCGATATTAAAATTTTACTCTTCATATTTTTTTCATATTGAGCGCCTTATATGAAAATCGATTCTTAAGCAGTAAACCCCAAAAACCTTTAACATTGTCCGTTTGTTTAATTGTGTGGTTAATATCTGACGCCTTTTGACGGCCATTGTAGAAGGCAATACTCAGATGACTGACTATCTTTATGCGGCTTACTGACTCCTTACAAGCTATAATAACTTCGAATTTATGTTTTCTTGTAAATGAGATTCTTCAGGAACTGGTTAGTGCGATATATATAATTTTTCACTTATTTTTCGAAATCCTCTATTACGTAACTGAAACCAAAGATATTGTAAGTAAAATGGGCGTTTAATACGCCTGTATGTACTCCTTTATGGATATGGGAGTGTATATGATACACCCTTGCAAGCGATTATTGAACGCTTTTCTAATTCTCAAAAAAGGTCGAATTCATTGTCTTTCTTGTCAAAGTTTAGTTTTATCAGATGTGGGTACTGTTCTTAACTGTTCGAAGTTCTACATTGCTCAGAGTGCTAATTTGAACACATTTCATGGATATGGTTTAAATAATGACAACACAGAGCACGCGTTTAAGATAGAAATAAACGTAATCTACTGTATAATAAAATGTGGTATTTAGTTATGGTTATTTCACCGCATTTTGTTATATTCAACATTAAATTTCAGTAAATGTCAAACTACGTTAATATAGACAAAAAAAATAGGTGAGAAGACACCGTTATTGATATTTGTGTTAAGACTATTTTGTTTGTAAATTCTTTTCGATTCTAAGGTATTTTAAGGACTTTACAAACATACATGAAACGGACACAAAGAACATCCAGACTCAGACCAACAATTTGTGAACTCACCCCGAACCCACAACACTCAGCTCAGTTAGGAAAAAAAATAGGTGAGAAGACACCGGTACTGATATTTGTAATAAGACTATTTTGTAAATTCTTTTCGATTATAAGGTATTCTAAAGACTTTACAAACATACATGAAACGGACACAAAGAACATCCAGACTCAGGCTAACAATTTGTGAACTCACCCCGAACCCACAACACTCAGCTCAGTTAGGAAGCAGTGAGGTGACTGCTTAAACCACCTGCCTACGTCATCCGTGCAGTTAAAAGAAATACTAAAAGTAATTTATGCTGACAACAACTGTGAGCCTGAGATATATGAATTAACTCGTAAATAAGTTGCTTGGAGGATCAGAACCCCCTTAATTCTGGGTGTGATACCCAAAGGGGCCTAAAACGCAGTTGTAATCCATGAGTTGCAGGTAGATATGAAGTGACCCGTCTCCTCGATTACCCCTATACCGTTAAAACAAACATAGAAGCATGAAATTGTGCACAAACGTTCGTTAGGTGACGTTAGTGTGCACCAAGAAAGGATTTAAAAAATTTCCTAAGGGTTCCAAATGGGTGTTCTAAATTTATATAAACTTCGTTATTTTTTGTAGTAGCGTTTTCAAACTCAGACTGTGACGGTGTTGCTAATTTTTCAAACTACTCTTAACTTAAAACTCTGTTTTCTTTTTACCTTATTAATTTCAAACTCTTAGTATAATTACTACGATGTCTGATGTCGAGCACCACGCGGACGAAGTCTAATGTAATCTTTAAATAGAATCAAGGAGACTTACCTTACAAGCACGGTGATTCTTCTTAGTGGTGAGGCTTCAACCCTACAAACATAATATTAGAAAATCTAGAATAAATATACTTACGCTTAGCGTATCGAAAGTTTTCGCTGTTATGCACATACTGTTTAGCAAAGAATGGCAGTACCACTGTGGTGCCCAACACCACTGCGCCACCCAGTGCCAAAGCAGCAGGATTGATATTTATTGACGGAAGCCCCTAGAACAAGTGTGGTTTAATTACTTTATAATTTATCGTCATCTTCCTGCTAAAAGAAACAGTCTTACTTCCTTTACTAAGTGTTTCTGTAAGAATATCTATAGAAATCTTAAACGTATTTCTGTGAAGGCGAAGCGTGGGTAGGCCCCCGATTAGGTGGTCCAACAACCTGGTGAAGGTCGCGGGCAACCGTTGGATGCGTTGTGACGAACTGTAGGGGAAGCCTTTGTCCCTCCTATTTAAGGCGCAGTATGGCACACCGTGTGGTTTAAATCAATTCGATTCCGACACACCAGTGTGGTGACGGCCCGAAGGGGTTTTCACACGTCAAGACTCTAACTCTTCTTGGGATCTTAACAGCTTTAGATGGGATTAAAGGAAAATTCTAGTAAGAATATTTAAAAGGTCGAGAAAGCTAGAGTAAGAAATTGTTATTTAGTTAGTTAATATTAACATATCTATACATTTAAACACATAACGATTTAAATAATTTGTAACTTACAATCATCCCATAGGCCGAATCCATTGTTTTCTTTACTGGTAGTTTCAGGAACGGTATTGAAAACTGCAAGTCTATCTAAAAACGAAGAAGTGTTTCAGATTTAAAAAAAATCTAAATAAAGCCGCTCTTGTAATTGCCGGTAGCCAAGTAAAAATAACTAGCTTTTCGCCGAGTGAGTGAATTTACTGAAATCCAACCCCACACCCATTTTGTGTGGGGAGGGGCCCTAAGTCCTGCTATGCACATGTCACTTGCCATCCCTTATGCTCGTTTGTCCCCTATACCATAAGGGGCTGCCATATTGTGAATGCCAATGCAGAGTTGCCAAATGCACTAGCTACGTTTATTTTTTGCCATACACTTTATACTTTAAAAGTTATCAAAACCATAATCATCAACAGCCTAAAATAGTTCGCTGTTGGACATAAGCCTCTCCTAAGAAAGGAGGTTTTGGCCTACGTAAAAGCCGACTAAGGAAGCAGACAACAGCACTGCAAAGAGAAGGAAAACTTGAAGCAAACTTTATACCCTACCCAACCCTATTGTATCGTAGGCCAAAACCGCCTTTCTAATCTTGGATTTATAGTGTTTTATCTATGCTTTCTAAGGGGAGGCCTATGTATAGCAGTGGACTACTTAAAGGCTGTTTGTTGATGATGATGAACCGCAATGCCGAAAGCGCTCGCCGTCGAGAGGGAATTGATGTGAAATAAACTCGTACTAGGCCCTTTGCAATATATTCGTATCAGCCAATAATTAGTTTTCAGAACCTAATGTTCTGGTTCATAATTATTTGTTACAATAAGTATTCCATCACACGTCCAGATTGAGCGACGTGCTACGAAATAACTAACTTTATTATGCTAGTGTGCGTGCAAATCGAGTGTTCATAGTGACAGCGGATAGGAACCCACTGGCCAAATATTGGACATTGAATTCCAATCAATCGATGATCTAATCATCTCATCTCATTTATTTTACACACTCGAAAAACCAATTTGCTTACCTACCATTTTTTTTATTTGTGGCTTATTTTGGCAAGAGCGAATAGTTCCTTTAAAATTAAAAATATATAACTGTACTTACTGACACATCTTCGTCGGCAACGTTGAAAGAAAACAATTTCGGCTGCCTGCGTTCAAATACCCGTTTTCCTCGATCATTTTCACTTTTCACCATTATAGCCGCACAATAAATAAACACTAACGCTTTCAACATTTTGTCATTAACATTTTGATTTGACGAATAGTTTGTATTTCTCGCGCTAATACTGGCACCTGTTTGCCGCCATTTTTATGTTGCATTCATTAAAATAGTGAAGGGAATCAATGTGCATGACTACAAAAAGTTTCCGTGTATTGTTAAGCACTATATAATGCATCACATCACAATCATAGGGTTGTAATATTGTGAGATTTGAGTTGAGAACGATTAGATATGGCCACTTGTAATAATGTTACCATCTAGTACTAGAACTGTTACAATGCAGGTCTTTCAGGTATCGTCTACCCAGGATCTAACAGAATTTCGAGAATCCAATTATAAATCAAGAAATGAACAAAATGAAATTAAACTTATTTTGTACCCATTATGACTGATTTTGAGTTCATTAATTCATTTTTTAAGGCATTACTGAGATCAATGTAACTGCAGCTGCTTTAAATGCATTGGTTTTTAAAATACCTATTATTTTATATTATTAAAACGATTTTATTTATTTAATTTGACCAACTAAATAAATTTGTAAAAAAAAGCTTGGAAAGCAATTTTAACCTACGCCTAATAATTTTTGTGTTGAAATTTAACTTCCTACTTACATATCATTTTCATCTTTAAGCTGATCCGATCATAGAACTAGAAGGTCAATGATACTCTACAGTAGCTTCTAGTGAAATTCAATAGTTTGGTCTCATATGATTCGTTTGGAAGAATTCCTCAGCGTGTGCTTGTTAATGATGGTCGGAGGATGTATAATATCATCAGAGCATGAGAGGTACAATAATATATTATACCTATTGGATCTTTTTTCAGTTTTTGTTTCGGTTCACCATTAAAGCGTTTTATTTATAATTTTACTTCCGATTGCATCATAGACCATCTTGCCATTGTAACCAAACAATTCTGGCATTCCACATCTCAGTCCGGGTTTCCAATTTCGTTTATACGATCTCTTCTAAAACTTTAGCAGCTCTATATTGTGGAGCTTGCCAATTTGTAGTCTTTTCATGGTTATGGGTAACATAATGACTCATCTAAGATTGGCCGCTTAAATCCTAACATTAGACGTAATGGCACTCAATAGGACCTTAAAATGTTGATAATTGCTTTGCAGCACTTTCACCGCGCTCGAGTTTGAAGTGCACACGTAATTGCCGTTGGAAAAAACTTTGTAACAGTCTGTTGGATGTCTTGGTTGTCGTAATAATAGTAGAAATAAATAGTCTTGATTATAACGTTGATTATGAACTATTAGGTATTATAAACTCTGCAGGACAACAGACACTGCAAGTACAGGAAACATTGAAACAAACCGTATACCAACCGGAACCCGTTTGGCCAGCGTGGTATAATGGGCCAAAACCTCCTTTCTAAGGAGAGGCCTATGTCCAGCAGTGGACTATTGAAGGCTGTTGATGATGATGATGATGATGATGATAACGTTGATTGTGAGTGTTGTGGGTTCGATTTCCACATAAGATGTTTTTTTTGTAAATGAATTTTTATGTACGTCCTTTATGTTTTTATAATAATCATCGCTATGTTTCGACCTTTCGCCTATTTTTATTTAAGGTCGAACAAATACGTTATATTTCTCTTCATGTTTTTGTCTGTTTCAGTCCTCTTATCCTTTATTATCATTCCAGCTTTCGCATTGGGGCCATTAGTTGCTGTAACATTTGCGCCAGACTATAACCCTGGAATCGGATTGATTCCTAAGACTTCGCATCCACAACAATAAGAATATCAAAATAACCGCCGAGCATTAAATGTGTCAATATCACTGTAATAAATAAAACCTCAGTGTGTTTTTTAGTATTAGTTTTAGAAAGAAACTTTTCAGTTATCGAACATAACTGTACTGATAGCGTAGTGGTTTAAGCGGTCGCCACGCAGCTTCCTACTACGCTGAGTGTTGTGGGTTCTATCCCCACATGGGACAACACTGTGTGATCCACAATTTTTTGTTCTGTGTCTAGATGATATGTGTGTCCGCTTCTTGTATGTTTGTAAAGTCCCCCGCGACACAGGCTATATTCCTAATGTTCCCACATTGTCTTTTGAAAAAATACGACAGTCAACAAACATCCAGTATGTTGGGATAGTTACGATACCTTAAGAGAAAATATTGCATGGTTTCGATCAAAACAAGTCTTGTGACTTCTCTAAAAGTGAGAAAATATGATCAGCGTGGTTTCTTGCCAATACGCATTTTCTTAAGAAAATGAAAAATAACAAAGTGAAATACAGAAATTGGCTTAATCATTCTAAAATTAAAAGATCCGTATTTTACAGACCCTGTTTAGCATTCGGCCCATTGGAATTTAGTACTCACCTTGAAAATACCGATAACTCTGCAAATCTAGTATCCTTAGTTTAGTTTGAACGCTAGAAATGTTGATAGCCGCCTCGATAATTATAATTTACTGCAGTTCTAGGTTGATGAAGAAATACTTATTTGGAACATATTCTGAAAAGAGTTGTTGCTGTAGAGAAGCGATTGTGTTTTAATGATTTAGCTTTCAGGAAAAATGAAAAGTTCGGTAATCCGCAAAACGGATTTTGATGATTTTGGAACTGCCAGCGGAATTTAATTTTAGCGGAGTTAAATTACATACTAGAACTCTCCCGTTTCCTCCCCGCCGTCTCTTTAGCGAGCATCACTTACTCACAAAAAGAAGGAGAGGCACCCCACGCACTCACTTTGAACCTTTGTCTCTAGCGAGAGTTTTCCCATGCCAATAGCCGCCGCGAGGTTGCAGCATTGTTGTGTCACTGGTGAGTACTCCACTAGAGTGTGGAATATAAATATGTACAGGCCCGATGACAGCTGTTTGAGCGCCCGCGTGCAATGCCGATTAAGACGTCCTTTTTTGCCGTGCGGAAATCCCCAATCGGATACCCCCCCACCGGGTGACCAGTGCGCCGGGGTGGTTATGTCGGACTCGAACCGACTAAAACCAAACGCCGTCTCGGGTACCAGTAGCCAGTGAACCAGGTTTAACCTAAAAAGTAAATCTCTGGTACTCCGGCCGTCCCCGAGTCAACTTCAGATGGCCCACTCGTATCTAGTGACTTTGGTGACACCTTTCTGCCTCTAAAGAGCGTCACCACCCGCAACAAGTGTGTTACCTGCCTGCGCTTATGGGGGACAGAGATTCCCGGGCCTGGAGGACCGTGGGAGTACTAAACTTCTCTCGGCTTAACTCCGCTCTCTCCTTCGCGAGCATAAGTTGCTGTAGCCACAATCATTTTAAATTGCCTTTTTACGGATCAGACACAGGTGATTTCTGAAGCGTCCTTTCTCGGTGATCACCTGCGTGTGCTGGTATAAGAGGGTGCCATGTTTTTTTTCGAGATAATCCTCCATAACGAATCTTACTGCCGCAATAACGGCGTGCCTGAATCAAGCCGCTATGGTTTCCTGAACGGCCAGTATGGGATGTTTGGAAAGCCCACACGCGCCCGCGTTTCGAATGGTTCAAATTATACATTCTACGTTTTATAAAGTAACGCGAAACTAAAAAATATTTGCATTTATTTTTGTACACCGATCATCATTATGAGATGTCAATTATGATTTAATAAAAACACATTAAACATACAAATTTTGAGAATATTTCGTTTTCGTTTCAATATCTGTTTTTGCCGCTCCCTTGTGCGGGGCACGCTCTGAAAAGTAACAGCCAAATTTGCCGCCCCTTTAAATTTGCCGCCCTAGGCTCGCTGGTAAATCCGCCACTGATGTTGGACGATTATAACGCTGACCCGTACGAGTTATTTTACAACGAACTTATGAACTATTGTGGTGAGCACTTGTGGAAGTGTATAGACTTCGATTTTCTAGGAGCGAACACCGACACATTAATACTTTATGGTATTCATACCATACGACACTTTATGATCTGATCGTTTTCCATTGTTAGTAGAAGTGAAATTAGACATTCTAGCACCAAAAATACCTGAAAAGATGGTTTTAATAATAAAGGAATTATATGAGGTAGCAGAAAAGAGGAACAGATTGCAATTTATACAAATAAGTGTATCAAGCGATTAAAATTAATAGATTTTCCGTATGAACGTATGCAGTGTGCTCACTATTACTGTTGCAAGCCCAATCATAAACATTCTTTGTAAGTCGGCTGTGGCGAATCGGGGAAGCGTGAAGTCCAGCGGGAATGGGCCGCTTATAGCAGACTGGAACAAGCATGTCGATGAGGCTCATCAGTTGTCCAGGACTAAGTTCCGCGAATTGGTATTATGCGTTAAACCTAGAAATGGCGTCATGTACAATGAGATGAGTAAAAGCAGGAAAGTCTTTAAATCATCCCTAAAATGGTGTCAAGCCCACCAAGAGTAGATAAAAATTTATGCTATTGCTGAAAGGCACTCAAGAGCTGATTAAAGAGGTTTTTGGCAGAGTACAAATAAAATGATCATAATGTACGTCTTGGCCTACCAGTGAGTGTCTGCTGTGAGCGATTCCAAAGGTATTGCAGATCTATTTAGGAGCCACTTTACTGTGCAGTCGCCTTTAGGGCAGGCGAGCAGAGTGTTCAATCCTGAGAACACAGGTCAAACAAAAGAGACATATACTCGTATTACAGCAAGAGGTATTACAAACTATTAAAAGGTGTAAGTCCCCAGGGCACGATGGTTTCAGCATTGAACATCTGCAACGTGCAGGTCCACACTTATATAGGGTATTAGCCATGTTCTATTCGTTGTATGTAAGCCAAGTACCGATAAAAGTAATTACAGGCCTATTTTCTTAGCTACAATAACGGCGAAAGTATTTGACGGTGTGCTTAATACTCGTACATATTTAGACAAATACGTAAAACTGCATGATAATTAGTTTGGGTTTAGATCCCAATTATCTACTAAGAGTGTTATACTATCCCTTAAGCATACTGTTAGAGACTATGCGGATCATGGTACACCAATTTATGCGTGCTTCCTCGAATTGTCACACGCTTTTGATCTAGTCTATTATTTATGGTATAAAATCAACAGTATTTGCTTACCTACAGATCTAGCCAATATATTTAAATATTGGTACACACATCAACTAAACAGCGTCAGGCGCAAGGGTGCAATGTCGGAACCATACCGACTTGAGTGCGGAATGAGGCATGGATAGGTTAACATCACCAACACTGTTTAATTTGTATATGAACGAACTTATTGTCCAATAGACGAGTGGGTTGCTTGGATTAACAATATGTGTCTCAATAACCTTAGTTACGCGCACGACATGGTTTTATTGAACGCATCAATATGTGGGTTGGGAAAAGTGCTACGGGTGTGCGAGGGGTTTGTGCGTGAGCATGGTCTGCGACAAAATGTTTTGAAAAGTCAATACATGGTCTTTCAGACCGGCACACAATGTCCACAAAACGTACCTCCGGTTCGTCTTAACTGGTCGAACCTGGAGAGGGTCTATAAATTTATATATTTAGGACACTGGGTTACAGCGATGATCTGAGGGACCTTGAAGACATGGAACGGAGGGCGTTGTCAAAAAGAGGTAACATGATTGCTCGCAGGTTTGCCCGTTGTTCAGTACCAGTAAAAGTAAAATTTTTTAGCAAGCATATTGTACATCCCTCTACACGTGCTAACTACACGCAACTTGGCTATACGCCTTCCGTGTTCAATATGACAGTGTTGGGGCTGCCCCACTTGTGCAATGCCTCGGGCATGTTTGCGGAAGCTCGCACCGACTGCTTCCACACCACCATGAGGAAACGGTGCGCGTCCTTAGTGCGCAGGGTGCGGGTCAGTTCTAATTTCGTCCTGGCGGTGATAGCAGATAGACTAGATTGAGTGTTATGCTATAGCAAGCACTTAAAATAGTAACGTTGTCTGCACTTTCAATTGCCTTAAACAATATTTCAAAATGTACAGTACATTTATTAAATTAATTAAGATAGTAATAATAAGATTAAACTGAATAATAATAATTCATAAATGTAACATCTATTCTCTCTTCGGTTTACTTTATGTATTTGTTATGATGATGGAAATGCCACTAATGATCTAATTTGATTATGGTAAATTATAATGTGATTTAATTTATTTAATATTCTGACCTTTATACATCTCGAATAGTTCAGCTTAATTATTAGATAACCAAACAATATTCGAATATAGAGGGCACAGCCTCTTCAATTCTCGTTACGCGTACAAAAGGTATATTCCAACCGTTTAAATTAGTAAGTTTTTGTTTACCGGCGCAAGATCGTTCATGTCGTAATACTGAGACAGTAGTTACTAAATAGTTCAACTTGTTTTCGCTAGATGGTGTTAGTCGCTAGTAACAAGCACGTGTACGGAATTGAAAGCGGTTAAATTGATTTTTACTTGCTAAGGATGCATCAAGAGATTTTTTTTTATGTTGTGTGAGTGTAATTGAAATAACCCCTAGACCTAATAATCGGCGGACCACCGGGGCCATGTGTAAACGGTGATTTTATCGTCGTATTAAAAACTATGTTGTAGTTTTGGATCACCTTTGTCAGATTCTTGTTTCAACACTATGGTTTTATAATAATATTGCAAAATATCAACAAAGAGACGATGGTTGATCTTGAATGCGCATGCGCAGGGGACAATGCACGTTTTTCACGCTCTAAATCAAATTCGTGAATTTCTTCGTATCAGACTTACCTACTCGTTTTCTCAATGGAACAGTGACTGAGTGACTACTTTGTTACTGTTTCTTAGATTGTAAGTTTAATTACTAAGTCATGATTTTTTTAAGTATCGCACTTTTTACTACATTATACACCTATGCACATATCTTTCCAGCTAGAAAGACGTTATTTAGTAACTAACATCTAATATACCTTAAAGCACTGATGAATTTAATATTTCGATCCCGGCGTTCATCCGTGACGGATTAAGAATACAAAGTGTCACCACCCCTATTTATTCCGTGGGTGTCGTATGAGCCGACTAAAGAAAATTACGCAGAACAACAACACAGAGAAGGAAAACTTGACAACAAAAAAAAAGATTGTAGGGGAGGACCCCTAGCCTAAACTAGACGACGCGACGGTTAAACTAACATCAGCAGTGCTTTTTGTTTTGTGAGGCGTAACCCCATGGAGGGAAGTTTGCAGCTTCCCCCAGGACAGGGCCTAATTAGGCCCGGCATCGCGTCGGTCCTCGCCAGTGTAGGATGCCTGAGGCTGGCCGTCGAGGTGATTTCTAGTGGAAACACCACATATTCCTAGCTCCACAAGTTTTTGCTGCCGGGATGGAAAATCGCGATTTCGAGCGATTTTCCACCCCGGCACCAAAAAGAAGGCAAATCCCCATTAACTGGTAATAGAAAGAAATAATGTATATGTGTCGTGTGAGTATATAGTAATGTATCTGTACTGTTCTGTAATGTATCTTACTAATAATAGTTATTTCGTTATTCCATCAAACATCACATAAATCGATCCAGCCGTTCTCGAGTTATGTATTGCGTAAATAACCCGTCCTTGTTCTGTGTGTATTATATATGTATTGATAAGTATTAACTACTAATTAAATGTTTAAGATTTATATATATTTTGCAAATATTAAGAACTCTTGCTATTCAGCTAGAATATTCAGCATAGAATTTTCATCCTAGAACCAGAAACCAGGAAGTGTTGTATGTAAGTCAGTAGGGAATTAACTCAGCTTCCTACTCAGATAGAATTGTTTCAAAACCGTGACGGCTCGTAAAAGTATTATGCAATGAAGACCACATGTGACAATGGTGTTTCCCCATATCATTGTCTGGGAGCATGCTTTGGAACGCCCCGTATATAGATGTATGCGGAATTGGAAGACGGCAGTTATTTTCAAGAAGTTAGTACGATGGGACCTCAAGTTTTTCTTGCAGTGTTTGGAGCATGCCTGAGTTTAGTGGTGGCGGAATACAGGGATGATGGGTAAGATTGACATATTTAAGTAAATCTTTTTAGGTAGATGGTACTGGTAATAGAGTGGTATTTATGGATTCTGTGACTACAGTGAGTCTGTGAAGGCCACAATCAAATTATTATTGTGTTAGATAGGTACAGGATCAATAATTGTTGCGTAATTTGGATTGTCTCCACAAGCTGATGTTCAGGTTCGTTTTTATTTTATGTGGATCTCTGAACACTCTCTTACTTTTAAAAAATAGACTAGGCCTTGATAAATGTCTCGGGTATCCCGTATTTGTAACCCTAATCAGTTTTGATTTCAGAGGCTTCATGCCGAGCTTTCAACGCACCGAAGACCAACTAGCGGAACCCTCAGCTAGAATAGAAAAAGACAGAGATAGCCAAGCCGACAGGACGCAGAGGTTTGGAGTGTCAGCTTATGGTGGATCTGGGGTAAGCACTATATGTATAAAATATATATATAACCTACTTCAAAAAGGGAGGAGGTTCTAAGTTCCACTGTATGTATTTTTATTATAGCAATTCATAAGGATCGTAAAACTTAATCATTATTTTCGACAATCTGGGTTGCATGGATGGGTGACACTCGATCTGTTACAAATATTTATAGGTCTGAAAACTTTATGAACACAGTACTAGAAGCATCGCATTGTAGTCTGTATACTGTGTGGCTGGAAGTTCAAGATCCATTGTTGCGTGCCTCTTAATTTTATTCGATATTAGGATCAATTCCTATTGGAATAGGATATAAAATACGATGTAGGAGTTAATAACCACTTGTTGGAATGCAGTTTTATTTCCCTCATACTGAGAGAGGAGGCTTCCCAGCGGGTCGCAGTTTATTAATATTACTGATGTCAATACCATTCAACTTTTTAATTTTCAGTTCACATCTGCTAGGTTATACATACCACGTCGCATAATTTATCAATAACTAGTTATCGCATGTGGCTTCGCTCACATGATTACTCCTTATTTCGTGTTTCTAACTTTGAAAATGACGAACTTCTAAACAACCATGCCTTATTTTACCCCCTTAGGGGTGAAATTAAAAAAAAAACTTTCTTAGTAGGTGTTTACAACATAATCATCAGCTGCCACAATTTCAAGGTTGAGGCTCTGCGTTGTTGAATCAGCCCCTCAGGGCAAGTAATTTTGTAAGTATAGACTAGCATTTGTCTGCGACTCCGTCCGCGTTAATATTTATCGCGGTAAAAAGTAGTCCATGTCTTTCCTCAAGAATCAAAATAAAAGCTAAATCGGTTCAGCGGTTAATGATTGCCCATAAAAACTTCCATCCCCCCTTTTCACCCCCTTAACTGATGATTTCTGGAATAAAAACTACCCTATGTCCTCGGACGATTTCTGTAACAAATTTCATCTAAATCGGTTCAGCAGTTTGAGCGTACAGAGGTAACAGACAGAAAGACAGACAGACACACTTTCGCATTTATAATATTAGTATAGATATGGATGGGATGTTTGGTGGTAACATCGTTTTCAATGGTGAACTCCTTAAATGGTGCGATTTGCAGAGGACAAAGAAATTGATTCGACGACTTTTGTTGCGCGACTATTTTTTTTTACCAGATTTAACCACATTGTAAACTAGCGAAGCTGCGTCAAGTATAGCTAGTGGTTGACTTACATAAACACTCCCATATGGTAGCGATTTAGCGGTTACGGGTTCGAATCCCACTGCCAACACAATTGTATGATATAGTTGGAGCGGTTAACAAAAATACAATTAGGTATGTATGATGCACGATCCTAGCAAAGGTAACATTCTAAAAGACAGACCGAGTGACAACGAAAAAACATTTTTAATAGAATATTCACTAATTCCAGGGAGGTTATGGCAGCACAGCACCTGGCCTATACGGACCAGTAAAAATAGACCTTGGAGGTGTTCTATTAGGATCCATATTGGGTTTCGGAGCTGTCATCATCCTTCCCAAAATTATACATGCGCTATCGTACGGTTATGGCGGTGGATACGGTAGAAGTAAGTGGTTCCTTGCATTGAATTTACTTGTAACTTAAGATTTTTTTTAATGTGCAAACATGGTTATTCCGTATTTCAAATGGGAGGAGGGGTGGGGATTTTTTTTGGATTTAAAACACCTCGGAACGTGTATTCACATAATTTTATTGAATGTTGGCGTAATGGCGTTTAATTAGTTGACCTGAGTCCATATACGAGTATGTGTGCTTTTTTTATAAACCATGAATACACATTGTCATACAGGATAGGATAAACCAAATATTACCTATTGAAGACAGCACTATCCATAGAAGAATTTGCAGGCGTCTGTCAACTATCCCGATAAAATATCTAAAGCGTTTTGGAATGAAATGGACAAGACATATATGCTCAGATCCACAAATCGGATGACACTAACATATCAAAGATAAAAACATAAGTACCCTAAAGTCTCACAATCTGACATCAACATGGTAGATAGCTTCACTCCTTAACAAAGACCCCCTCGGACTCGAAACTAGTTCGGTTAGTTATCTAAAATACAGACTATAATAGCAATCCTGGGAGAGCCATGGCATGGAGGCACAAGTGGTCCAGCTCGACCAGAGTAATACTACGTAGGTAGTGTCCATGGGCGACGGTAGGCACTTATCATCAGTTTCTTCGTCTCCCCCCATTCCATAAAAAAACTCACGAAAGAAATCCCTATTATGAATACTCAAAAGTACAGAAAATTTGTTCTATACTGGTCAATGAAATAAAACAACACGATATTCAAAATGTTCGAAATTCTAGTTTAGAAGCGTTCAAAGACCTTCCTTATTCGTCACAAATTTTTTTCAAACAAAACTTGATAGATAAAACATTTTAATTTGTAAAGGTCTGGAGACAGACTTCAGTCAAGTGTCGGAGATGTTTAACAAGATAGACGAGATGCTGGCCCGGTACAACGTGGACTCGACAGCTTGCATGCAACGACTCGCCTGCTCCTATGTTCAACTCGCCAATGAGAATATGATAAGCGGCAACGCTACTGACTTCGACTCATTACTGTCGTCTTTGTCTAAGTAAGTTTTTTTTTAACTAGCTATTGCCTCGGCTCGTCTCGTTTTAATGTGCGTAATGTTACCTAATGCCAATCAATTTTCCGAAATAAAGAGTGGTTTATGTGCTATTAAAGTCTCCATCTGTGCCTAATTATATCTAGGTTAATTATTATTCACACCATCCATTCAAACTTTCTAATTTTAATAGTAGTAAAAGACAATAATTAATAAGATATTTTCTCAGAAATCACATAGATCTTTTTCTTACTTATAAGACCTATTTCTTAGCGTTCCATGGGTTCACCGTGCGGGTACAGGGTTAATCGTGTGATAACTGGGGGCAACACATGCGACTTCGACAGCGCCTGAGACTTGCCACCCAGATATAGGTTTAGGGAGTACCTACTCCTTGCGACACGTCAGCACTCACCTCCACTGTCTTACCCTCTCTACCTAACCATATTTGATACAGGCCTAGCAAGTTTTAGTTCAATAAGTTTATTATTATCATGCTAATCTAAATATTTTATCGTTCCAGTAACTCACTAGTCCAACGCATGCTGGACGGCACACCAGTCTTCGACGGGGTGTCAGCGGGACGCTCGATGGACTCCGACTGCCACGCTCTCTACCCCAAGTGCAAGCTCGACAAGAAAACTGTTGTTAAAATGCTTACTCAACTTGTACCATCGTAGATAGACGAACTTAGTGAAATTGAGAAATAAATAGTTAGTGAATAGTTTGTGTTCGTTATTTATGGTGTTTTTGAGGGGGGATAAACATAAAACATGATACAATACAAATTTAACAATTTTATTAAAGTCAACACCAAAACCTATCTACATCATCTGATATGCTGGCAACGCAATCCTGAACGAACTTTTACAAACCGCACCAAACGAGTCTTCTCGCCGTATTCTATTCCCTGACTGTGCTTCGCTATACATATATCATAATTAATTTATTATCTAGTTTAAATATAAAACTTATGCTTTTGAGCATTCTTTACCCGCCTATTTGTTTTGGTGGCCGTGTGCCGGTTCCCTTTACCTTAAAAAAAGAGCTACGCTATAATTGTCTATTGCTTCATATTTTTTAATATAAACTTTTTGCTGTGTAGATAGCTTGTAGAGGTTAGACTTCATAAACTAATTCTATGAACATTATATAGGGGATGGGTCTAAAGTTTGAAATAAAGAGCAAACTGCACCTATAAGTAAAGTAGAAGACAAAAGTATATTCCACAAAGACGGCAGTGGTCACCAAAACAAAAGTTAAGTCATGTGCACACAGGAGTATTCGATGCACATTGCATTTAAAGCCGTGAGACAGTGCGTTCACAAGCTCTCCCTATGTTATAAACTAAGCGCTATTTTTGAGCAATTTTAATGTAAATTCTTTTCATACACGAAGGAAAACGTTTTGTATGTAGCCACCAAGTGATTTATAATTCATATTTATTTTTTTAATTTGCAACAATACTCTTATGTAGAGTAGCAATCGTATTTAGTTCTTAATTATACAGACGAAATCAGACGCTCACTTCCTAATAAAAAAAAACTATTTCTAGCTTACATACACATATTATGTTCTTATAAATCAAAACTTAATGGCGTCATATCAAGTGAAGTGGGTAGTCCTTGTGTTATAAAAAGTTGCCAGTGTGCAAAAATTGCCAAAAATAGGCTCAACTCCGACTATTGTGTACATACTCTTAATAATAAAGCTAAGTTTTTTACCAACGTTGGTCGTTATAATTCGTAAGTTATATTTTATTGCATTATAACATTATGCTATGTTTTTAGTTTTTGAATAAAAAAATCTGTGTATGACAATAGATGCTTTATTTGAACTTCATGGGAATATATATTGTATAAAATGCATATAATAATTCATGTAGTCAATTGTTTGAACAACAAATGCCAGATTTTAATTTAAATAAAGCAAAAGTTGCCATACAAGAAAATCAATTCTATAATTGCTAACCTAATTATAATTTTTATTACAACTGGAATAATTAAATAAAATGCATGATCGAGTTATTAAAACTGGTAGTGTGGTAACTGTAAGACATTTCATAGACATTCGTAGTAGTATACAAAAAAAATAGCTTTACTCAGATAAAATACATTATACACAATATACCAGTCATATAATAAAAACACATACATTATTACAAATGTTAAGAGACATAGATTAAATGCATTAACTACTCTGTGCGGCCGCCATTACAGAGCGAAATTACCGCCATCTATATATTATATATTGAGTATCAAAGAGAAACTATCTCCTTTATTTGTTCTTACATACATTATTGTGATATAGTTTGTGAGGTCTACGAATGCCTAAAATAAATTGGAAAGTAACATTGTTAGGTACTAAATGGAAAGCTTATACGTCCATACATTGTTCGGAGATATTACATCTATCTATAAGTATCAAATATATACATTATTATCATTAAATCTTTGACAACGTTCAATGTTGTTAAAATGGCGGGAAAAATACACATGGTTTGTTATTAAAATAAAATATTAAAACAAAAATCGTTGTCCTCATCGGAAATCAGTAAGAACCTTTCGGTTTAAAATAATTGAACTGAATATGTCTTAAGAATTGTATACATTATATGCAACTTCAAATACAAGTGTGACGAAATATAGTTCTTAATAGAAATTTAAAAGATACATTATAGTTTGCAAGAAAGGCCACCAATCGCAGTATTTAAAGGATACACGAAACCCTTATTATATGGCTATTATCGTGTTTATCCGGTAAATATACAATTAACTTATAGAAATATTCACAACAGAGTTGAGGTATAACACAATTTGAGTTGTATGTTGCAGAAGATGCTAGTATCTCGTTATTTGTAACTTTACAGGCAAAATATTTGCAAATTAATCGGTACATTTCCAATACCTAACAGTGATTAGGCATTTAAAGCACCCTAGCAGTCTTGAGAGAACAGCTGACGTAATAGAATATAAAGATGAGCATAAAATGAGAATCACATGCCGAGCGCCGCGGTCATCTGAGTAAAGCTAAATGAAACATTTTACGTTGATGGAGAGATGGCACCAAATGCACGAAAGATACATTTTATTAACACGTTATTGTTTGTACCCTCTGTAAATGTATGTCCATGTGCCAATAATGACGTTTGAAATGCAAATAGCGCTACCTAATGGTGGATTAACCCGTTTTCAAAATCAAATACGACCAATATAATGTACGAGTAGTATTGCAACAGTAAATAAACATTATTTCTCGCTGACATTACAGTATCGGTATGAATACCATACTATAAATCAAATTCGTTTTTACCTACAGTCATTTCCATACTTATTATATTGTCTTGGAGAATACCTATTGTCGTTCACGCTCCTCCATTCTTACTTAAGCGACGTATATCACTACCGCATTTTACGCTATCGTTGTTTTTTTAATATCACTATTTCTAAGTTGCATTTTTAATAAGTGAACCGCGAGCGGACTGACTAGTTTTAACTGAATCAATTTGGGTTGAAACGTAAAAGGTTTCGCCCAAATGTTAAAGATGTAATAATTAGCTACTGAACATTATAAGATATACAAGTTTCACTCTGTATGTATATCAAATATCAATATAGATGATAAGCGTTTTGAAATTGTAAGATATTTTTTTTACAAATTGGATTTTAAACTTGTTTTAATGCATGAACATTGCATGTCTTATTAAAAATGTACATTTGCGAATATTGGCAACGCATTGTGCACTGTTTATATGTTACTAGCGACAGGTACTTCGAATTACTAGATTTTTTTTAACTATTTATCTGCAATCCGGCAGTAAAAAGTTCTTCTGATATCCAAAAAAGATGATTGATTAATTTTTGACATATCTTTTTTTAAATTGCTTGAGTTTAAACAGATAAAGGACCCAGACCTGCAAGATGGACTTTTTAAATCTGGTTTAACTATCAAGGGTTTAAAAAAGTTATATATCATTACAGACTGTCCTTGCAGAAGTTCCGCTTGTCATACTAAGACCATAAGGGAATGTATTTTAAAAAGAAACATTGAAGTATGTATTTTTAGCTTAAATAATATTTTTTTATGTTTGTTACGTTAATTTTACAGCTTGTATACTATTTCATTCTTTGCAAACTTTTTTCGCCTAAAATATATTAGTGACAAATTAATGTTGAAAAAATCACTTTCATTCCGATATTTGGTCAATGAGGAAATTCCTTTTATCTAATATACATATATTACAATAAAATAAAGGTAAGATTTAATAAGGCAAGGCAAAAGTTCACCATTTAACAACCTAAGATCGTTGCTACACTAATATTGTTAAGGTGTGTACTTAAATATTGCAAGTACAACTTATTCATAAAATTAACAAGTGTGACACGTGGGAATCTTGTCAAGATGGAGGAGCGTCTGACTGTTGATTGTTTCTTAGCAAAAGGTCGACGTTGGCCTATTGGCACAGCATACTGAAGAAGGAGTTCGCGTATGCCATTGGCTTCACGTCCGGATGTGGCTAAAAGCAAAAGACAAATCAATTTTATAAATCATTTAAAACTAGCTGCCTCTGTGGTAATGTGCCGTTTATTTGCCTTAAAAACTTTGTTTAATAAATAAAATTCAGTTGAGAATGCATTGGATCGGTTGCATTATTTATACCAAAAGATCAATTTTTGATACTGTCTTCTTATTGTAGGCTAATAATATAAACACTATTGATATTATTAGCCTACAATATTTTTTATTGACTACTTCAACTACTTTTTGTACATCATCATCATCATCATCATTATCATCAACAGCCTTTAACAGTCCACTGCGGGACATGGGCCTCTTCTTAGAAAGGAGGTTTTAGCCTTCTATACCACGCTGGCCAGTCGGGTTGGTATAGGGTTTGTGTCAAGTTTTCCTTCTGATTGCAGTGTTGTTTTGCTCCCTTAGTTGGCTCTTACAATACCCACGGGATGTATGGGGGTGGTGACAATCCGTACTCTTAATCCGTCACCACACCGTTTTTGTACATAGTACTTTATAATTTCTAGCAAATATTAACCTTGTGAACCAGCACAATCGAGGGGATTTGACATTTCTTAGAAAAAGTGTCAACTTCTCGAATGAAGATAATGTTAGTTTAAAAAATTAATAAATACTCACCACAGCTTCATATGTTGTGTAGTTAGGTTTCAAGTCTTTACCATTCATTGTGATGAAAGCGCCGAGGTTTCCCATTGTATCACTGGAAACAAGCAAAATTGAACATAACAATTTTTTTATTGCTGTGCTACTTTCGCCCACAGATCTAAGGGTGCCTCTCTACATAATGCAAGTAGCTTGCGCATGTTGAGGCACTAGCGGAAGTAACCGGTTCAGTACTGAACTGTGTCAAATCTGATACGAGCAAGACGCATGCATTGCCATTGTACCAACTAAACGTGCTAGTAACTCGTGCATGCTACTGACGCAAATAAATCGCATGTTTGCCCGCTCCAGCTACTTGCACCGTGTAGAAGCACCCTTAGTGTAAACACGTATTAATAGTACGTACACGTATAATAGTACGTACGTATTAATACACGTATTAATAGTTGCCTATGGTTAAAATACTCATGGAGTTGGTACAAAATACTTAAATACTTTGCGTCATACGTACATACTTTGTGTTAAATTAACAACTACACATTAAATATAAATAAATATGACGATAGGCAAAATATGACGTCACAACTTGTTTTTTCTATAAGTTGAAGAAAATATGTATTGCATTTTTTCATGATACAGGGGGCAAACCAGCAGACCGGTTACCTGATGGAAAGTGGATACCGCCGCCACATGAACCCCTGCAACTTAGGAGTTACAAGCATGTGGCCGGCCTAGGAAGGAGTGCGTTCTTTTCTTGAAGGTTTGTTTGTTTATTTTGTCGTTTCATATAAAGGATTTAGGGTGAAGTTGATATTTTAGTTAATAAAATAGACACAATATTTACCAGTAGTTGGGTGCCGAAAATACAGTTATACACTTTCCGTCGTGGGCTACTTCATAACCGTCATTCTTCACTTCATGACTGCGAATGATGTATTCCAGTCCGTTACGCTGAAGGAAATTGTTGGTAACGTCAGGACCGAACTGGCAGCCTACTCCTCGCTTGGAGGGAGCGCGACCCATCATCGGTTGAGGATCTGACCACAGCAGTTCGCACATTATACCTGTATAAAAAAGATTCTTGTTAATGTGCATCTTAGCTGATGCAGTACAAAATAATATTCTGGTTTCCAAAAACTTAAACAGTTACAGATATTAAACAGATAACAATTACTTGACACATCTTATAATAATAACCAGATAAAATACAGTACAGTGAAAATTTAACCAGAAAATTGACTCACCATCTTCCGGTGGCTGTTTATTTCTGTCCACCTTCCGGATATCATCGAGATTTATATCGTCCTTGGAGAACAGACCACCATGCATCACTAGTACCTTGCTATTAATGCAGTGGGCTAATGGAAGCCAGTTGTACACTTCAGTGAACAGATCAGCCATTTGGGCAGTGTACTTAGATGTGACTTCACCACGGAAACCATACATGCGGTTCATGTCCAGGGTTTCATGGTTGCCTGAAAATTGCAAAAAACAGCTGTAAATATTGTGTTACATATTTTTGAAAATAAACGAAAGATTGACATAAACTTTCCGAGTTTACACTAGTTTGCATAATACCAATAATGTAATCTTTGACAATATAATCAATCTCAGATGTGGCATAGGAAGAAGGTTAGGGTAGCTGATAGGCCGAAGATGATAAGGTAAAAAATTGCTCATGTTTCAGATGAGGAACAGGGCTGAGACTGCAGGCAGCAGTTGGCAGAGGCTACTAGAGCAGAGAGATCATCACAATCATCAATAACTCTTACTTTAGTCCACTGCTGAGCATAGACCTCTCCTTAGAAAAGAGGTTTTGCCTTTTATATATACCACACTGGCCAGACGAGTCAGTATAGGGTTTGATACAAATTTTCCTTCTCTCTGCAGTGCTGTAGTCCTGCGTAGTTTGCTCCCTCAGTCGGCTCTTACGACACCCAAGGGATGGAGGGGTGGTGACACTCCATATTCTTAATCGGTCACCATAATGATCAGAGAATATACACATAGATAAAGTCTCTGTAACATTAAGTCAATTACTCTCTGTAATTAACTTAACATTTTAGATTATGTTTGGTTCCAATTGGTGTTTTACAACTATATTCCAAATGGTGGCATATATGGTATGTGGCATATATTCCAGGTGATAATTAGGAGGAAAATATTATTCCTTATTGTCTTTTACACTATAATTTATAAGCTGTATTTAAAAACAAACTGAATTTAATGGCATTTAGTAAGTAAAATGTTTCTATTTAATTTATTACATATATACTCTGAATGAAAAGGAATATAAAAAAAAACTCACCTCGCGACATGTAAAAGTGATCTGGAAAGAGTAATTTAAAACTGAACAGTGTGAAAATGCATTCAACACTAAAGGAACCTCGGTCAACAAAGTCCCCATTGAACAAATAGGGATTAGTTTCAGATGGCAAGCCGTTGAGCTTGAAGATGTTCATCAAGTCATAATATTGGCCATGGATGTCTCCGCAGACAGTGAATTTCTTGTCATCTGCTACCTTAATGTCTATGAGGGAAGGCTGTTTCTGTAAGTAGGCCTTCACATCGATTAAGATCTGAAAAATATAATATAATATAGTATCTTACTTATGATGACTTACTGTACTGGCAACATGTGCAATGCTCTATCTCGCCAACTGACATTTTGGGGAACATTGATTCATATATTGACAATTAATAGGTACTTAATATCTGTGGGTAACTAGCAATCAATTGAGGCATCCCTTGGGGTGGTACTTCTTTCTGGATGTGTATATATTTTTGAAAGTTTTTCTTTTTTAAAAGACAGCACCACAACTCCTATCCTGTGTCGCGAGGGTCTTTATAAACATACATGAAATGGATACAAAGACACAGAACAACAATTTGTGGATCACACAGTGTTGTCCCATGTGGCGATCGAACCCACATCACTCGGCGTAGTAGGAAGCGGCCAGGTGACCTCTTAAATAACTACGCCATCTGTGCAGCCAAACAGTCGCCAGAAGTCTACATTTATCCTACAAGATAGTGATATACCACTTTATTAATATTATTTCTATAGACTATATATTCTTTTGACTGTTTCAGGGCAACCAGGTGCAGTTTATACAGGATTAAAAAAAACTCATAAATCAATAAAAAAATGACAGATATTTCCATATCATTGGAGTGCCATAAGGAAGCCTAGTAATTTGTTCGGTTTGATCTCGTGGAGTGTTGGCTTGAGGAACCTTTTGCTAAGCCTAAGTGTGGTGGGTCTTAATCGTGACATGTGGTTGGATTTCCTGGTGGTGAGATCTAGAGACAGTGATGATAGAGTAAAAGATCAGGTACTAATAATAAACAAACCTTGTAAGCATATTTTTTATGTAACTTCTTTTGCTGCTTATAAAATTCCATTAGTTCAGTAACAAACTTAAGCGTAACCTTGCCATCTTTCAGAACTGGGCCATCATATTCATCTTCAATGGCTGCAAAGATAATTATGTATGACAAGTATTCATATTTATACCTTTATAGTATTAACTTGTTTGCTAGTATTATGCACAAACAATAGGATGAATTGATGTTTAATAGTTTACAGAATGCTGATCATCAGATCTGCCGCCCTACATGGATCTGAATATTGATCGACAAAGAAAATGCCCGAAATGTTGAATTACTTTTATATGAAAGTTGATAGATACAAGAATATATCAAGAACAATCCAAAAAAAGATACAGAAGGACAGAGGCAATATTTTCCATCGACACAGTTAACACAGTTTTCCATGGGGTAGTGGTATCACACCAGTTGAGAAAAGCACCAAAGCACCGATCAAACACACTCATGATGACTCATGTCAGAGGTCAATAATTGCTTTGGGTAACCCCAGGAAGGGGTTGTAAAATAGAGATGTAATTTTGTGTTGGGGGCCCTATCCCTCTCCTCACATAGATATGAAGACCTGACATTGCAGTAATACTAAAATGCAGGATTTCATTAACTGTCTCATATTTATCTTCCAAAAGAAGATAAATTCTCTCAAATTGTGGTCAGAATTACTATATTTAACTACTATTTATTTATTTAAAACATTTACATGCAGCATGGATTTCCAAAGTGGTCATAGGTTTCTCGACCCCTGGGAAACCGTATATAAACGATAACTGCTTTTTGGGGTCGACAAGTTCTAAAAATCAATCCCTAAAAATTAACACAAGTTTGTATTTGAAATCATCAAATTTTCAAGAAACTGTATTAGTTGTTACATATACTAACTTTTTATGAGAATTACGAATATTTTAGTAGGAAGTATCATTGTTATACTTTAAAAAACCCAAAACGTCGATAAGCATGCAGTAATGTGGCTATGGGGGTCAGAGGTATCAGTTCACTTTAGAAAAGCTGACCCCTTTTCTAAAATGAAGAAGAACCAAGAGCCCAAATAGTTTGGGAATCCATTATTTATTTGGTTCCTTATCCCAAAATGACTGTAACAACTTACTATAAGTAAAAATGGTAAGTTACAATTATTTTATAATGAAAAATCGCTATTGCTGCTAAACACCTTCGGGCAACTTCTTTGAAGTTTTGGAGGCTACTGTTATAGATATCCATCTGTATTGAAACAATATTAATAAGTCTTATGGTGTGTGATATAGGGGCACTTTGAAGAAAATTTATTCGCACTGTATGGGAACATTGAGTGCTGTATGGGGCGCTGTCAAACAAGAGTCTGCGCTCTTTACCAATGATTGTGTTTGGAGCATGAAAGTATTCATATAGGATATGAGTTTACTGAAGGGATACAAGACAAGATTACATTTAGCACATGCTAGGTTATTTATATTACAAATATAAGTATGTGTCATGCTGTGGAAACTCAAACAAAATAACTCTTATTTTTCAGTAGTAGCGTATTCACTATGATGTCTGATGTCGACCACTACATGGACTAAGTCACTGGCAAAAGCTAGTTTATCACAAGTACTGAATTTCACTGCAGACTATGTACACAGAATAATTACATTCCCAAGGAGGGTTGGCAACAGGCATGCAGACAGCCAGTCATAAAAGAAAAAGCTACACCATTCTGCAATTAATGTTTTCTTTTCGTTTTTATGATAGAGTGGGCAGACAAGCAGATGGGTCACCTAATGGAAAGAGTGTAATGCAGGAGACACATTACATCAACAGCCTTTAATAGTTCACTATACCACATATCAAGGTAGTGACAGATTAAGAATACATAGTGTATTCATCCCATGAGTGTTGAGTAGACTATGGAGGATAACAGCACTGCAAAGAGAAGGAAAACTTGTAACTAACCCTAAACCAACCTGTCTGGCCAAAACCTTTCTAAGGAGAGGCTTATGTCTTACATCAACAGCCTTTACTAGTCCACTGCTGGACAGTCCTAAACAGTTTGTTCCTTCAGTCGGCTCTTATGACACCTGGATGAATAGGGGTGGTAACACTCCGTATTCTTAATCCGTCACCACATGGATACATAGGAAAAGGGTGATGATGATCAACATTGATAAGTTGATGGCACTATTAGATACTATTATATGAGTAAGAGTGTGTTGGACAGAGATGATTCATTCATAAATTAGTTGTGTTTCTAATCTTTCCAGTGAAAGACCTTATTTTGAGAAATCACATAAACATGTGAATACAGACAATTTTGAATAGTTAAAAATACAAAATATGATATCAAGTAGACAAGTTTGTAGATTGCATCATATCTGGTTAACACATTTAAAAAAATAAATGTAGTAGACATTATAAGGGTATTAAAACTGACATCGCCTATAAAAGTATAAGTTTCTATTTTCACCAAGTATAAAAAGTTACTCACTCATAGCATCTAAATTGATGGAATCAGCTATATTAACCTCCTTTTTATCCACAGATATTGCCTTCTCAAAGGCAATTTTCTTTACTATTTTATTACATTCATTGTATTTCATCTTTGCATCTTGATCATTAGGCCTAACTTTGGTTACCTAAAAAGACATATTTACAAAAATTAAGAAAATATGAACCATAAACATTCATACGAAATTAGAGCTTGTTTGAAATGTGCATACTTTGTTACACAACTGTTGTTGAAAACCTAGGCATGACATTAATTATTTATAAATTAAAAATGTTAATGTTTTAATACATACATATTCAAAATCCTTAAGTGCTAGTTTGTACTTTCCTAGGGACATGTAAGACGCAGCTCGTCTGTAGTATGCCTTGGTGTAAGCTCTATCCAGTTCAATAGCCTTAGAAGCATCACTCAAAGCATAACCAAAGTTCTCCAATCTAAGATTGGCTATACTTCTATTCGCGTAGAACACCGCATTCTTGGGATTCTTCTCTATTGCTTTTGTGTACAATTCTATGGCATTGTTATAACTTTGACCTGAAAATTTGAGGTTAGGTCAACCAAATTTACGTGATATTTTTTGATTATCAATACGTTATTGGTTATTCACAAATATTTATAGATATAATGTTCTTTTTTATTTGATATTTAGGATCTTTTAAAGAAACTTACGTTTGAAGTACTCATTAGCTTCATTTTTTAATTTATCCGCTGCCTCTATGTCATCCTGGGATATAGGCCCGGTGATTTCTTCATTGCTAGCCATTGCTACGCGTTGTAAATATTAGTATACTTAAAGTGTACAATCAGAGTAATTGGCTAATCATAAGAAAATGTGTTTTTCACATATACATTTACATGTTCTCCGCAATTCATGAAAAATTAATTGACGGATTACCAAAAGGAATGACTTTTGAATGAATGAAATGCTTTCTGGAATGAAATCATTTAAAATGATTCGGATACATGCAATTATACCACGTACGTCACAGAATTATTAAATTAAATTTAACTTTTTGTATTAAATTATACGATAAACATTTATACCTACTATATGTTATTAGATAACTTACATTTGCATACTATATTTTTTTGTTAAATTGTTAAACGATGGACACGTCATACCTAACACTGAATGGTGAAGATTCTGTTTTTTTAAGTACTGGCCGATTCCGGTTTACGACAAGTTGAGTTCACCATCTGTTATTCGAACAATGAATTGCCGAAAAAGAGTTTACATAGTGAGGTGAAGAAAATCGAGAGCTCTCGTGCTCGGCGTATTGATTGGAATTAAATAGGTAATGATAGAATACGTCATGAAATGGTTTTACAGTCTGATAGTCTCTACCAGACCAAACTAGACCTACCAGAGTAGCCGTCTTCAATATAAGCAGCAGTTTAAGCACTCTTTCGGTGTTTAAAATAGGCGACTGGGCCATTTATTCTATTCTAGAAAAAAATATCAAAATACATTATTGACAGGACATAGACAAAAAGCAATTGAAAAATGTTAGTTTGAATATAAAATAACTACATTTTATTTAGGCTTTATATTCTTAAAAAATACCAGTAGCGATGACCCAAATATTTTTGGAAAGACTTCCTAAGGACTAATATTATAATTTATTAAATGAAATTTTATAATACTGCAATTTTGAGAAAACTTCGTCTCTATTTTAGCATGGTTTTTAAAAAAAAATGACAAGAATGACATTTTAAAAATTAAATGACAAGTTTGACAATTGTCTCTGTACGTCACGCGTGACAAATAGATCACGATTAGGCATGCGATAAAATCACAGTGAACTGTGAATGACCGGTGATTTATCATTGGATTTTTTATACGTAGGTTAGGGTTACTACTTACGCGTTACTACACGCGTTTTTGCCGATAAGCTGTTTTCAGAAGACCGACCCTATTTCACCTATTTAACAGTAAATTTAGTAATTCTTTTATTATATGTAGCTACCATTGCCTACACCATAATTTAAGAAATACTAGATTTACTTGTCAATAGCGTCTTAACTCGGTTAGAGTATCTACCGTGCAGCCCTAACCTACGTACGCAAAAAAAAGGAAGACAATAGGAGAGAAAAGGATAGAAAAAAGGACAACTTCTTGTCCAACGACGAGGAGATCCTGAAGAGTGGCTGCCTCTCAAAGTGGCTAGTAGCCGCAGAGGGAGGTCGCGCACCCCGATCTCGGCCCCGTCTGGCTTCATCTTTTCTAAGGCAGAAGCCTATAGACGGGTCAGGGAGGAGGGCGAAAATATAGTGGAGGAGGAAATCGCGGCTCTCCTGTTGAAAATTCAGGAACCGACGTTAAGGGGTTCCGAAGTCCCGGTGTCTATGCAGGAGAGAGCGAACCTTGCTGAGCCCATCGTAAACAAGGTGGCCCCGAAATCTACGAACCTTAAGGGTCAAAAAGGTCCTTAAGGACTCCTCCTTCGCCATTGCTGGGGTTGTCTCGACCCTCATTGAGGATAACGACCGCCTGACGGGCCAGGTGGCTGAACTGAGCGCACAGTTCGCCCAGTTTCGGGTGCAGGCGGATGAGCCGGAGCAGCGGGGCCCGGCTCTACAACGGCCTGCCCCCTCACCCCATTCCGGTGACGTCCCTGATGCCCACCTGCGACAAATTCTAGACTCAGTGGGGCGTATGCCGGGCATCTTGCGGGCCTAGAGGCGAGACTGCCTCCGGCCCCTGTTGTTCGGCCGCCGCTCTCTACAGATAGGCCAAAGGCTGCATCAGCGCCGACCTCACTCCCGGTTGCGGGTGGTCGTATATCGTATGCGGCGGCGGACGCGCGGCCAACAAGCGAGCGGAAAAGACGGCGATACCAAAGGCCAGACCTAACGCAACAAGGTCTGGGGCGGAGTTCCCTCCGCTTCCCACTCCAACACTTGCGTCTGGCCCTTCATTTGGCTCTTCTACATCTGCCCCCTCTAACGCACAACCAATGGCACGTAGTTGGAGCGGTAAAGAAGTCCCGAAAGCGGGGCAAAAAGTCTGGCCAAAAGGTAACCTCTACACTGCAGTCGCCATCGGTGGCAGTGGCCACCCAGAGGAAGCCGCGAAAACTACAGGCGCCTAAGACCGCGGCTGTAGTGGTCAACGTATCCCCGGAGGCGGCTGACGGCGGGCTGTTCTATGCGGCCGTATTTAAAAAGGCCAGGGCCGGGACGGTAGGGGTTAGAATGCGCCTCGGCCAAACGGGAGCTCGAGTTCCTTGGGGCTGAAGACGCAAAGGCTGTGGGTCAGTTGTCCCATGGCGTCGGCCAAAATTTTCTAGCGACGCTGGCGAGATCCTCATCGGTTTCGTGAACGCCAGAGTCACAGTTCTGGCCGATGAGGTGTTTTAAAAGTCTGGCCACGGGACACACTCGCATCAAGTGAGATAGCTGTTTTGAGTGGACCTTTCGTTCGCTACCCCTGCCCTCACCGCACGAGTTAGGAACTGGCGTGTCCTGGAAGAGGTTGAGACGCTCTGTAACAGTTATTTTTTTATTATATTTGTATTGCATACGGAGTTGTAAAAAGCGACATCTATTGCCCCCCGTCGCATTTGTTGATTTATCTAAAGTAGTTTGTTACTATAGTATTGTTGTTCTTCGTCCGCCATCGGACCACTAGATGGCGTTTGTTTTATAGATGTCATTTTATTAATTTATCATGATAGATTGTATTGGTGTTATAAGTGACCTGTTATGGTAGGAAGCGAGTTACTTTTGATTTAGTTCGTGTTAACCTATATAATAATTTGAGTGACAGTTTGAAATGTTAAAGTAGGGATTCTTTCTGGAAACTTCACAAACCGAACATATATAAGTCCGGCTTGCAGCCACAGGGGACACTCTGCTAACTCTTGTCTTCCAATCTTAAATAGTATTTTGTTTGTCTGGTGATTTTATTTTCGTAATATTTTATCTGTTCAAAGTACCCACGAAAGTGGTGAGTATATTCTTAATTTTTCTTGTACTTATTTGTTTCTGGAACCTGATCGATAATATGAGTGCTAATCCATTCGTAGGGTCCCAGATTTCGGGTCAAGACGGTCAGTCTCAGACGGCGTGTTTGTTCATTAGTGGCCTTCTGGTGCGAAATCAAGTTTCTTGGTACTCTCTGGCAAACTGGCAGTCACGCGGCTCACCAAACAAGCGGACAGCCATACTCAAGGGTTACGTACTTCTCGTTAACTTTATTTATATCATTAGTGAATCTTCCTTTATACCTAATATAAGTGGCCGACTCGGGCGTAAGGGGAAGTGACCTCCTGGATTGAAGACGAGGAGGCTCCGAGCAGCATCAGCTCGGCTCTGACGCGCGCCGCTGCGGTTTTTTTTTATATACCCACTATTTTTAATTGTAACTGATTTTTTTATTGAAATATACATGTATGTATGACTGAGGTGTAAGTTGTTTTTCTCTAAGGGGTCCCGTAGGTATCCCACACGCACACACTTCTGTTTAATAAAAGGCGCCCTGAGGTAATCTTGTGAATCTCTCCACTGGGTCAGCCGGTGAGTAGTCCGCCTGAGAAGAAAAGCGGCTACAGCTCTCGGATCATCTTTATATTCGATTTGAGCTCTCCCGGACCCAGGACCCCAGTAGGGGTCACGTGGCGCGGCTTTCCTCCCGATTTCCGCGGTGGGCTGTTGCCAGACTTAAAAGGGACCTACTAGATGAGGCAGCCATAATTAACTCCTGGCTGTCTCCTCAGGCTCCGACCGAGGTCGACATGGGGGCTGGTTGCTTTTGCGATGCGATTAAGCAAATCTGCGATACGGCATTGCCCCAAATCCGAAGTCGTCGGCCTATAACAGTCCAATTCCGGACACAGGCCTCTCCTCTCCGAAAGGAAGTTTTGGCCTACTATACCACGTTGGCCAGACGGGTTGATATAGGGTTTGTTTCAAGTTTTCCTTCTCTTTGCAGTGCTGTTGTCCTGCGTAGTTGATGAATAGGGGTGGTGACATTCCGTATTCTTAATCCGTCACCACACGGACTTCAAACGAACGGCAGTACTAATAAATGATAGTGTGTGAGTTGGTGTGTATCTGTCTATATGTTTATGTGTATGCGTGTGTGTCTGTGTGTATGTCTATAATATCCTCTCTCTGTGTGTGTGTGTGTGTGTGTGTGTGTGTGTGTGTTTATGTATATTTATATGTGTAGTGGGATTAGAGTTGTGAAGGAGTAGGTAAATGCGCTATGTCTGCTAGCCCTACGACATGGTCTTGGGTTCGGATCAGTCATATGAAATATCCACTAGACTTACATATGTGCGTACAAACATTTGTTCTGTTTAAGTTTGTTTACTTTGAGTATCCTATAAAAAATTGACAGATTAGTCAGTGTCCGTACACAAAGTGGATCCTTAAAGTTTATTTGTGGATTGTTTGATTTGTACTGGGGCCTTAACGTCCGTACACTGGGAAAAGTAGTACCTATATTATGTTAAGGAAGATGAGCAGTTCATATTAGGCTATTGTTACTTAGATAAATTATTATCCAACCTACTCAAAAAGGTGAACGGAAATTTTAAAACTAAATAAAAAAATATAAGTACGTACCTAAGTGTTCGTTAAGCTTACTTGGAAAGTTAGTATGACGGTTTCTTACCCATTTATCATGATAAATAATTTGATTTCCAAGTTGTATTCTCGAGCATGTACTTACAACTGTGATTAAAGGATCTTTCTCACTGATAATGGTTTTACACAGTGGTGGTAAATTTATATTCTCTACTAGACTAACTACTCTCTTTCTCTCTCTATTCTCGCTAGTTCTACTTATGACAGTAAGTATATGTTATGGAGGCCTGACGGTCAGAAGTATAAAAACTAACTTTGTTAGCTTTGATAGATAGGATTATAAATTGATACTTATTGTTGCGGTTTCCCTTCACTATGCTCGAGACGTGCGGGGGCGCCTCCCTACGATTCACCGGTCGCCATCTTGATCGGTCCTTTTTGCTTGTCGGCAAGCGTCGTGTGCGCAATGCACTCTAATAGAAATTGTAAGTTACTTTATACAATACAACAGTTACCAAGTTAATAAGTATCGTTATTTATTTCTACCAGAACCAAAAGCTATGTAACGTAACACTTATACTACTTACTTACTTGCGGCGTTCCCCTCAGCAAAGTACAAGTCCACATGGTCATAACAATAAAACTAGTTGCGGCTGGACCGCTCACTAGACTAAATTTAGTTGCGGTGGGCAATTAGGAAGGCAGGCAGGTGTATCACCAGTTGGTGTATCTATATCTCCGCGACAGATCCATATCGTATATGGTCGGGACGGCGAAAAATGTCGAAGGGAAGTCACATGCGGGGTTCCTCAGGGGTCGGTTTTAGGACCCATACTGTGGAACCTCGCGTATGATGCCGTCACACTCTGGTAATGGCTGGGGGGAATGGCTTCCAGGAGGTCCTGGAGCTCGCCGCGTTAGGGGTGGCTTGTGTCGTCCAAAAGATCAACGGTCTGGGTCTAAGGGTTGCACCTCACAAGACGGAAGCACTGTGGTTCCACAGAAAACGAAGAGGTGCAGTTCCCACCCGCTCTCTTATTATAGTGGGGGGGAACTGATGTCGAAGTCGGGTGATACATCAAATACCTCGTCTTCACCCTAGACAGCCGCTGGAGCTTCGAGGAGCAGTTTGAGCGGATGATCCCCGGAGTTTGCGGGTGGCGGGCTCCCTCCAGAGGCTTTTGTCTAATCTAGGGGTCCGCGGGAGGAAGTCCGCCGCCTCTCCTGTGCGGTGATATAATCCATGGCCTTCTATGGAGCGTCGATATGGGCCAAGCGCCTTTCGGCCTCCTCCCGCTGCCGAGCTAAGCTCAATCAAGTGCAGCGGGTAGCGGCTATTCGGATCGTACGGGGATACCGAACCATTTCGTCGGAGGCGGCGACAGTCCTGGCACATTTTCCGCCTTTTGATAACTTGGCGGATATGGATGCGAGGGTGTATGAGCAGACTCGCGCGATCCGCCGGGGTGAGAGCGGTAAAGACCAGAACCCCTCGCAAAATATGACAGACTATTTTGTATCACGAAAAAACTACTTCCTTCCGCTACGCCGGTTGCCTGTGTTGCTCTATGCTTGCTAGTTAAATATATTATAGATATTGGCACAATCACATAAATTTTCTATTTATAAAAAAACGATTGAATAGCTTTACAATCAGCAAAATTTGACGGGCTTGTCGGTCTAGTGGTCAGTGACCCTGACTGATGAGCCGTGGGTTCAATTCCCACCCAGGACAAATTAATATTGTGGAATGAGCACGACAATTTCTTCTGTGTCTGGGTATAATTCATCTGTAATATGTATGTATCTAGAAATATATAAGTATGTTTATCAGCAGTCCTGCTACCATAGCATGCTCTGCCTAATTTGGGTTCACTGCCATGTGTGAGATGTGTGAAGTATTATTAAAATACTCTTTTTTCACTGTGTGGAAAGGACCACGGGGGCTATCACCTCACCGGGGCTTAAGATTAACAAATATGTCGTATTCGAACTTACTCGGAGGGACCGCAAGAGACTCGGGTGTCGAAATAGACGTCCTCGAGTACCCCGGCTGATCTTAGCCGCTATAGTGTCTATAAAACTACACAATGGTGTGGTTGGCACTATCTTTAGGCTTCGAGAGGCAAAACATAATTTTTTTAACAACCACTAACGTGGTCACTGTTTCATGTTTTGTCAAGATATTTTTATAACAGAGCTTCGAAACTCCATTATTTAAATGTTTTTATGAAATACTAGCTTGGTGTGCCACGCTTCGCTGTGGCGTATTGTGGTTGCAAAAATTGACAAATTCCATATTTGAAGCATGTTGGCTTCAAAAATAGTTTTTGTATATTTAAGCATATTTATTTTATCGTGTCAAAATTTGAGCTTAGTCGGTGCAGAACATTTTGAGCTTTTAAAGCGTAGGTACAGAAACCAACTTAACATTTTTATAATAGATATTTAAGTTTTACAGTTGAATGCACGAATGTGAAAAGTTTTAATTCTGTGGACCCTACCGTGTTGCTTGTTGTTGTTGGCGCTAATTATATAAAACGGTACCTAACACATCAGTGTAACTCCTCAGCTTCTACATTAAATTCTACATTAAGTGAACCTCAGTAAGAGAAAAAAAGTGAAGTAGAAGTAGAAGTGTCTAGGGTGTGGCCAATAATTTTTTTTTTATAAAATAATTTATTTATTAAATAATTTAAGGTACCAAATATATTTTATCTTATAAACTTACAATAGATGTACTTACATTAAATACGCAACAATAAATTATATAAATGGTAGGCACATAGGTATTATTTACAATAACCATTGGAACATGGCGCATATCAATAACACAATAAGACTGCTTTTGACAAATAATGCCGAACTTGGGTCGGGACAATCTTCGCTTTGGACAATTGTCCTGAAATACTGTTCATTAAGCTCTTGTCTTTCTCCTATTAAAGTTTGTATCGCCTGACTGCTTGCAGTAGTCAATGGACGGTCACGGCTTAACGTCCAAGCACGAACTGAAATATTAGTATTAACATTACAAAGAATGCAAACAAAGAGTGGGAAAGAGAAATGTAACGTCAACCACCTCCGTTAGAGGTTCGACATTACGACTCGCGACGCAGCGTTTGTTAGGGTGAGATCTTCCACTATATTTACCCAACTTTCTGGACGATTGGAAAATAACTACACAGACAATTGTTTACATAAGTCGGCTAATATAATTAATAATATGCCTTAGTGGCAAAATTTTTAAAGCTTTGTTCTGAGAGGAAAAATAGCCTAAGTAACTCCTTATATAGAAAGCCACCTGATAGTAAAATATCATCAAAATGGGTCCAGCCGTTTAGAAGATTATCTAGATATATATAGAAAAATGTATAAGCGGATTTTTAGGCATAGGTATCGTGCAAACAACCGTGCTAACGTGAAAAAACCTATTATTTTGACATTACAAACAGACACTTCAATGTTGTTTATTTGTATAGAACAGAAATTATGTGATTAAAACTTTAGACACCAATTTCAAATACATACCCACTCGTCGTTTATGTATAATTTTTTATAACAATGAAATTGGGCTCGTTAAAATCTCATGCATGCTGTTAATTAACCACTCTTTGGAATAAATCCATAATTAAGTAAAGTGAAGTAGTTGAAAGATTAACAACTAGGATAGGTCTATTCTTATATCTTTATGGATACTAATAAAATTATTATGTACTATTGGTACTTACTTTGACGTCTGTAATTATTGACGTTGACGCAATTGTACGCCACCGCATAGCCTGTGTAGTCTGTTCTCAAAATGTACCAACTTGTTGTCGTATTGACGCCTGAAAAGAAAACAGTACAATTAGTAAAACTTAAAAAAATGTTCCTGGACTCTGCGGATGTGTTTGGAAGGCGAAAGAAGAATCTGTTAAAGTTTTGACTGCACGGATGACGTAGTGGTTTAAGCGGTCGCCACGCCGCTTCCTACTACGCCGAGTGTTGTGGGTTCAAACCCCACATGGGACGACACTTTGTGTGATCCACAAATTGTTGTTCTGAGTCTGGGTGTTCATAGTGTCCGTTTCTGGTATGTTTGTAAAGTCCCCCGCGACATAGGATTTATTCCTAATGCGGGTGTTGTTTTGTAATGTGGTTTTTAAACTAAAAAATAAAAGTCATAGTGTGTATGAGACACTAATGTATATAAGATTAAAAGTACAAAAATAATATTTTAAAAGAAGTCTCTTATTTACTTAGTCATCATCATCATCATCATCATCATCAACAGCCTTTAATAGTCCACTGCTGGACATAAGCCTCTCCTTACTTAGTCAGCTTTCAGAAATAATGGTTTTAAGGTCCAGTTTTAAAACGTAACAAATGCATTTAGATCAGAGTCAGTTTCTAAAATTATAAATATGAACATAATTTTCCAAAAAAAACAAAATCTAAGACATTATTATTACCGTATGAAGTACCTACTATAACACTACTGAATTGCTCTAAACTCTACTTATTTCTAAACACCTCAGACTTTCTGACTGAAAATATAACACTATTAAAAAAAATGTAGATGTGTACCTTCTGCAGTTGGCATTGTAACCTGGATTAAGCCGCTACCCTGAGTGACTGTGGCTTCACCTTCTGTGGTTATAAGTTCTCCGTCACGGACTTCGAAATTCAGAACTTGAATAGTTCCACTGTTTTGGTCTACGGTAAATATGTAACCCGAACAAGAGCTTCCATTAACCGCATCATACCTCGCCATTTCGAACCATGTTCCCGAAAACTAAAATAAAGTGTATTAAAACATCAATAAGTATTGTTTTGGTCTAAGTAGCAGGGTGACATTCTGCATTTTTTCCTAATTTTATTCGGTACTAGCACAGTACTACAGTCAGGGCTAATTACTTTCATTGTCGACCACATGAATGACATCATCCCTAATTGGGAAGTAAACCGTTTTCAGATAAGATAAAGGAAGATGATAAATTGAGATAAGGAGAAGTGATATCGTAGAAGTCGGACGGGAATAAGGAAATAGTATATAGTAGTTTTCAAACGCTAAGATGCCTATCCGTATATCCGTCCTGTGATTGTCATGAATAGGTAGGTGAGATAGGGACATCAATGCTATTACTACAGCAGCATCGTAGGTAAGCTCTTAAGCCAAGCTAAACATCTTCGTTAAAATATGACAAATATCGGTAATTTTAGGGTTCAAGACCTGATGTGTTACATCCTCACAAAGCATCGCAAAGCAAGAAAATCAATCTTTATATTGCTTTCCTTGTCCTGCGAAACACTGAGTATTTGGTGTAGTATTAGGTATCTTACGTCATTAATATTCAAGTCACTCATCACGGGTATAGTTAAATTGCACTGGCCAGGTATTATTACGGCCTCTCCCTCTGCTATCGTTGGATAGTGGAAGCATGTGTCATCGCTCTGGTCAACATTTTGATAGAATTGTGGGAACAATACTGAGTTATTTGCAATTATTGGGGACATTATTTCCTGGGCATCTTCTGGTAACGAACGGGATTTACTGTGTTTAGCACTCCAAACTGAAATACAAAAACGGTATATTATTAGTTGTAATAAATAAGGTTCGGTTAAATGTAACGAGCAAGGCATTGTACAGTCATCCGAACTTACAAAAATGAGTATAAAATTGATGAATAACTTATCTTATAAGTTTTGGGTTCAATACCATCCAGAATAAAAAAAATGTGATGAAGTTATTGTTGCTATTAGAATAGAATATGCTTTATTGGACACCAATTACAGTACCTATGATAGATGAATATTACAAAAGCAATCTCTTACAGGCAACCTTTGGATGGACCTAACTGACAGTAGATAAGAATAAACAATGAGTAATCTAGGTATTGAAACTATAGTAGTGTAAAAATATAATATAGGCACATATACATGGGAATCAGATCAGCAGTTTCAAAGATTGTTTAATACGATTAAACTTTTAAAGCTTATGTGTTCTTATTATTAATGCAGATGAAGTGGTAAATGCATTGCAATCTTACCTTGTCTATATTCGTCGTTCTCATCTTGTTCACAAGCGTAAAGTAGAGAGTATGTTTCATAGTCAGTTGCAAGGACCCAGATATCTGCGGACCAAAATTAACGTTAAAAAAACACAGAATATTATGATAGTTATCAATCTTTGTAACATATTTGTATAGTTATACAGTTGTAACATTGCAAAGTGTTCTTAAACGCCTTTGTTGAAGTAGGCATTGACACTTTTACAATGAGCCTATTAAACGCTTAGATGTATTATAGTGAGTAATAAAATAAAAAGTACTTTGTATATTACTAAGGTGGTTAAAAGTTCCGTCGTTTGCTTATATTTCCTCATATGTTTGTCATTTTTAGGGTTCCGTACCGCAAATGGTAAAAAAGGTACCCTTATAAGATCACTCTCTTGTCCGTCTGTCTGTCAGTGTGTCACCACTGATTTTCTCAGGAACAGGTGGACCGAGCAAGTTATAATAAATAATAAATAAATAAATAAAGTTATTAAGCAATTTATACCAGATACTGAGGTCTATAGTCCCTATTAGGTTTATAAAAATCAATGTCCTGACTCAATACAATAAAAAGACATGGGCAAATTTAGATTTACGCGTAAACTTGTAAGTACAAAAATTTAAATTTCATAATACTAGGTCAAAACCTATATGGTACTTCCAGTTGCGCTAAAATTGACAATTTTATTTAAAAGCAAGGTCTGATAGCACAAGTAAAATGAAAATACTGAAAAGAGTTGAAAATTAAGGTAAATTTTGGTACTTACAAGTTTTCGCGAAAATCTACGTAAAATATGGATACGGAAACCTCGGCGCACGAGTTCGACTCGCACTTGACCGGTTTTTTTTTTACATTTCTGTAATTTTGCAACATCGGAACGCAGATCGATCAACAGCAACGAACAAAGACGGCAACCGAGACTTGGACTAGGCAATGACACAGCAATGTTTAGATTGATGTATAGTAGGTATATGTGTATTCATCCTAACTGTTTGTTTATAAATTGGCCAGCATTCAAATTCTTTCTTTAAACCTAAATAATATCCGTCGTACGTACCTTGAGTTTTACCATTAGACATTGTCCTAACTAACTTGCCCTCAGGAGTTGCTGTCACTGTTCCTGCCCGAACAAAACCTTGGTTCGTTCCTTCGATGTCTCGAACCCACTTATCAACCACCAAGTATGCGTCACCACCTTGATTATATTCAGAGCTTCGACATTGACCAACCTCAAGATCATCAACAGGATACCTTTCTATTTCATGCCACCAACCTAAGTACTGTAAAATACAAAATAATATTTAATGGTTCATCTATATTATATTTTTCATGTTTCCTAATAACATTTATTTGAGGTAATATGTACTTATGCTGAATTTAGGTACCTATATTAATATTACGTTTACGCTACAAGGGCTTAATATCTAAATGAATTACAAGATGCAAATACTTACACTTGAAACGTTGAAATTAGCAACGCCGGTGACATTTTCACATTGTCCTCTGAATCGCGGTGTTCGGTCAGTGTAATTGTAGGGTATGTAGAAACAATCGTCATCTGATTGGCTTGTAGGCTGGTAATACTTGTCAAGTAGTCCCTGAGTGGCATTAATTACAGGGGCCATTGCCTCTACTGCGTCACTTGACAAAGTCCTATTTCTACTTAGTTGCCAACTACTGACTGTAAAATATTTTTAAATTTTAGAACAATTGTTACTGTCATATCGTAATGAAAACAATTATATAGAGTAGTAAATATTACCTCGTCTCCATCCACCTGTTATGTTGGTGCAACTGTAGACCAAGGAGTATGAAGTGTAATCCGTTGCAAGTATATAGTAATTTGCTGTGAATTGTACTGAAAAATTAAAGAAATTTGACGTTAAATTGGATTCTTTCTTTGATAGCGTAGGGAGCAAACAAGAAGATGGGTCACGATTACTGGCCATGCAGGGACAAGTGCATCTAAACTGATAAAAGTGCCTTGCCACCCATTTGAATGACACCGACCCCGTTCCCTATTCTTCGGGTCTCCCATATGGAGGTGAAGAGGCTGGGGCTGTTATTGCAGAAGCCAAAAGAATCTGGCAATTTCGTTTGTTTTATATTTTGAAAGAATATTAGAAAACAAGAGCAAAAAGTTCATAAAGATATTTTAGCAAAGTTGAAATTTACAAAAATTTAATTAAAATAATTGGATTCATCATTATATTACTTACCTCCATTGACGTTGAAGTCCACGCTTAATTCGCCGGTGCCATCAGTAGATGCGACGATAGCATATCCTAATTGAGTCAAAAGTGTCTGATTTAGGACTTCGCTGTTGAATACGGCTACCCTCTGCGTGGCATTGTCAACAGAGTATTCAGCACGGTTACATTGGCCCACTTGATCTTGAACAAAGTATCTTGAAGTTTCGAACCACCTTCCTAAGTACTGAAAATTTTTATTACACTATTAGAACACAGTATTTACAAGTGTAAATTCTCGATTTTTATTCTTAATGAGCGAAGGGACAGTCGAGTTACCAAGGATAAGTGGCTACGACCTAAATAACCTACAACTCAAAGAGTGGCGACACACTTGGGACAAGTGATCTGATAACCTCACTTACTCTCATTCTCATTCAATGAAAAGTATCGAAAGAGTTGCTTAACACCAATTTTTTTAATGACCTGTGGTAGATTCGGCTCATATGTGTAATTTAGAGCAAACATACCTGTTTGTCTAACTGATATTTGAAAGATGCAAATTTACTCATGTGTATATTTCGGGTATATCCGAATAGTTTAGGACTCGACGATGAATGACTACGAGTGAAGAGGCCTTCCAACCAGGTGTCACGCGCCACGCGTGTTACGCACACGAGAGTGAAACTTTCGTAAGTAATATTCTAAGTTGTGTCAGTGGTAACAGATATTTGTGTCATAACAGTGAAACATTAAAATTTGCGATAACTTAACAATATTCCAGACTAGTGTGTTGTTGGTAGTGTGATATGAATTTCCTAAAAAAAGACTTTCTAAAAAAGAAACTTACATCCTCTGCCTTAAAGTTGGGCACACCACGAATATTAGTGGGGCAAGGTCCTCGTAATTCCACAACACCTGGAAGTTGATCGAGCGGTGGGTAGAAGAAGCAAGCATCGTCGTCTTGTCCGGTGGGCTCGTAGTAGCCTTCCCATAGATCAATGTTCGAGCTGATAAGTTCGCTTGTAATGTTCTGTGCAGCGGCCGAAATACCATCTGGTGATCTACTTAATATCCAGCTGAAAACTAAATTAAAACACAGTGTTTCGGTGTAGTCAGACTTATGTATGTTGCAAATAATATAGAAATCAAACAGGTATTTATTAATATATTTACATGATGGTGATGATATATTTTATTTTCTACACGGTGCAAGTAGTTGGGGCGGGTAAAGACGCGGGTTATTTGCGTTAGTAACATGCACATTCATATATGTGAGATTTGCTTTTAAAATGTCACAAAGAAAAAACTGTATCATAGAACAGGTATTGATTCTAAATAAATAAATTCATGTAAAGTATTAATAGAAGTAAGATGCAATTAGTTTATCCATAAATAGTTTTAATGGGAATTATTGAAAAAAACTTACTTTGTTTTCGATTTTCGTCTAGATTTCTACAGCTGTATGTCAATGCAAAATCTTGGTAGTCAATCCCCAAAATATATACATCAGTAAACGGAACTGAAAAGAAGTATTTTTGTGCTCAATTGTATTTCTTTTTCAAATAACAAAATGGAGTGTTGTTTATTAAACAAAAAAGGAATTCTTACCTCCGTTAATATTGGCACTGATGACACCTCTACCATCAGCGGACACCGTTGCTTCTGTAGTAGAATTAAACTGAATTTCATTAAACACGAAACTACGTTCTAGTATTAATGCATTTGTTCCATTTAAGCTGTATTTCGACGTGAAACATTGACCTTGTTGCACATCGGATGGAAAACGTGATACTTCGAACCATCTGCCCGCAAACTGAAAACATAACCAGTTGTTAATATAGACAAATGAGCAACTTATATGGATGTAAGATCCATTGCTATACATTTATATTCCATATTTGTAATTTTTGGTTTGATAGGACACTAGCAGGCATGAGACAGACTTACAGACAACCAAGACGGACTATACTGTATAGTAATACCTAGGTAAGTCACAACGAGGTAACTGCTGTAAACTATCAAATCATTTCGTGGTAAATATTTTTTTAATAATATATTAGCTATCGAACCGATGCACGTTGTTTATCTATACAAATAAATAAAATTGGAGTGTCTGTTTGTAATATTAAAATAACCGCTTTTTACTAAATGCATATGTATGTTTATGCCAAAATATCATTTTTTTCAATTTTTGTCTGTCTGTCTGTCCGTCTGTCTGTTTGTTCCGGGTAATCTCTGGAACGGCTGGACCGATTTCAACGGGACTTTCACTGGCAGATAGCCGATGACATAAGGAGTAACTTAGGGTACTTTTTTTAGACTAGCTTCGCCCCGTGGCGTTGCCCGCGGTTATAACAACAAACACAGGTAACACCGCGGGTCTCAGCTATTCAAGAATAAAAATACAGAAATTTAGAAAAACAAGAGTAACACTGATTTAATCATCGTCCTCCAAGCCTTTTTACAAACTAGGTTGGGGTCGACTTTAAGTCTACTACGATATGGCTGAACTTAGATTTGTAACGCAGAGCGACTATCATCAGACCTCCACAACCCAAGTACTTGGCCATTTCGAAAGTTGTGTAGAAAGACTGTTTTCAGACTTTTTAGGACTCCAACTACTCGTAACGATTGCCACAGATATCCAAATGGCAATCGAGATCAACGGAACGAACCGAACCAAAGAATATGATTTTTATAACTCGGTTGCTGGCTATGTATCGGGTTAGCTGGGTCGCGTTACACTCGCCTGGTGACGGCAGTCTGGTCTAACGTAAGGCCTTGCCACAGGGATATATTGTATTTATTTGACTCTTAGGACCTTTCACATAGGTCATTAGGGTCATCTCATCTTTTTTCTTCTAGTGTCAGGTTTTTTATTATTATATTATAATGATGATAATATAATATACATACTGACGTCTGAAAGTCCACTGTAAAAAGACCTCCTCAATAAAAAATATTTAAGTTTGTGTTGGAGTCTATCCAAGGATTGACTTAAACACACACCAGTTTCTTTACACTTCACTTCACATGTACAGAAGAGAACACAAAACCCAGAAAAGCAGTCTCTGTAAGTTGTCAGTCAGAAATAAGTCAAATAATTTTCTCTAGACCAGCATCGTCAACTAATTGATGCATTTTATGTACCAAACGTAACTAAAAGTCTCACCCCTAATCACCCTCCAAGTAACTTACATTTTTTAAGAGCTTTTCCCTGCCACAAAGACTTCGGCAAGACCTATATCAGTGCCTTGGTACTTCAATACTTTTCAAAAATAAATTTCACACAGAAATTCTGAACATAAACCTTCCTACAGTCCGTTTCTATAACATGGTTACACGTACTTCTACATATATTCATACACATATACACAAACAAAAGCAGAACAGTCAAAATACTTACCAAGTTCGCGTTAAAGTCCGTGACTGCAGGAACTGCACTATGATTTAAACATTGGCCATTTAATATGACATCACCCCCATTATTATCAGGATAGTAGAAACAATCTTCTTCAGTGTGACCTCTCGGTACAAAGTACTTCTGTCTCAGAACTTGTATGGAGTCGATAATGTTGTTAATAGCTTGAGTAGCATTTGCTGTTAATGTCGTAAATCTGCTTAGTTTCCAACTGAAAACTGTTAAAAGTTATTCATAAGACAACCAATTTCATTTTCATAAGTACATGTTATTTATTTCAACTCTGGTAACGATCTTCATACCTACTCTCCAATCTGGGCTGATGTTCTCACAAGAATAGGCCAAAGCGTATGAATCGTAATCAGTGTCCAGCACCAACAAGTTGGTCGTAACTATAACAGAGAAAAAATGTAGATAATCATCAATTTGTTTACGTAGTATCACAAATAGGTTATTAAATATATTACAATTTTTTTTTGTAGTTATTGTTTAATTTGTTAACGTTTTCTATTGGTTCTCATAAGCAGATTCCTAAAGCGTGATGTCAATCGACTGACTCCCATGGTTTATTGCTAGTATAATAATTTTAACATTTAAAGTAACCAGTGAGTTTTTTTTAATTGTGCAATACTTAAAATACTTTACAGTAAAACAATATTTATAGGGTTTAAAAACAGGGTCTGTAAACTTTAGAAATATTGTTTTCTCTGTGTGTTATTTGCTTTGATTTAGAGCTGGATTCCAGAAACTACTTTAAAAGCCTATTCTGAGTATCACAACACCTGTAATTAAAATTATGCAAAATTACCATTTACTCCATTAACATTAAAGGTGACATTCAGTTTAGCGGTTCCGTCATCACTTGCTATCATCGCAGTTCCAATCCAAGTCTCCAAGAGTTGATTTACAACTTGAGTGTTTTCTACACGTACTGATCCGTCATCATTAAGGGTGTAATTAGCCCTGCTGCAAGTTCCAGTTTGGAAGGGCGCTGGATATGATTCGATGTCATACCATATATTTAGGTACTAAAAGATAGAATAAATATATTACTAAATATCAAGAATTTAGGGTAGTATATCTACTACCCTAAATTCTTGATATTTAGTTATCATTTTCTTTTGTCTAAATAAAAGTATTTTTGTAATAAAATAAGCATATTACTCTTTCAGCATCAAATTCTGCCATAGCCGTAATAGTCGTGTCACATTGTCCAGGGAAGATAACAGGGGAGTTTGGGTCAGGTACTGGATAGAAGAAGCACCCAACGTCAGAATTATTTACGGTTTGGTAAAATCTTTCATTGAGCACGTCGATACTATCCACAATATTGTTGATGGCAGTTGTTGCGTTAGGTGTTAGGGAAGTTGTGCGACTCAATTTCCAGCTCCACACTAAAATTTCAAGGTAAAATTTTAACATTTCAGTAAAAAGATGCTAAGTTATAGGTATCACCTAAGAATAAGAAGTAGTCGTCTCCCAACTCTAACCATTTTCAGATATGTACAGACAGTTGTATTATATTTATTGATATTTTATATCTACGCATAAACCTGAAATATCATCCACAGTATTACTAGGATCTTGAATTTAAATCACCGTTCGTATTACTTATATAATAACCAATTTTTAGGCTCAAGATGGGCAAATGTATTTAAATTTCGACTGTTCTGTAATTTTTTATAATATTTTATTATTTACTTATACTTTTACTGAGCTTTAGGCACTATAATGAAAGTAATTATTTTTAGCTGTTACACATACCTCTTCTTCGGTCGTTACCAATATTCAAGCAAGAATAAACTAGTGCGTAAGACGTGTAGTCTGTTCCCAATATCCAATAATCTGAAGGTGTCGGACCTGAACACAAAATAATTAGCTAATAAATAAATTTCGATCTTTAAATTCTGATTATTGCCATACTTGTGCAAATCTAAGCTATACTTGTACTTTTTGACACTTACTAGTTGGGAAAGTGACAAGTAGTTTTCCTGATCCATCAGTGCCCGCTGGAACAGCTGACCCAATCATTTTGTCTAGCCTTTGATTAATAACTTGTGTGTTCACGACCAAAACAGAGTTATTGCCTTCACTGTAGTGTGCTGTGTTACAAGTACCCATTTGGAAGTCAGCAAAGTAAGTCTCTATTAATCGCCAGGTTCCCAAATACTGCAGAGAAATAGAAACACATTGTATACATAAATAATGGAATATACAAAGGCGACAAACGGTAAATAGAAATCTGACTTTTATCATTGTCATGGTTTGATCTTGTAGGACAAACGTGATAGTGATTTGTTTTGCGAAGAGTATACGTACTGCTTAATTTCCTATTTACAAATAGTGTTTTATTTTAAAATTAACTGTAACTGACATAAGCTATAACGTTGAGTAAGATACAGGACCAGTATTTGATTATAAAACAGTTTTAATAGATAAGGAAAATATGTTAAACACTAAATATAATAAGACAACCCTTTTAATGTTCAATCACAATTTGATTAATGGTTAAAATCACTTAAGAACAAATATGCGAGTACTACTAATTTCATGTAGAAGCTTGGCGTGTTTCTATTTAAAACAGTAGGCTGAATATTTTCATTTTCGATATAAAATAGGTGTGTGATAATATAGTAGATTGTCTCATCACTGCTGAACCAAAGTTTGTATTCTTTACGTTTTTTGATTGACATTACTCAATTTTCTAGGAGTTTAGAAATGTGCCCGTTAATTGTCAATAGTCTATGTAAGCGTTTATCAGTTAATAATTATATAAGAAGTAAGAGAGACTGAAGAAGAATTAGGGTTGCTAATATAGTTGATGAATTGTAGGTGCAAAACACCTCCTTTTCCTCTTGCAGTATAGGAGTTTGAAGGATGAAGGATTTAAAATATATTAAAAAGAAACAGAAAAATATCTAAAAATATATTCATGTGTTGTGTGCAGTAATGAAATAAATGTATGAAACTCACCGCCGTTGCATTGAAATCGGTTACAACTGGAATGTTTGGATTGCATTGACCGATAAAAGTAACAGGATCATTTGGCCCTATCTCAGGCAAGTAGAAGCAATCCTCATCAGTCTGCTGTATGGTGTCGAAATATCTGTTGTCCAAAACGTCGATATTGCTCATCGAAGCATCGATAGCTGTTGCACTCTGATTAGTCAATTGCCTTGTCCTGCTTAGTTTCCAACTGTAAACTATAAAATAAAATATTGTGTTAGTTTAAATTTATTTATTTATTTATAAAAACTTGATGCAGGCAGTTGTACACAGGCGACCTTATTGCCAAGGACTGGCAATGCCAGTCGACCTTCGGCTGATGTAGAAATATGATGCGTACCTAACGCAAGATTAGCAGGGTTGTTTTGTTTAGAGCAACTAGAACTTAAAGCTTTAACGTACATTATATAAAGGTCTATTATTTATTATTTAGCGCAATTAATTAATTATTTTGAATTCATTACAATGTTATTTATTTCACCTACCACAATTAATTAATGATTATATTATTCATTGAAAGATTATTTAATATTTAGCACCATTTACTGGTTATTATCAAATTTACTGCAATGTTATTTAATATTTAGAACAAGCATATTACTTTATATGTACAATGCATTACTAATTACATTCTCATCAAGTATTGTAAATAATTTAGTAGTAGAATAAATGGCTTTTTTGTTTATTTATATAAAGGTCTGGCTTTGCAAAATTTCACAATGAGTTTTCGTTTTGGTGATGGAGATTTAAGCTAAGGGGCTGTAAAGGAATTAGTCGGAACTATTTTATTCTTATTAAAAGTAAATACGGTGAATGCTATAACCGGCCCATATGTGCCACAACATGGCTCTTCCGCGGCTAATAAATCATAGACTGTCTAATTAATATACACTATAATGAATAAAGCTTAAGATTTGCCATTAAGTTGTTTGAGCTTGAAACCCTTCCTAGTACCACTACCAACTTGTATCCCCTTGTTAATAATAGTAATTTACGACATAGAAAATAAATACTAAAAATATTACAGTATCAAAATTTCACATGATCTCTATAATTGTGAATTGTAGAAACTTACTTTGCCTATAATCATTTTCAAGATTGCGGCAGCCGTAAGCCAGGGCGTAATTGTTGTAGTCCGTGTCAAGGATCCAGAACGGTATTGTTTGAACTGAAAAAAATATATATTTAAACACATTATAAGAAAAAGGATTTGTTGTAATAATAATAAGTTTGTCTATATTAATGGATATTATATGTTGACCTGTCATAATACTCAAGTCTGTGTACTGTGCAGTGACACACACCCCAAAAACATGGGTAGAGAAATGTTCGACCCTCTCTTATCATCCGGCTAAATCCAGACTCTTTGCACCCAAATTAACGCACAGTCAGGTGAGTTTTACTACAGATATTCCATAACCTCTATTTTATTAGGGTTAGGGGTATCAATATACGGGGTATCAAAGTTTACTACAAATGTTGGTGAGCCAGAGGATATATTTTAATCTAACAGACGAGTAGAGTCTGTAATTAATGGAATTTGTACGGATACCTGGATATTTTTGAAACATAACTACCCATAGTTCTATTAACGCAGAGTTTAGCGTGTTGTAGCAACATAACCGTATTCAAGTACTTCCAAAATTAAGTGTCTCCGATATTAAGACTCTTAAAAAGATTGAGTCGTATTTTACGTCAGGCAGATGTAAATATTGAAATTATTTTGTAGAAATAATGAGACTCGCAAAGCACCTGGTGAATCGCCACACCACATTATATGTTACATATATTATTATTACGTAGCATGACTACGCATGTCGTACCATGTCGACCACGCCAATAGGTGGTCTGAATTTCCGCGTTAAATGTTTCAAATCAAAAACTAACACAACGTCAAAGCTTACCTGTTCCGTTTACTACAATATCAATTGTCAGTCTGCCAGTGCCGTCAGTTGAAGTGAGATTCACGGTGCTGTTATTAACCAACAAAAGTGTTTCATTCAGAACATGGAAGGAATTGTGGTTGAATATAGATGAAGATCCAAGCTCGAAACGATGATCGATGCAGATGTCATTTGGACCGTAAGGGTATTTTTCTATCTCGTGCCATAGTCCCGCAAACTATGAAAAGTGTGTAAGAAAAATGTTAAATGAGTTTATCAGAATTTGTTCATACATGTCTCCATAGGCTAGTCTGTCTTATAACTTTTGTAAATGCTGGAATGTTTTTCGTTTATGACGAAGTAATTTTAAAATAACATCTATAAATTTTTTTAGTGGTAATCGTCAATATTTTTACTTGTACCTACTATTTAAAACAAGTAATATAAAACAAGTGTTAATTTTACTCAAAAATAACACAAGACACGATCACACAGACGAGTAGAAAAAAAAATATCTATTCTATTTTTTATTTCTAGCGGAAAGTATCTCTTATCCTTTCTATTTAAAAATATATATTTCACTAATTACCGTCTGCGTATGTGTCGTTTATCGCGGCAAAAAGTGGCCAATGGTGCTAATTTTGTTGTTGACACAACTAAAATAAAATTTCTCTAAAATTCTCTTATTTTAGTGTTATCTTTTAACATTTGAATTATTAATGTGGGCTTCGTTAATTACTAATTATAGACTAAATTAAGTAACTTAACTAATTTTGGTTGTGTCAAACTTAATATAGTTAAGTCCTACGTTTTCAGAATGTGAAACGTTGTTTGACACGACTAAACAATTTTTTAGTTCAGTTTAGAGTTTTCGAACAACAGAATTAGCACCAATGTCTTCTCTCAAGAATCAATCTATTTCCATACCAAATTTCATACAAACCAGTTCAGCGGCTATTGATTTCCCATACAAACTTCCACCCCATTTATCAGAAATTAATTTCTAGGATAAAAACTATGTCTTTACTTTACCTTTCCCGGGACTCAAACTAAATCGGTTCAGCGGTTTAAGCATGACGAGGTAACGGACGGACGGTAGACGGACAGATAAATAGATAGACAGGTAGGCAGACAGAGACACTTTCATATTTATAATATTAGCAAAGATTTGTTAAAATGTCCAGGGAAAGTATGTAATGAAGTATGTATTACCTGTGTCTCATTGAAGTTGGATATGGCTGCAATATTATCGTCACACTGTCCACGGAAAATGACAGGTGTATTTGGTTCTGGTTCCGGGAAATAGAAACAGTCCTCTGGACTTTGTAATCGATTTAGGTAGTATCTTTCATCAAGAACCGGGATTGTGTCAATCACAGCATTAATCTCGGTGATAGATTCATTTGTTAATTCCCTAGTCCGGCTCAGTTGCCACGATGAAACTGTAAATGTGTGTATGTGCGAATTATATTGAATCGTATTGTATTGTAGGTAACAATAATCACGTATGTATAGGCAAAGAGATACGCAGAGGTGTTTTAAACAAGTTACAAATCTCATTTACCTTGATAATAGTCCTCGTCCACTTGTCTGCAGGAATAGACTAGAGCGTAAGAGCTGTAGTTGGTCGCAAGAACCCAGTAGTTTGTGGTCACTGGAATGATATCGTCATTGTATTGAAAAAGGCGGATGCAATATTATTAAAGCTCATGATAGATTTTATACAATACTTTTGGAGCTACAATTTTAAAACTGCACCAGGTTATTTTAAAAAATTACCTATGCTATATATATAATATTCCTACACAGTTCAAAAACAAAAATACTTTAGAATAATGGTGTAACTACTTTCTACCCGAAATCTTAGAAGGCCTTATTTAAATAAGCGATATTATTTACATTTACAGTATATATTGTTCTTACCATCTATACCACCAACATTAAATGTTACGTTCAGTCTAGCACTTCCATCATCACTAGCAATTACAGCTATACCGGTCATAGTGTCTAGTGTTTGGTTAATGACTTGTGTATTGAGTACATCGACTACGCTGCCAACGAGCTCGTAATTAGCATTCTGACATGTACCAGTTTGGAAGTCTTCTGGATATGAACGAATGTCATGCCATAAGCCCATGTACTAAAAAGAGAATAATATTATCAATACCAGAGAACTGCTACAAAAAAAAACACAGTAAACATTACTAGAAATAAAACACTTATATCTACCTGAACGGGATTGAAATTGGGCACAGCTGGTATACTCTCATCGCATTTCCCTCGGAATCTGACTGGGGCATCAGGATTTACTTCAGGGAAATAGAAGCAACCTTCAGAGGACTGATCGGTGGATAAAAAGTAAGCATTATTTAGTTCTAATAACGAACCAATGACATTATTGACTTCTATTTGTGCTGTTGCATTTAGTGTACGTTGCCTGCTCAAAATCCAGCTAAAAACTGAAATAATTACGAATTAAATTATTACAATAAAGTGATAGTACCAGGTTATTTTGGATAAGTTTATCTTTCGTACTTACTTCGTCTTTGATTATTGGGTAGATTCTCGCAGCTATAAGAAACTGCATAATTTTGATAGTCCGTGGCAAGTATCCACAATTCCTGTTGCACAACTTCTGTAAAATAAATGTTACCAAAATGTTTTAGTATTAATAAAAGTTTTGTAGTTCATACTTCTAGTTATGGATTCAAATACTAATATGAATGTCTTTTTCTCAATTATATATTAAGTTAGATTAAAGGAAATCATATAAAAAGCACGTGGTTTGCGACTTTACTGAATCAACTTTTGATAATTCTAATTTCTGATTTTTAAATTTAAAATGTATACAAAAGAATGAAGACTTTTTGAAGACTTGAAATTGAATATCAACTCGGATGGTTGATGATGGAAGCTTCCTGATATATACAAAGTCATTGAATATTGTCATTGTATATATATTGATTCAATATATCCTCATTCTGAGCTAAGTAATATTTGCAACAAAAAGACATAGATAAGTCTCTTACGATTAGAAGGAACGTTTAATGTGACTCCTAAGTGTGCACTGCCGTCATTGCTGATGATTGAGGCATTTCCCGTGATGGTTAGAAGAGTCTGATTGATCACTTGACTGTTGAGTACGTCAACAACTCCACCATTTAGAGCATATTCTGCTCTAACACAGCTACCCGGCGAACTCTCGCTAAAATAACTTGAAATTTGATGCCAAGTTCCTCCAAACTGTAAATACAATTAGATTTAATATCTTTTAGATTTAGTCGCTGTTCCTAATTGCTTGACTACTATACAAACAAAATTATCGAAACTAGCCTATAAGAAGCTTGGTGTACCGAACAGATCGATGTAGTATTTCACTCCAGCCCACTCACAGCAACCTGGATTACTTTTTTTTCTACTAAGGTAACTCCCTCATTAGGAATATATTCTGTGTCGCAGGGGACTTCACAAACATACATGAAACGGACACAAAGAACACGCAAACTCAGAACAACAATCTGTGGATCACACAAAGGAATGTCCCATGTGGGGAGCGAACCCTCAACACTCAGCGCAGTAAGAAGCGGCACCCATTACCGCATCGAACGGAGAGCGACTCGAATCTTCGATATCCAGAAGATCTAAGGGTAAATACTTGATTCTAGGGAGGCTCAAAGGCTGGCATTGCGCTTGTGACTCCTGAGTTCCAGGTGTTCATGGGCGGCGGTAGTCTTTTCGTTTACCCTCTATATCATAAAAAAAAGGATGAGTTATGGTGATTTCGGCCTTCTTCCTCCCTGGGTGTAATTAAGAAAATAAAACAGAAGGGTGATTGGATGAGTAAAAAGAACGACTTACCGATATCGGGTTAAAGCTTTGTACCCTCATAATGTTAGGATCACATTGTCCAGGAAGAATAATTGGTTCACCAGGGGGAATTACGGGTAAAACATAACAAGTTTCGTTGGAGTGATCAATATCCCAAAAATATTTACTATCAAGTACATCAATATCTGCTATGGCAATATTTATGGCTGTTTCAGATGTGACAGATAGTTCTCTCGTTCTGCTGAGTTTCCAACTCCATACTGAAATTTAAAGTGATTTATTGCAATTCCATTCCACTTTACAATATCTTACCTGTAGAGCATTCAATGAGTGCAGCGAGTTTTTACTAATAACAGTTTTACTAAATGGTGAAATTGTTTTTCAACCTGTTGTCTTTATCGTTGGAACCGCACTTTATTTTAAGTGAAACAGAAACCCACACTATCAAAATACCACGTGGTAAGTTTGTATTGGTGTTAGATTAAATATTAAGAGATGTTGAAAATACAGGGGTAAACTACAAATTAGCCATATAAAAACATGCTTTCAATAGAAAACCAAACTAAAAAATAGACAATAAATTTGAAAAAAAAGCGTTGGGTGCCTGTTGTCAATAGTAAAAAGCAGCGTGTTTTTTAGTTCTTTAAAACTATAATTTTTTTTTAAATTAGTGTATTGTCATCGGTCCTCGATATATCTACAAATTTTTAACGAATTCTGACCGTTTAAAGTCAGTCAAAATCACGCCCAAAGAGTCGGTTACAAACATACAAACATACAAGTGAAGCTAATATAAAGCGTGTAAAAAATCCATAATGCGAAGTTGCGGATAAGCTAGTTTTGAATTAAAATTCATACCTGCTCTCAAGTCCCCGGGTTGGTCGACACATGCATATGCTAACGCATAATTATCGTAATCTGTATCTATGATCCAGAAAGGTATTTCAATAGCTGAAAAATGAAAGTACATAATATAACACTCCATAGATTTGTATATACTATTATATTTTGATATACGCTTAACGGGCTTTCTGTGTATCAAGATTAGTTAAGTAGTTCATCATCATCATCATCATCAACAGCCTGTACTGGTCCACTGCTGAACATAGGCCTCATCTTGGAAAGGAGGTTTAAATTTAAGTTAAGTTTAAGTTAAGTTTAAGTTAAGTAGTTGCTTTTTCCGAATTACATAACAAGAAATTATAAAATCTCTTAATACTTATGCTATGTTTAAGGCTATATAAGTGGGATTTAATCGTAAGTTACTAACTGCGGAGTATATTAAATTAATGAGAACCAGGAGAGTCAAAGCGAACTACAGTAATCAGACACCGCGGTATAATGGCACCGCGGTATGGTAAATGGTTTCAATTTCTTTAAATTTCTTTCGATATCCACTTAACCGTTGTCAGTCGTTGAAGTAGAGTACCACCCTTCTTAGGAATAGAGAGTGATATGAAGCTAGAAATAGGGACTTTAGCACGTAGTCTAATCCTCACAATGTTCAAATTGTGTATCGTAATGTTTTTTTTTGTATCTTTTACGAATAAGGGCAATAATGGATATGACTGAATTAGTCTGGTCATAATTGGAGAACGAGAGAACACTAATAAAGGTAATTAGTTTTATATATTTGTATACGTACGTTCAGGACCACTAGTAATATTGATAGTCAGTCTCCCAGTACCATTGGTAGAGATCAATCTGCCCTGGCTTTGCAAAAGGAAATTGTCCGTGACACTCGAAGACACGAAACTTAATTCAGAGACACTGATGTCACTGTACTCGTGACTGATGCATTGTCCTGTTTGTTCAATTTTAGGATACGCTTGGATTTCATACCATGTACCAGCGAACTGAAATAAAAAAAAATTTAGACCATCACACTTAAAACATATTAAACAAAATAAAGAAAGGGATTATTAAATTGTTAATGATGTACTCACCAACGTGAGATTGAAGTTTTCCATGCCAAGGTTAGGATCGCATCGACCAGGGAACACAACAGGCACTCCTTCTTCTGGAGTGGGAATAAAGAAACAATCTTCTTCTGTCTGGTTTTCTGCTTCATAGTATTGTTGATTCAATACGTTGGTAGTACTGATGACTCTATCGATAGCAAGTCTATCCTCAGCAGTCAACGTTCTACTTCTACTTAATTTCCAGCTATTTACTGTAATACAATTTATTTATTAATAAATCAGAGGATCCACCTTATTCATAATTAATGAATGTAAGAATGTGCGTATAGTAGAATGGTGAAAGAAAACAAGTCTTATTTGAGAATTATCGTTTTGTATGAGTCCGGTTCTGTCTAAATTGTCACTGTCAGAACTCTGCTTTCCGTATAGAGCAAGAATGTTGAATATTAAAAGTCTAGTCTAGAATGTTGATGAATATTACAAACCTCGCATGTATTCTTCATCTATATTAGCACAAGAATAAACCAGTGCATAAGAAGTATAATTTGTGTCCAACACCCAATAATCAGTTTCTGAAATAGAAAATGTTAAATGTTTAGAAAGGTCTTATTTCATAAGCAACTGTGATGGTTGATGTTTTTATTCACTTGATTTTTTTGTATTAAAAAGAGTTATATTGCATGATAATTGATGATGGTTGTATTTGCCGATAAGAACGTATTTATAAATATTTCATCAACTATTTCAAGAGCACTTATTCAATACCTGTCCTATTGCCCTAATATCATCTTACTTCGATTCGGAAGTTTGAATGCCCACCAGGCAAGCGAGTAGGCTACTATAGCGCCGAAGTTCTTTATTCATAGATTGCAGCACAGATCCAGTTTTTTAATTTATAACATAATACGTGAAGATAATTATTTTTACTCCTATTTGAACAAATATAAGACTCTGGAAAGCATATTATATTTGGATCATTTTAATGTTTATGTAGAAGAATCTCAATTTCGTTACCTCAAAACTCTTTAAATTGTAAACCGATTTGGATTTTTTTTTGTATTTGAAAATGTATACTCTTGACGTGGTCCGTTACCACTTCATCAGGATTTGATGATGGGATCCTAGAGGAATAGAGGGAAACCCTCAAATTTTAAAGGCCAGATAACATGTTTTAGCTTGTTTGTCTAGCTATATATGTTTTTGCGTTTAGTAGTCGTTATGTCATGTTGCTGAGCTGATAATGGCTGGGTCCTTGACCTTTAGGAGTTAGAGGATAACTCTTTCAAAAATCTAATCATGTATTTACCTTGTTTTTTTCTTTCTAGGTATTTGTTAGGTGTTTGTGTGGGTTACAGATATATGTGCACAAAAGAGTAAAATATGAAATATGTGTGTTACGCAATTATTTTCATGTTGTTACCAACCCGAACCGATAATACATTTTTTTTTCTTTAGTTCCATTCAAATGTGAAGAAAAAATACCCCTCTTAATTTTGTGAAATTAGGTAATGTGGAAAACAATATATTTTCGGGTTGAAATGTAACATCTTACTACCCTATCGAAAGAAAGTAACGGACTTATTAAACTATATTTAATATAATCTAACTATATTTACTATATAACTATATTTTATTTAGGCCTATGTCCAGCAGTGGACTAGTATAGGCTGTTGATGATGATGATGATTGAACTATATTTACTATACTATATTTAATATAATCTAACATACTATAGTTTGGTACTTTACATTACGGTACGTAGTGTATTAAATATCGTATTTTTCTACTCAATCTTACACTAAAAATGGCAAAATAAATCCTTTAAAAAAAGTTGAACCGACTTCAAACAATACTGACAAAGAGCACTAAAAATTAAAAAAATAATTACATTACAAGTTAAGTAAAAAATTCCCTTAGAGTCTGTTTGAAGGCTGTAAAAACATTGCCATTGTCTACATGAGTTGGACGAAATCAATTAGCTTAATCTGGGTGTCTAATACACTGTCTACCATTTATATTCGACGACCGGAAGACGTAGTGGTTAGTGTAACGGAGTGCTATTCCAAAGGTCGCGAGTTCGATTCCCACTCAAGTCAAACATTTGTGTGCATATATATTTAATGTTTGCTTTGGTCTGGGTGTCTATGTATATAATATGTATGTATTTACAAAAAAAGTATATATGTATTTATATCAGTTGTCTAGTACCCATTGTACAAGCTCTGCTTAGTTTGGGACTAGATGGCGTTGTGTGAATGTGGTAGATTATTGTTATTATTATATAATATAAATATATATAAATGAATAAATAACATATTTATGATTTTGTATAATACTTACGAGTGTTCCCCATTACTGGGAAAGTCACTAGGAATTTAGCAGTGCCGTCATCAGAAGCAGGTACAGCAAAACCAGTGAAAGTTTCGAGAGTTGTATTTATGACTTGGGTATTAACAACGTCCACTCGTCCATTTAGGGAATAGCGAGCGTTGCTGCAGCTGCCCTCTTGGAAGAAACTTGGGTATAATTCTATAGTATGCCATAATCCCATATACTGTAAAATAAAATTTGGATTATTGAAAATGTATTATTACCTATTTGTTATATGTATAACAATTAAAAGATTAATTGGTCGTACTTATTTTTTTCATGTCCTAAGGAAATAATTCACATTAAGAATATCTTTACACATTTATTTCTATTTTTTTTCATTTTATTTCTACAGTCTAATGTGTACTTTATAAAAAAGTAATTTTACATTATTTGATTACTATAAGGTCAACCACTTATTATTATTATTTTTTTTGTTTTTAAATAATATTGAAAAGGGACAAAAATTTCTTTGATATCCAATGAAATATCATAATAATAATAGCTACAAAGAAAGAAATAATACATTTACAAATGTTTTCAGTTAAAAAAGGGGTCAAAAGTCATACTGTCGTCAAAAAAGAGCACGATACAAATAAAGAAATAAAACGTACCTCTTCAGCGGTAAAGTTTGTCATTGCTGAAGCATTATTCATTTCACATTGTCCCCTAAACACGACTGGTCTGCCATTTGGCTCCGGGAGAAAGAAACAACCTTGAAGGGACTGATCGGTTGGTAAATAGTAAATGTTATTCAATTCTAAGATCGAATCGATGAGATTATTGACTTCTATTTGTGCTGTTTGATTTAGTGTACGTTGTCTGCTCAAAATCCAACTATAAACTGAAATAATTTTGAAATAAAATATACTGATAGTACCAGTTTATTTTGTATAAGTTTAGGTTTTTCTTTCGAACTTACGTCGTCTTTGATTATTAGGTAGAGTCTCGCAGCTATAAGAAACTGCATAATTTTGATAGTCCGTGGCAAGTATCCACAATTCCTGTTCAAGAGTTGCTGAAAAATAAATATTACCCAAATTTTATTTCATCAAAAAACGTTTTCAAACCTTATTTTGTACATCAATGTGAACCGAACCAACGGTTTTGTTGAAGCAATTTATAAGTGGAAAGAGGGCATTTATATAGTAATATGTGTTATGGCAATTTACTGAATGAAAAATTACCAATGATAAATCATTACATTTTAGATTTTAATAACTATTCAAATGTGAAATGTACAATAGAACGAAAACATTTGAAGAATAGAAATTCTGACATCAATGAGGGAGAGCTTCCAACCCCAGCTCTTGCAGCTTGGAGACTGTCTGTTGCGCAGTATGGGGTCGCGCGTTGTCGTGGAGGAGCAGTGGGGACGACCGATTGACTAAAGCTGGTTGCAGATGAGACCACCAGACCTTGCACCTACCGGCTACTACTTTTTCCAAAATTTAGACAACTTTTTAGTGGGTAAAAAATTCAATTCCCGAGAGGAAAATTAAGAAAATTCCACTTACCGCCTGCTACATCTAATAAGACTCTTAATCTTGCACTGCCATCATTGCTGATTATTGTAGCATTTCCTGTGATGGTTTGTAGAGTCTGGTCGATCACTTGGGTATTGAGTACATCGACAACTCCACCATCAAGATAATATTCTGCCCTTACACAACCGCCGGAGGAGCTCTCGGTGAAATAGCTTGCAATTTGATGCCAAGTTCCTCCAAACTGCAAGTAAAATTAAATTTAATATCTTCCGTGTGGCGATAGATAAAGAATAACAGGGTGTCACCACCTCTATTCATCCTATAGGTGTCAAATTAGGGGGTTTTCAGTCATTTGCAAATTTAAATGCTTGTTAAAGTTGTCCCTATCATGTGCGTGGGACCAAATTATTTTACACTATAAACTTTTTATAAGGGAACTCAAGGGGCTGGTTATAAGATGTATTTCATTACGTAGCACAACGCAATACCGAGTTTCTACTGTAATTGAACAAGATATGGGTGTAACGCTGGCATCTTTGCTCTGGGTTTGTAAGTTTATTGCATGTTTTGTTTTTGTGTTGTACTCAAGTGCCGTAGATAATAATAGTAATAATCTTTATTGTCATAAAAATTATACAGTTCACAAGGGTTCACAATTATAATTGGACACAATTAAATGTATTGTGCTTTAGATACTGATACTGTCTCCCAAACTAAGTGAAGGCTTGTATTTTGGGTGGCAGTTTTCAATCATGTATTATAAATTACAACTATCTATTACAAATTAAAATTTTTGTGCGTGCAAGAGAACGTGGTCGCTGTATGCAAGGGGTAAATAAATGATATTACATAAGTGGACCAATTGATATTGAGTGGGTATGTGTATAGGTGAATGTGTGTTAGTATGGGTGTTTGTATAAAAGTATGTGTGTGATTTTGTGTGTTTTCGTATATGAGTTATGTGCTTGTATATCGTGATGTTTGTGTGTATGTTACGCAATGTATGTCAGTAGTTGTTCAGTTTTGTTATAATCCATTTTTAGAAGCCAGTCTGTAAGAGTGGTTTTGAGTTTGTGGTTGTTTAGTCCTGCGATGTTGAGTTTCTTGTGTATATCGTTGTATATTTTTATGCTTATGCTATTAAATTGTCTTCTGGCAAAGGATGTTTTGAGTATATACAACATTACTAGCTTCGCCCCACGGCTTCGTTCGCGTTAATGTCTTATTCCAGACTAGAATATATCTCTGTACCAAATTCGATCCAGAGTGATTGATTAACAAACGTTTATCCATCCAATCTTTTAGTTCAATGGTAGTAAAAATTAAGTAATTATTTTTATTGACATAACGTAATAAGTTTTAGCACCAAGATATAAATATGTACACGCCAAGATACATTTTTTATACAATTGGAAGACCATTTCAATTTACTTACTAGAAGTGGATTAAATGCCTGTTGTACTGGTATATCATTATTACAGGTCCCAGGTATTATAATAGCTTCTCCAGGTGGAATAACGGGAAGTACGAAACAAGAAAGCTCGCTTTGATTCACAGTCGTAAGATTACTTAACTGAACACCAAAAGTTTCGCTTAGATGCATGTTTAGGACGTGTTCCATTGCAAAACTTAGCTGAGCATTGTTTCGCCCAAGGATCCATAATTGTACTGAAAATATTAAATTTTGTTTGTGGGTTAAAACAGTTACATATTAAAGTGGTTTAATGACATTAATTCACCCACTTCTTAAAATCACATTAAAATATTTACAACTAGCTGACCCTGCAAACGTTGTTGTGCTATTTACATTATTTAATTTTTTTCTTTTTTTTCTGAATTTCTTAAAATCCGTTCCTAGCTGACCTCTACTCGGTGAAAAGAATATTCCTACCAAATTTCAAGTCTTTAGCTCTAATGGTTCCAGAGATATCGTGATGAGTGACTAATATACGTGGAAATCTCTTATATATATAAATTATGGAGGTGATCTTTGTCTTTGGAGAGTAGGACTGAGAATGTATTATGTTAACTGTAGGAATTATATTAAGCTGTATGAATTAAGATAAAATAATATGTGTGTTACTTACTACTTCTTCTCTGCGTATCAATGTTTTGGCAAGAATAAGCAACAGAAACGGTTGTCAGTTGATCATCGTTGAAAGTGATGATGAAGTCGATAGCTGAAAATAAAAATAAAGCTATTCATTAAAAACAATGCAAGAAATAGTATGTTTTACAATATTTTTTAGGAGCAATATGAGTTCCTTTCTGTCATACACGCCGGCCTAATCGATGTTAAATAATGCTTTTGTTGCTTTTACAGAGTGAGTGAGGATACAGGAAGCCTAACAACCCCATTCGAGAGGGGCGGGGGGCAGAGCACTTAAATTCATAATGTCCATGGGCGGCGGTAGTTACATATTAGACATGGAAGCTATTGCTACTTTTAAATCATATTCATTTGAGGAAATGATTGGTGTTAGGCACATGTGATTGTGATTTCGTCATAGACAAAGATTAATGACATTGAAATCAATCAAATTTCTTTTATCAAAGATTATTTTTTCATAATATAGTAACAGGTGTGATAATATAATTTATCACATGTGATTGCGATTCCATTCCAATCAAATACCCATCTGGTAGTAGGTAATTATAATAATAATATTCTATTTCACACACGACCGTCTGATCCCAAACTAGGCAGAGACTGTACTATGGTACCCAGACCGCTGATAAACATACTTATATATTTCTAAATACATACACATTATAGATAAAGTACACCCAGACACAGAACAAATGACCGCGCTCATCACACAGTTATTTGTCCTAGGTGGGAATCGAACCCACGACCTCTGGCGTAGCAGTCAGGGTCACTAACCACTAGACCAACAGGCCCGTCGGTGTATCTATTGGTCATCATATCAGGTTATACAGTATTTACTACCATACAGAAAGTGTAGAGATATTTTGGAATTGTAATCCTTTAACTTACGGGTTTCAAAAAAGGGAATGTCCAATGTAAACTCCCGTGAGGTGTTTGATATGGCGTTCAGTTGAGGCGTCAGTGTACCGTTAATATATTGTACAAAGTTCGAGTTAACTTTGCGGTACTGAACATCCAATGTGCCATTATTATTATTATCAGTGATTATAAACGACGAACATTCGCCACGTTGATTCGGGTTGTCTGTCCTTAGTAATTCGTGCCAAGTTCCTGGAAACTATTTAACAAAAACATATTAAATTTATGAAGACATAATACTCTCCTTCTGATTCCGTCTATTTGAGGTCTATGCACATTACAAAAGGATTTGTCACGTTTAGACTGGAGAAAAGAAAGGAACATGGATAGAACTTAGGGGGGAGAAACTTAGGGGATAGGTTATATCGCATGACTGAAATAGCTTACAAAGGCTGCAGTCGCATACCATTATGTGTGTCTATAATTGGAGAAATCATAGTTCAAGAATATCGACTCTCTCTGTATTTAACTGTGACGAGGGATTTTCCCTCTGAGCCTTCTTTCCAAACCAGGTTAGGGTCGGCTTTAAGTCCACTACAATACGACTGAACTTTAATTTTTAAGCGGAGCGACTGCCTTCAGACCTCCTCAACCCAAGTACTAAGTGATATCGAAGTTCTGTAGAAAAACTGTTGTACGACTTTCTAGAGCTCAACCTATCCGTAACGACTGCCACAGATGTTTGTATGGCAACCGGGACCCATGGCTAAACGTGCTCTTCGAGGCAAGGATGGGTCTCAATGTGTCAAGGTTGGTCACCCATCCATAGACTGACCGATTGTGAATGAATATAAATGTAATTGCTACCTGTTGTATTGCGGTTTACGACAACATAATCTTATATATAAAATTCTCGTGTCACAATGTTAGTTACCACACTCCTCCGAAACAGCTAGACCGATTTTCGTGAAATTTTGTGTGCATATCGAGTAGGTCTGAGAATCGGCCAACATCTATTTTTCATACCCCTAAATGACAAGGGTGACCCACCCCTAAATTTATTTTTCAATATTTTTTTAAAATAATGTATGGGGCAAAACAACGTTTGCCGGGTCAGCTAGTTAAGATATAAAACAGTAGCTACCGAAGAAGTGTTTTCTATCATCTTTTCATAGTATAAAATACAGTCGCATTTTTGTGTAAATATTTGTTGTAAAAAACATGTTATTGTGCGCCTACATTGCAAACGCTCACTAAACCTTACAAGATAGGCCTTAGAATTATACCTTACAAAGTAATGTAGCACGGAGTTGTATATCTTAAAAAGATCTAAAAAATCTGCGGTGGTATATGGTTATCTCCTAAGGATTACCCACAGTTACCATTTTTATCTTTTAAATATTACAAATGGGTTTAGAATACATTAGAAACGTTAGAATACATTAGACACATTGTGCATTTTATGTATATTATATATTCATTATTCATTTACAGCATATCATTAAAATAAATATTTTAGAAGATATTATAGGTTTAAAATGCAGGGGCCCATCGACCATCGAACCGTACGTCCGTCCCGGGTGGCAGTGGCCGGCAGGATCGGAGCAAGGCTTTAAATGTTCCATTTAAAGGTGTTCTGTAGTATAGTCCTATCATAATGATAGTGTAATTAATAACTTTACACTGACACCACATGAGTAGTATTAGTAGTATCTACATTGCACCCGTGCCAAGCCGGAGCGGATCGCTAGAATTTTATAATTCGGGTAAAAAGTACTACATTGAGCTACACTGGTACAATGTTATATTATTATATTTAGTCGTTATGGTACCGAAAGGCTATAGGATAATAGTTGAATTATACTGGTCAATAATATTAAACAAAATATTGGAAAATTAAGAAGTTTTCGTCAAAATTCGACTCACATGAGATATATAGTGATAAGGTTGAAAATCTTTATTTGCAATAAGAAACATTACGAATTATTTACTCATACGACACGACTTACAACAGTAAAAATAATTTTATAATATTTTTTGGCATAATTATAATTTATAAAATAGTATTGATCCGATTCCTTTAGTAGGAGTTATTATTAGGTCAAAAATCACTTTGAGACGTAGTGAAACTCTGATTATAGACATTATTAAATTAATATCATGTAGTAATATCCTGTGTAGAGCCTAGTGACATACTACTTTCTAAGGAGAAGGCTATATCCACCAGTAGACTATTAAAGGCTGTTGATGTGATGCGTGTGAGCCCAGGGACTGTTACAATCTAACCATAAATTGTAGGTACTTCATTTTGTGTAACTAGTTTTGTACCCGGGTAATTAAAACCAAAAAATGTATAATGTTTAGAACTCGGATTTCGGGTCATAAATCTGTTATTTTTTCATTTTTTCACATTCTTAAAACATTTTTCTTTATTTAAAGGGATGGATCCCTAGATCACTCTTCGAAAGCTCAAAATTGATCTCAAAGTGGAGAAAAATTGTATCTTTATATTGTTGTTTTACACGAGTTTTGTACACTAGATTAGAGTTTTTATTAATGTTTTTTTTTTAAATACAATAAAAAGTTTAAATTTAAGGAGTACTAGATTGTCTTTTAAAACCATTACAGGTGACACGTCACGAAAAGTAGTGTTAAACATTCCAACGCAGTAAACCCGAATTATTATCCAATTGATTGCAAGAAAATAAATTCATTTATTGGAGATAGCTTATATAGACAGATTCAATTAGCTGGAGTAGTGAAACAACAATAATCAGAGCCATTAATGTCTGTATTCTACTTTTGAATATTTAGTGTTAAGTCACGCCAAATCAAGGAGAACTAAATAAAACACTTATAAACTGATCAGTATCTTTTTCTACTGTATCAATTACGTAATTATAAATGACGTAAAGTAATGAAGTACACAGTTATTATGATTTAAATATAGATCGGTTCGAATTACAATCGTTTCTGGAATAAATGCCCAATGCATTTATTCCAGAAACGATTCGAGTCGGGGTCAATAGTGTAACAGGAAGTTTAGAGCAGTGAAGCATCGAAATTTTCACTCAGTGAACAGGGGTGAGTATAAATTATTTGAAACCTAAGATATTTCTTTGACTAATGTGAAAGCTAGCCTGTAAAGGTCTGTGACAGTTGGTCATTGCAAATCCGATATTCGGGTTTGATTGTTTGTTTTTTCGTACCATATACCTCTTGTAATACGACAACATTATGCAACATATGTATGTATACTAGAATGTGTAAGTTGATGTATCGGGCGTAGCTTTGGAGGTAATTTTTAAATTTATTAGAGACGTTATTTAAAAAAAATAGCTTTCTGCACTTGTACTACATTATTGACGTTCCTCCGTTTGTAAATTTTTCTTAAAAACAATTTAGGTACTGCCATAATTCCTTTCACGTATTTTTAACGTTATATCATGGGTACTTATCTGAACTTTTTATCGATGGCGCTAATTTAATAAATCCCTGTAGAGGGCGATAATGCATTTATTAAATCTAATCTGCGGTGCCTTGCGGCTGATAGGATCACATTAAAACAGTTTGAATGTTCTAATATGGAACATTTTAAATAAAGGGACCAAGCACAAATAAATATGTAAAAACTGAAAACTCACATCAATGAATTAATTAAATAAAAAAAGACAAATATGGCTACAGACAGATAAACATTATTAAATTTACAAAAAGAGTCAAATACTCGAATTAAACTTTTAATATTATTTAATTATTAACGTTATTTTAACATTAAACAAACGTTTTAGTTAGGATTTAGTGATGTAATAAAATGGTTTAATAACACCATAGAAAATTTCGAGGTCATTCAAGAAAGTTTTTGTTAGGTCTTGATGCACAACAAATGTTCAATTGTAAATGGATTCTTTCAAGTAAATATTAATAAAATATTAATTGCAAGCATTACATACCGATTCCAAATTAAAATTTGGCTGAAATATTATGTTGTTGTTACACTGTCCATCTTGCACAATTTGTCCCACACACACATCTAACAAACAACACAGGGCGAAATATAAATATAATTTTGTCATTATGGGATCATTGCGTTCCCTTTCACAGCTTACTAACTAGTATAATCAAATGGCAATATTATCTCTCAATTTATCATATTTATAGAAAATGTTATCAACGATTTCTTATCTCTTCCTATTAATCACTTAATTTGTATTGTTACAATGTGCCGAACTACGTACTTATAAATGCCAAACAATTTTTTTGCTGACTAGTTCGTCATCGACATCATTCATTATACAAGTTCAAAATAAAGTTACCGCGGATGTCATATACATTCAAAAGTCAAAAGTCAAATATCAGTTTTCAAAAATATTTGAAATCGTCTCTTATGAAGACTAAATATGATCAACTTCATGCAATAGCAACAATCTGTTTTGTCCTTGGTCCTTATTCCGACCTTGCTTGCAAAACCTCTTGCTTTTTAGGGGAAATATTGCGAATTCCTGCAAGTCGATCGATTGAATCTGTGTTTGAACGTGGCCCTTTTAGTTTAGTGGTTAGTGATTTTTAAATGCTAAGCTACCAGCCAATCATGGGTTGGATTCAGCGTCATATTTGTTTGAAGTGCATGATTTTTTCTTCTGTATTCAGATATGATTTTTATATAGAATGAGTATGTTTAGTAAATTACTTCATGTTACTTAGTATTCTGGGTACCATAAAACATACCCTAGTTCGGGAGCATACTGCTGTATGTGAGGTGGCTCAAGTTATTCTAAGAGGGTAATATGGAAATTCATCCTATACCGAGTAGAATTTAGTTGAAACAATGAACGATAGATTATAAAACCGGTACCAAGAAACAAGTATATATTTTTGATGGACCTATAAAGGGTCATGTCTGTTGTTAGTTATGTCACGTCACTAAGACACGTAGCACTATGTACATACTTGAGTAGTCATTGCTCTGCTGAGTAGTCATTGCTCTGCTGAGTAGTCATTGCTCTGCTGAGTAGTCATTGTTGTGCTCACAACACTCGGCGCAGTAGGAAGCGGTGTGGCGACCGCTTAAACCACTACGCCATCCGTGCAGTCAAATATAATAGTCAAGAAGCCAAGAAGTGATGTCCTTAGGCCATATAAAAATATATCTTCTGTTTATGTAATACGTTAATTAAATGATAATATAATAGTCAAGAGGTGATTTTCCTTATAACACGTCCTTAAGTCTTAGAAGAATATAACTCTGTCTTGCTAATATTATGCTTAGGTATACCTTTTTTATTCTGGTGACATCATTTGGAAATAGTGTTCGATAGAGAAAATTCCCTGTCGTATAGTATTTTAATCTGAACTTAATCCGAAGTCTACTTGTTTTCTTTGATTACATTTAGTTACAATCTTGTATATTATTTTATTCACTTATCCTTTATGTTATTTGACCAGCTATTGTCCCATAGTATTCTCCAATCAAAGATCGGGTACGCGATCCCTACTTATTTGAAATATTACAGTCTTAGTTCACTTTTTAAGGTTCCGTATCTCAAAAGGTAAAAAAGGAACCCTTATAAGATCACTTTCTTGTCCGTCTGTCCGTGTGTCACCACCGATTTTCTCAGGAACGGGTAGACCTAGCAAGTTGAAATTTATACCAGATACTGACGTCTATGGTCCCTATTAGGTGTATAAAATCTAGGTCGTGAGTCAACACGATAAAAAGATATAGGCAAATTTCGATTTTCGCGAAAACTTATAAGCACCAAAATTTACCTTAATTTACAATTTTTTTTAATTTTCAGAATTTTCTCTTTACTTGTGCTGTAAGACCTTGCTTTTAACCAAAATTGACAATTATAGGTACACAAGAAGTACCCTATAGGTTTTGGGTCGAAAACCTATATGGTAGTTCCCGTTGACTTAGAATCATGAAATTTGGCAAAAAGAGACACAAGTCTTACAGCACAAATAAAGGAATAATTCCAAAAAATGAAAAAAGAATTAAGATAAGTTTGGGTACTTACAAATTTTCGCGAAAATCTACGTAAAATCTGGGTAGGTACGAAACCCACTAATGCTTCGTTACAAATAGGCCAGATACCACAACCTCACAGAAAACCGTTGTGAAGCCTTTCTACCGTTGCTTTTCACTGAGTGAGAAAGAATACTCGAAATTCAACCTCCCATACTTAACTCTTCTCGTGTCTCTTGAGAGGTGGAGGTACAGGAGGGTGTGCAAGAACGGCGGTAGTCATTACCATTATGTGATCAGTCAGTGTTTGTTTGCTCCTATAACATTAAAAAACATGGCGCTAACCAATTTTGAAAAAGGTGGAAAAAACTTTTGTTGTTCAATTGTACTTTGTTAGGTGGATTAACGCATACTTTACGTGTGACTAGTAGGAAGATAATACTTTTTTATTATCAATGCTATCAGTTTTGTACGAGTTTTTAATAGGAAATATATCTTTAAAAATGTTTTTTTTTTTAAATGGTAAGATAATTCTAGTTACTTAATACCTATTTTAGTTAATTTTGTACATTTTTACTTTATGATAAAAACATTACTTGAAATTTCAAACATCGCAAGACAGAGGATCAAAAAAAAAGAAGAGTTAGAAATTATTTGTTTCAAAACTATGAGATATTCCATCAATTTTTCATTAAATACGTAGTGATTTTATAATTATAATATGTATCCTGTACGGACTTCATTTGAAAAACTTATATTTTCAATAAGTAATTACTTATTTATAGACACAACCAAGGTTGACTGGTACATAATGTACTGGATATTAAGACTGCCTTTGTCACCCAAAATGTGCATAAAATCTATCTACTCGTATATTATAGAAAACATAGTTGGTTTGTGTACACTTCAGAAACTCAAAAAGTTCTGAACCGATTGAGGTGCAACAATAATGTGCCAAAGCGAAGCTTTGCAGGGTACAGCTAGTTCGGTCTCCTTCTGCGAGCAACTTATGCTCGCGAATGTGACGGCATCGATCGTCGAACGCCCCTCTCGGAAACCGAATTGGGCGTCCGACAGATCGGGGCCAACCTCGCAATGGTGCCGGACGATGCGGGCAGAGAGTACCCTCTCAAAAAGTTTACCCACCTCGTCCAGCAACACGATAGGCCTATAGGCCGCGACCGAATCGGTAGGCCGTCCCGGCTTCCTCAGCAGGACCAGCTTCCCGCACTCCAGCGCTCAGGGAAGCGTCCGGACGCCAGGCTAGCGTCCAACACCCCCCTGAGGTGGTCCGACATGTAGTCGAGGGCTCGGGCCATCACTCGGGCTGGAACCCCGTCCGGCCCGGGGGCCTTGGAACCAGTGTTCTTGGATCGAATCCGCCCCCAACTCCGATTCCCTGACGGGCGGAACATCAACCTCGCTGCCCCCGTCGTCTCCGGCTGATGCAGCCATCGACGGGGGTGTGTGCTCCGCCCGCTGCGGGAATAGGCCCTCGACCACTTCCTGCAGGAAGCTGGGCTGGAGAGTCTCCATAAGAGGGGGGGGGGGGGGCGACGTGAGGAGCTTTTGACGCACCTCACGATAAGGGCGACCCCAGGGGTCACGCTCGAGACTCTCCAGCATCTCCTCTCTGCTGGCATCCTTGGCGCGGCAGATGGCCAGCCTCAGAGTTTTCCGAGATTCTCGGTACTCCTCATGAAGCCGGTCCACCTCCTCACCATCCTCCATACAGTCCTGACCTAAGCCCTAACGATTTCTTTACATTTCCTAAAATTAAGAAAAGTATTCGTGGTCAAAGGTTCCAGTCCGGTGAAGATGCTGTCGACGCTTGCAAGTCAGCAATTTTGAACACCCCCACTTTAGAGTGGGATAAATGTTATAATAACTGATTTGTAAGAATGGAAAAGTATATTAAGCTACGTGGTGAATACTTTGAAAAACAATAAATAGTACTATAAGGTTCTAAATAGTTGTGTTTTTTTCTTCAAACGACAAAACTTAAAAGGCATGCCCAGTAACAGGACACCTAGCCCTGACCCGACAACTATGCATCAACAATGCGACGGACAGCCCTCTGTGCAGGGGATGTCTGGAAGCAGAAGAAACGGCCACCCACGTAGTCTTGGAATGCGAGGGAGTGGCCACACAACGGGCAAGTATCATTCCCGATACAAAATCGCTCCTAGAAGCCTGTGAACGCCCCAAGAGGCTTCTGCGCTTCTGGAAGGAGCTTGGTTGGCTCACCTAGCTAACCAGTCCTAGGCGCATAAAGGACCACTCTTCAGTTTAAATGCGGAAACCGAAGCCCACAACCAATACCAATACACGCTCGTACGAGTATTCCATTCGTCATAGCGTGTTTGTTATATAGCCTTAATCGATAAATGGGCTATCTAACCCTGAAATAAGTCTTCAATAAGAATCAGTAGTTCTTGAGATTAGTGCGTTCTACCCAGCAAACAAACTCTTCAACTTTATAATATCAGTGATCTACACTAATATTATAAACTTGAAGAGTTTGTTAGGTTAGGGCCTAGTGCAAGTATATTTCACATAAACTCGCTTTCGACAGCGAGCGCGTTCGGTCTTGTGATTGGTGCAGATTTCATTGCGGACCAATTGCAGCGCCGAACGGGTCCATCGCTCACGATAGAGTGGATGTGAAATAAACTCACACTTGAGCCTCTGATAACTCTCTTAACTGACTTTCAATGTAAATAAAACTGTAAAATCATATCTAACCTTGACCTTGACCATGCTAACCATAAATTTAGTATAGGGACTATTGTAAAAACGAAAAATGTGTGCGGGTGTTCCCTTTATTTTCGGGCCCCGTTCCATTACTCCACCGGGGTTTCTGGTGGGGCAGATGTCAAAACAACACGGTGTGCCATCCAGTGTCTTAAACAGGAGGGATCTGGGTACAGATTTTATAAAGACATTCGAACTATGCGAATTGTCTCTTAGAAGGATGGTTTAAGACTTTGTCCAAGATAAAACGTATTTGTTTTTGAAACGAGATGGTAAAGCTGATAACCAAAGATAGGATGCTGGCGACCAGGGCCCCAATTCTTTTATTTTATTATTGTATAAATAGACTCTCGA